AATGTACTCGAGTAAAAAGCGTGGTATTCGGGAATTACTAGACCAGAACACGAGGGACTTTTACATCGACGGAACTTAAAACTTCGTCACAAAGTCATGCGAAATAATTGCTCGTCGAAAACACAACAGGACTTCCATTTCATCGCCAAGGGATTTCATTCGAGCTGCCAATCTTCGACAACAAAGCGTTCCACCGTTCCCGATCGCTCCGCCAACCGTAGCAGCCACCAGCAATTAATACAGATCCACGGATCGATACGTTGCTGTTGCTGCTTTGAGAGGAAATCACGGCCAAACGGATGCTCGATTATAAATGCATCCTGCGAAACTAGCCAGCCTGCATGGAGGCGCGCATATCCGCTTCAGCCGATTAAGTTTCATGTAAATTTCAGCCGTCCACGTCGCATTTCGTAACCCGTTCCTTCAATTTCAATGTACAGGAACAATTACGTAATAATTTCGTACGGCTTGGCGAAATTACTGCGATGCAGGTGAATCCCCGTAAAATAGAGTGTTTATGAAGAAGTTGAACGGTCGAAATATACAAATAAAGATTTCTCATGATAGTTTCGATTGTTTGAGATTTGTCGAGCTTAATAGTGTTCTGTTAATGGAAATAGTCGATTCCTCGTGCTAGTACAAATCGAAAAGTCCTTTTCCATTTTCCAATCTGAGTCTTCGTTGTCAAGATATAAGCAGTTGAATTCTTTGCGCGCCCAAACGTCATGTACGCATGCGCGGCTGCACTATCAGATGACCGAAATATAAATGGCGCCCATCGGTTAACTTTAACAGCTTATATCTCGCTAACCAAACGTCAGATCGCAAAATGATACGGGACTTTTCGATTTATCTGTATGCAAAAAAACTGTAAATAAAGTATTTTTGAAAAGACGTTCAGTATATTTTTCTATCTCTATTTCAAAGAACTGTAAAACTCTGCCAAATAAAAATTCTAAGTAAAAATGTTTCCAAAGGACTGTTCTTTTAATCTTTAATTTAGAAAAATGGTTCGACAGACAGAATGACCAAACAGACGTCGCCACAATGTTTTCCCCACCGACTGCGATCCTTTTTCTCACTTTTGCCGGCCGCCAGCTGAGGGAAACTGAAAAACCGAGGCGAGTTTCCGCGATAAGTCCCCCGAGCATACAGCCAACGGCTGAAAGGATGATGCATAATTGCGGAGAGCAGCAACAGGTAAGCGTTGGCCTTGAAAACACGCAGAGGGAAATAATAAAAATACGATTAAGCGTGCTGCTAATGCGCGGGACGCGTGTTCGTCGATGGCGTGCGTGGGAGGGTTTGAAGACTCGACGGGAGGAATCAGCAGTCGTTGAGTTCGAACGCTAAAGGGACACTCTAATAATTTGCAAAACAAATGTCGGTTTGTGCTTTTACATTTTCTTACAGAATTTTCCTCGAGCGTAGTTCAGAAAATTCTGTAGATTTTTTCTTTCCTCTTTTCAAGGGATATTCAATTTTTTAAATTTAAATAATTAGATGCATATGGCATGTTAACAAAGTCTCCGTGATCCGTGGTACGTGAAGTCCATTGGAAAATTCGATAGAGTGACCTTATGCAGTTTGATCTTCCAAAGGCGCCTCTGAAGAAACCAGGGGATAAAATGGACGACGGAAGAAGATGGAGGATGATGGATAGGGGTCGGAAGGCGCTAACGTATTTCGTCGCTGGGTGATTAATAACAGCCCAATAAAAATGCACCGGGGCAATACTGATGACGCGTTATCTGACGTTACGTTAAGAGAATAATAAAGCACACGCTCGGGAAAGCGCGGTTAAAAATGGAGGTTGAACGGTCCAGACGAATTGAGGAGCAGACGGTTTATAGCTTCGAAGTGAATTTTTATGCGGCTGCGATTCGACTAGAATTCTAATACGACGATCGCGTTGGTACTAGTATAACTAATACTCGAATAATAATAATATTCAACGATCGACTAAAAACGAATACCATTCTTTTTCTTTTTATTAAAATGTATACACAGTGAACGAATTTGTCACGTACGTTAGTAAAAAATTAAATAAATGAAAATCTGCCCTCAGCCTCGACCGACAACCCAAATTACTTGCCAATTAAATTCCGCGTAAAACCATCCCCTCGAGCGAGCAGCTCGTTTCAGCGTCGACGCGACGACGCAACCATAGACGTCGACTAAAAACAACGGGTCTCGAGCCAGGCGTCTGCAAAAGCCTGGATATCATAAACGACAATGAAACCTCGAAAGAAGCTGAAACAAAGTGTGCTGGTGTGCGGGGATCGCGCTTGTATCTATCGAAAGGACGTCGACAGGCGTAGCCATTCGGTCGGAAGAGGAGGGGGACGGTGAAGAAAGAAAGAAAAGGGCGGAACGACACGCCAGGGATCGTTCGAGTCCTCTGATCGGTCAATAACGATTTCCCGGGGAATATAAATGCCTCCGCGAGCAGTCGTCCGGTTCGTTCAATTCGGTCCGTGTCCGGCATTGCCTTTTAATCTTGTAGCTTTGCCTCTTTTAATCTCGTTCCATCGACCAGCCTCCCTCTCCGAACCTCCCCACCCAGCCGCCGGTTCCGTGTGCTCTTCGTTCGGATGCAATTTCTCCTTTCGTTCGTTCGCTTGGCCCGGCTGAAAGCGTCGCTCATCCAGCTGTTCGCGGACCGTTCGTAAAAACACCGTTGCTACACGCCCGCTAGGCACCTGATACGGATGCCGAACGAGACGTCAACGGGTAAAAGATTTACACGGGGGGATCGGAACTTGCAGTGTTCGGTAATGAAAGCTGCTCGATTGCTGAAAAGACCGACGAGGATCTAAACATGTCGGGCGATAGATAAACGAGAGACTCATTACTCCTGGGGAACTCTGATAAAAGGGAAGAAGTCTTCTCCAAGATCCTATTACGACTGTCTACCAGATTCTTACGGTGAATGATTTCTAGTTTTATAATTGCGGGGTGGAATGCTCGTGCTTTTCTAATATCGTATCGTAAGCATCGTGTAATCTTCTTCAGGGTCTATTTATCGTGCTAATATGAATCGAAAACGTCCTTTACTACTTTGCAATCCGACCACTCGTTATGGAGATACAAGCAGTTGAAGTAAGACCAAAATGGCGCGCAGTGCCACCTCGATAAATTTAATTGTTCATATCTCGGTAACCGAGCCTCAGATCGCAAAATGATACAGGACTTTTCAACTTCATTTTGAACGATAATATTAATTTTTATACGCATTCTATCTCGTTAATGATTCGTTATTTAAGTTATGAAAATGTTAATTCAGAATACGGACAAATCCGTGCACTACAGATTGCTTATGGCAGTTTCAGGAGTTATATCAACATTCGGCTCTTAACCTATCCCGATCGTTACGGAATCTCCGTAACTTCGCCAGCAGTGTTACAACGTCCGCGTGTCCCGGTCGGTTCCGGAGTCGCAAGACTCGCGAATATTATCGTTTCCGGTTCACGGAGAGTCGCCGTGCGCGCGGGACTACAAATTCATCCGGCTCGTCTTCAGCGGAATATCCATAAATCCGCTGGCACAAAAGCCCGACGCCACCGGTTCGAAGAAAGGGAACGATGAAATTCGATAGAACCGAGACAACAAAAGTGGCAACACCATAAACTTCCTTTAACGCCCCGTTGGCGGGCCACGGTTTTATTATCCGACCTTTAAATAAGATGCAAAATAGTATCGGTTCCCTGACCGACAATACCGATCGATCTCGCCGACCATCCTTTCGATGAAATATAAATCAAAGCTTCCCATTGTTCGTTTACAATTTTCGCTATTTATCAAAGTTTGTTAAGAGCACGAAGTATCATCAAATATCGACGAAGGTAATTTACTCGATTACCGTATCGATGCATGATTTTGCACAATTTGTTCCGAAAGAGGTAAATCGAGCTGTGGGAAGGCCAGCCGGTCACTGGTTCGAACGAAAAGGAAAGGAAACGATGAAGTTCGATGGAACCGAGACAACAAAAGTGGCAACACCATAAACTTCGTTCAACGTCCTGTTGGCGTGGTCCGGTTTTATTACCGCGCGACAGGCAAACCTTTAAATAAGATGCAAAATGGTACTACTTCCCGGCCGACAATACCGATCGATCCCATCGGCTCCTATTCGAGGAAATATAAATCCCGTTTAATGCACCGGCCACCTAAACGACGTGGATTTGCGAGCAACCCGAACGGCCATTGGAGCCCGTTGCGAGATTGATGTGACACTCCCGAGCGCTGTAAATATCGAGATCCATCGACGGTGATCCCACGGAATCGCGCGGCAATGCCAAACTTAAATAACTCCGGGGAATATCGGACAATGCCCGTTGCCAAAGACGATTTTTACGCTTGTTCGCGAGACTATTGCTCGTGCCACGGACGAATAAACTTCATCGTAATCTCGTGGTTACTGCTTTGGGGTTAGCCTGATTCGGAGAGCGCAAACGCAGGCTTTTCGAGAAACGTATCGTACCTATATGTGGGATTTGTAGCGTCAAAACTATTGGACAATTAAACGGTGTATTTTCAGTAGACACGAACGAGGGTAAAATGTAAATTGAAGTTCTCGAAACCCAGAATGGGAACTGCTTCGATGGATGGAGGGGGATCTGGGGCAACAACGGAGCACCAAAAATATTCGAAGACCCACGTAAACTTGGAGGCCCTCGCCTCCTCGTTGAATACACAATTCGTTCCACCGGCGGGGGACACCTCGACGAGGCGAATCGATTCCGTCGGTCGACGGAAAGTGGAAGGGTCGATCTTGAACGCTGGAGACAAGCGACGATCACTCGAGATCCCGTCCGTCACGGTTCTCGCCTCGAGGATCGAGCAACTTCGTGGCACTCGACGATATCTACGGGCAAGACGGAAAACGGAAAAAGGGTTCGCGAGCGCCGGTAACAGTCGGACGGGTCGCATAAATCAGCTGCAAGGAGAGTTCTCGAGCGGGAGAGGCGTCGAGGCCGGCAGGCCGAACCGTCAATAAAATGCAAAGGCGGAAAGTTAAAGCTAAAGATCAGCCGCCGCCGGATCCGCACAGAGAGTACTTGGACGCTGAGTCCACCGACGATGAGGAGAAGCACAGTAAGATTTACGAGAAAAATATTAAAGTCTTCGTTTTTTACCGCATCTCCGACTCCAATGCCAACTCCCAACGACTTTACCGTCGTCTTTTGGCTCTTCCTTCCGGTCCCTAACCTTCCACGCGAGGGCGATCTTCCCGTTTCGTGAATCGATCCTCGCCCAAATAGCAATTACGAGCAACACACTGATTTCTATTATTACATATATTTGCCTACGATCGCGTCTAGAAAATTGTTTTCGGTGTTGGACGCGTGGGAAATGTGAAACCGAAAATTGGAATCTCCGGTGGTGGGTGGAACGAGCAAGATTACGCCAGTGTCCAACCGCGGAGGCTTAATACGAAATTAAATCCGATCGTCGATTTCGCAACGAGAGTCCCACCCTAGAATTACCATCCTCGATCATCCGCAGCCAGCGCGCGACATTAATTGTTCGACGGGGTAGTCGGAACGTTCTCCCTTTCTCCTGTTTCCCGTCCCGCCCTGTGGATCCCCGTGCCTAGCAGCTAGATATTCCGAGATAACGGGCGCGGGTGTTCGCAGCTCGAATACAACCGCGTAGGTAACCGCGCCCGATAGGCAACCAGGGTTATTGGTTCATCTAGTTTGCCTACTTTTGGGGTGGGAACCAGCGAGATCGGAGAGCCGCGACGAATTGACCGCGTTACCCTCGAATTGGTTCGAGGAACACCTAGGGATGGAGGTTGGGCTCGAATTACCATAATCCTGGAGACAAATTAGGAACTCTGCAACACCGTGAACGGCCGATTAATCGTCGACCAGTGACCACCTTAAGCGTCATAATTCACCCCTCTGCCTGTTCGTATCGATGCTCCCATTGTTCCGGGTCAATCGAACGACCGTGTTGTCGGCCGGATTAAGCATTCTAGTGCCACCAGGACTGATCGCCTACTATAACAGTTATTGTCAGACCTCGTAAATAGTCATTTTTGGACAGTTGTGTCCCCACTGTCTGGAGCACCGGCCATCTCCATTTTTCTTACTGGATCAATTGAAACAAAGCAATATTTTTTGGAGAACCTAATCCCAGGACAGGTAGTGTCAGGTTCGGTCCTCGAAAATATCAAAATTCCCAAGAATGTCCAAGATCCCTGATAATTCTCAAAACTTCAGAATATTCTCGAATATTGCAAGCATCGATAGAAAAAATAAGTCTAAAAACTTTTTCTCCAATGCTAAAAACCTTATTCCCTGTCTTTGAACACTGATATCGCCAATATGCCTAGGAAAAAAAGGTATCGTCCAGTCCTTAATCAAGAATCACCGACAAAATTGCTCCCCGATGGAGTCCCACGGACGTTCGGAAGTCGTTTTCTTTCAAATTAACGAAACAATGACCACAACCAATTATCGTCGAGTTAAATCGCCTCCATTCTTGTCGAAGAACTCGAAAGATCCTGCCGTTTCCGGTGTTAACTGCGAAAATTCCAAATGGAGGTCCGAATCGAAGCGAGTTGCGCCGCGCAAAGTGCCCGCAATTACGTCGACAATGGCGACGCTTGCTCGCGTTCGCGCGCGTTAATACACCGATATTGGTGGTGAAAATGTTTACCACGATATTCACTGGAGTTCGATCGTGTTCCCGTTTCCTACCCCCGTGAAAAAAAAAAGGAATTACTTTCGCGTTGAGCGTGTAACGAAATTGTAACGGGTTAATCCACTGGACGAGGATTTTATTGGGAATCGTTATAGCGGCGTCGGGACGCGACCAGCCCCACGATCGATGCGTCGTTAACGAATTTTTCTTGATGTATAAGTCGATTCGAGCATTTGTAACCCCTTCGCCATTTTCTGACGGTGACAGATATGGACATCATATTTTAGGCACCAAAGTGCAGACGTTAAAATTGAAAATTACTAGTGAATTGCTCGAGCACGGTGTTGTATTAAAACTACAAAATCGTTTATAAATATTTCTCGAAAATTGCTAGAAATACGGTGCAAAATATAAAACCCAATCTTTCTTATGCTACTAGCAATTAAAATATTTAATTTTGTCCACACATTCATGATTTTCTGACGAACTACTTGCGCGCGTACAAAATTTCGAAAGTTATACGTAGAATTTATTCATACAAGTCGTCGCATGATTTTTTTATAAACCATCAGCGACATAAAGGAAAATCGAATCTAACGTTTTGAACACGGATCGCCTCAAAAGATCGTGAATTGTAAAAAAACCGTGCGGAGGAGATAGTCAAATATTGACCAAGAGTAATAGTTCCAGCGTTACGTTCACTAACAGTCGGGAAAGTAAAAGCTCAATCCGCAAGAAGAATACTTTGTTCAACATCCCGTAGTGTTAGGACACACGCACACCGAACACGAACACGAACACAGAGCAATCAACAATTGTACGACACAACGAAATGATTGCATCGACTTATACACCGAAAAGCTTTTATTCTCATACAGGCACGAACTATCGTCATTGTTAACGAAAATTTAATAAACAACAGAAACGCCGGACCCCCGTGTCTGCGTATAGTCGACGCGCGAAATCGCCAGATCGAAAAACGCTTTTCGCGATGGAAAAACACGGCGCTTTTTTCTTGCGAAATAATCAACGCTCGGCAATGGTGAATTATTCTGTTCGCGCAGGGTGTTCGAAAGATTAGTCGCTTTGACCAGCGTGATTTTTAATTTTCGTTCCGCACACCGCTCTCCCCCTTCTTTTCCCACCCTTGATGGCAACCGGTGTCGAGGCATTTTCGAGCGTGTCGGCGAAAATACATCGTCCGACGAACAATGCGTTCGTGGGTGCCTCGCTTGTTGTTGTTGTTGTTCTCCCTGCCGGCGATACATTTTCCATTATCGCCTGACGCTTCGCCTATCGCGAGTTCTCGCGTCACGCGCTGCATCGACGTCCGAGAAATTCGCAGATTTCCGAAAACACGATGCACCCTTTCTCGTTAAGAAACCCATAATTTGTGCAAAGTTTGTGTCGTCTTCTCAAAATTATTTTATTCCACGACTCGCGATGGCGAACGTACGTGGACGGGGAAGAAAAAACGATGGAGGCGATCGGTGGTCGAGAAATCCTTCAAGTTCGTCGCCGTCAGTGGCAGAAATCGTGGAAACGTACAATCGAAACGTGACGGGGACGCGGTGTAAACCGTGAAAAACCATCGGCGCGGAAAGCTACGTGACGGTAATAAGTCCCCCGCGGGCGTAGGGCGGGGAAGAAGAAGCGGAGAAGACGACATCGTTACCATCTACATAATGCTCGCTATCATAGGCCAATAAATTACAGCAACGTGTCCTCCCGCGGCGCCTCGATCACCCAACGTGTTTCCTCTTCCGCCGATTCAGTAGCTGCTCGCGATTTATCGTTCCTATTAGATTGCCAGGAGCAAAGACGTATCCTTGGACGAGGGGGGTTGAAGGGGTGGTTGCGCGCGACGCTGTGCGGCGAAGCTAGCTGCCACCGGGACGAGGAGAGGACAGGAGAAAAACGACATCGGGACGGACGAAGCAGAGAAAGAGAGATTCTTGGAACGAATGTCTTCGATTTAACTCGCCCGCCAGATTTAAGAGTGCCCATCGCGACCGCCACCGTTTCCAATCGACGACTAACGAACGATCCCGGCACCCGCTGAATTTGTTTCCGTTTTACCCGCCGTGCCGTGGCCGACTCGCTTGACACCGACCGGATAAAGTCGAAATATCGAATTACTTAAACGGGATTCGGTCCGCTATCAACGTATTTGCTGTACCGAATATTTTCTACCAATAGAAAACAGTTTAAGGGTCTTTAAATCTTAATTTCGTATGATCGAACCCCACGTCTCTTTTGTAGTGTACAAAGTTGAGGATGTCGAGGAGGAGCTCAGGCCTGTTTACGACGACACGGAGCTGTCGGAATTGGTGAGCACATAAAGATAGATATAGAACTTCCAAATTATTTAGTTCCCTAGACTAAAAGATTTCAAAGATGGCTGTTTCTCCCTTCGAAGGTGAACTGCGTGAAGGAGATGACCACTCTGAGCGGCATGCCTGACTCGGACGATTGGTCGTACTATACCGAGTCGTTGGTACGGAAGTTCTTTCTGAGCCCAGCGTCCCCGGTGCTCAGCGTGTACCGGATGTACGGTAGGGTCATGGCGGCGTTGGGGTTTCCCGTGATCCCCGTGCAGGAGTTCACCTACTTCGTCAGGGAACCGCAGGAGGTGTTTCGAATGGACAGCTTCAGAGATTGCGTGCTGTTCGGCACAGTGAACGACAAGTCGGAGATGCACGTACTCAGGCTGGTCCGGGACACGCTGGCGCCGATCTTCTTGCGCATCGAGACCTGGCCAGACAGTATCCCCTTCCGGTTTAACTCGTGTTTAATTAGTCAGGCCGCCGGAACGAAAAGTTCCGAAACCGCCGCATAACGATACTTCAACGAGCTTTCGAAACTTTCCCGCGCCCTTTTTTCTTTTTTTCTTGTCCCGAGGGGGTAAACAATATACGCGGGGTTAACTTTAATTGGCACGCCCCACTTGGAACGCCTCCACGTTTAATTCCCAACCGCGAAACCGAAGGATCATAATAGCTGATCGGTTGGATCCGCGAAGTTGGAGCAATTGATAGGGAATCGTAGAAACCGAGTTTTAAATTCGATTCGGCTTCTTTTTTGGGTGTTAGTAGAGCCAAGTGGTTGACTCACTGGTGGGATAACTTGCGCAGGTTGTTAAACTGAAATCTGGGCCAAGCGAAATTAGTGGTTTTGCAGAGCAATGTGAATTTGTAATTAACAGCGAAGAGATTCTACAAACTGAATTATCTTTACCTGGTCCCACGGTGAACGATGTAAGTTTATGATTCATGAGTGGAATAACTTTGTTAAGTTATTAGAGAAGTCTGACAAGATCGACGAAGTGAACAGTATGAGCTGGTAACTGATGATAATAACATTGTGGAGGCTGCATTAGCTTTATTTTCTAAGTATGGGCGCTGTAAGAAGATAATGGATGAGTTGAAGTCGGCGAAAAATGATATCCAGGTAGATGAAGTTACAGATTTTGGTCATATTAGATTCAGAAGTCTCAATTAACTTCATCTTCTTCCTTATGTAAGAACATCCGAGTAAACGACTCAATTTCAATAACTTTGGTCGGTTGTTAAAATGAAATCTATCCTTAGAGAAGTCTACATCGACAAAGTTGGAGATTCTGGTAGACGATGTAAAGTGTAATTCACGAGTTAATTAGCTTTAAGTTGTTAGATTGAAATTTATAGCACAGTTTGCCAAGGTCGACGAAGTTAAAGGTTCCGATGATAAATTCTTATTGTTAACAATACAGAATGAGTCTCGAGTCGAGTAATTATTATCGGATACTAATATCTACTACATCCTATTTAATTAACCCTCGCTAACTATTACTTTTCGAACTTTAAATTGTAAGGCCAAGTTTCTAGAGCCACTAGGGACGTCCACCGAAGTTACAAGTCTCGATGACACCTGTAAGACGGTGGTTCATTGCGGAGGTTCCGAAAAGTAATAGGAAAACTTGATCGAATTAGATCCCGAGTTAGGCAGTTTTAATCGGGTATAAAAGTTAGCGCTGTCCTACTCGGGGAATCATTGATTTATTCGTGATTTATAACGCCTGAAACTGCGAAGTAGGCGATGCAAGCGCAATAGAAGATTTACGATCCACCAATTATTCAGGAAAATCGATCCTCCGATTCGCGACCCGTTGAAACCTCTGATTATATTTACTCTGCATTTATTACGTGTCTGCTTCGTTTGGTAGCTAAATAGACTTTTTTCAGGACCTTGTTTCAGTTAATTAACCGTACGTAACAATCACATTTTGCTTCTATAATTATTTCCCCAACGTCTGTCAAAAAGATTTTAAGCACGTGACTTACTTTACTAGGATCGATTATCGTTTCTATTGCTAAGAAAAGATAAAATGGTGTCGAGTTAGGGTTACAACGAGCTGTCAGGGAGGCGTCACAGAGTTGAATTTCTAACTTCGACCGTGTGCAATCCTGTTGCAGCAACTTCGTAGGGAAAGGGAGGTGGCTGGGAGGATGGGCCGAAACAGGAAGGGCTGGACGAAGTTATTATTACCATAATTTTCGACTAAATGCACTGCGCAACTCGCAGCTCGGTAAATTCGGCGTCGATGTTTGCTCTTGCACGGGAACGGGATTACTCGGCGGTCCAGTCAGAAACGATTGCATCGCGTTCGTACGGAAGTCGCTTCGTTATTTCTAATGGATCCCGGGATTCTAACTGGATAGAAGGGACGTTTCTCTAATTGCGACTGGAATCGCGGACGTCCGTGCCGAGCACTTTTTGCACTTTCGAATCGATTCGAAACTCTTGGCACGCTCGCGACGCGGAGTTTGCGTATTTTTCTTAAAGGGGGATTCCCATTAAGGGGGCGATTGTTTGCATAATTATTGGATTTTTTTTTTAGTCAAAATTGTAAGGGATCATCGAACGTGATATCTGAATTTTTTAAAATATTTTAGTCAACTCGATTGGCGCCATTCCACAGATATGAAACAAACAAATTATTAAAGTACATGAGTGCGATTATAGACTCTGGTAAAATGGAAAATATGATTTAAAATAGCTGAAAAATAAAAAACTTAGATTTGATCATCTTTCTCGACTTAAACGTAAACATTTGAAAGGCACAGGGCCTCGACTAGCCATAAATGACTTCCCATATCATCGAAAGGGAAACTGATCGAGTAACCTCTATCTAGACAAATGTACCCTACGCTGAACTCCTTTCCCAAAGTTTCTTCATCTTCCTTAACTTGTCCGAAACACATGCGTGAAGACGGACTTCTACACGAGCGTGGACACGTTCCTGTGCACTCTAACAGACCTGGCGTACAAAATGCTGGGCTTAACCGTGATATACGTACCTCGGGAGGGTGATGACATCGTTCTCGGCGACGAAGTCAGCTCTGATAAGGAGTTGGTCAAGAGGTTCGAGGGTATGGTAGCCTATTGGACCACTCAAATCAGGATCGCCCTCTCGGACCAGGAACAAGCTACACCCAACGAGTTGCTCTGCCTCGAGGACGAGCAAGAATTTTGGATGTATCGCTGTTAGTGATCCAGTGGAATCTCGAGTCAATTGGGTCCTGGAACGTTCATAACATCGTCTCTACTTTAATAAATATTGAATGTTCAGATTTGAGTACTTATTAGTATTTATCCCTTAGCTTCTTAAATTGTCAGCTACTTTAGCGAAACAAGGTCTATTAATTTCTAATTTACAATGTCACAAAGAAATGAAATTTTAGAACCCAGTGTTCAATCCTTAGATGCCACCCTAACGAAATAAAATTCTCCCGTGGCAACAGACGACAATCTCTGCGGGTTGAACCATCAGATCCAGAGGCCCACCGTGAAGAAGATAACCGAGTTCCTGTCGATCAATCAATCCACCTACGTTCGGCAATTCATGGCGCTGAAGGACGAGATCGAGAATGGCGTGAAGGAAGCAAGATCCAACATCGAGTACCTGAGCATCCTGGAGTCCGACTCCGCGGAACTGAACAAATGCGTGAAACCGTCGGACATCGAGCAACATCTGACGAAAATAATTCACCTGTTCAGGGTAATCTGGCTGAACTCGCCGTACTACAACAGCCGCGAGAGGATAGAGTACCTGTTCAAGGCGCTGAGCAACCAGGTGATCATCATCTGTCGAAATTACATCAACCTGAGGGAAATCTTCGCGGGAAAAACCAGAAAATCCATGAAAACGTTGAACGAGTGCGAGATGGCATGCGAAAACTACAAATCGCTCTACAAACAGGTAATATTCGCACCTGAGAACTCTCAGGTATAACTGATAAAAGCTGATAGTTCCTATAGGAAAACATATTAACTTATTTAATATATAATTATTATTTGACGAAAAGAGGAAACCTCTAAGACGAATATCACGGTTTGAGAGTGTTTTTCCAAGCAGCTTAGGGACTATTAATTCCGAATCAAGACCGAGACCGTGTCGATAGTCGAACACTATCGATCTCTCGAACTGTTTTGCAACAATACGCGATAGGGGGAGGATAAGATTAATCACAGCTCGCTACTAAGCACTTGCCACGACGAATATTATTGCAACGTCGAAGGGACGTGTTCCAGGGCGCTGTAGAAATCATTGTGAACCGGAGTGCAATTATAGTGACTTCCGCTTAACGCGAGAACTCCTCACTTTGCCTAACGGCTCTTTCCCAAGTATCCGAAGCAACCGCGCTCGCGTCGTTCAGCAGTCCTTTCATGAACGTTGAAGATTATTTTCTCTGCAATTATAGGTAATTTATAGGTAATTCTAAAATGCAAGTGGGAAGTCGAGGGACTAAAATGATCCACGTATTCCTGCATACTAAATTTGTTAGTTTCGTTACGAGCGATTGCAATATTAAAAAGACAAATTTCACTCCCAAATGAATAAAAAATGTTTCGTTCTGTCGCGCTGGGATTAAGTCTCGATTGTTTCGGGGGAGCTTAAATTTGTAAAACATAATGGTCTCGATGAATAAACCTATCGAGGGATTAGAGAACGTCAGAAGCTTCTCGGCGGTCGTACTTCCGGTGGACGAAGGGAACGAGGACAATGGCTTCGAAAATAATTTGTCAGCCGGGGATTAGCGTTTTATCCGAGCGACTAGGGTGCGTTGTTGCCGAGGGGGTCGAGGGACGGTTAGCCAACGGTGGTTATGGAACGAGGTCAAGTTTTCGCGTTAAGCGGAAGTCACAATAACCCCGCAGACTTAGGCGTCCCTCGTACGGCCAGATAAGCGCGAACAGGGGGTGAGAATCGCGCCATGACGCGTTCGCGGTCGAACGGGGGCGAATTACAGGGTTTCTGCGATTTTTCGCGAAGGGGAAATCCCGACAATCGTATTACTGGCCGCTGATCGAGGGTCAAACGAAGTCTCCCTTGGGAGGATCGTCGAGGGTTTGCTTGTTTCGTTGTAACAAGTATTTATTAACCCTATGTCCGGCCAGTCCGGCCACTCCGGATGGCCTCCATTTACTTTCGTCACCTCGAAAGGGGGCGACAGATGGCGACAATTAATTATTTGGAACGCTCCGTCGCTTGGGTAACAAGGGTTAATTAATGAAAATATTTACGGTGGACGATCAATGTTGTTTCACGTTTTTTTTTTAAATAGAAAACTTCTATTCCTGTTTTTTATTTTAGGGTCGTCACGTTTCCCATGCACTTGTCCCTTACACGAAACCAGAACATTTTTCGAAGCACAGTTAGCGCTATTTCCTCCCATTTGCAGAATTAAAAACGCGAACGCGACGATGTTCACCGCGGTATGAAACACGCAATACGCGGTGCGCCCGCAGCATCGAAATTTGAGCTTCGTAATTTTCCGCGGAACATTTTATCGTTTTCGAAACGATTGAAACCGCCCTTTTGAAAAATGAAACGTAATTCGGCGTACTCTAAATACTCGTAGCGATTGAGAGTTGAAAGATAAACGAAACAATCACGAGCTCTGAATTTACCCGTGCTTCAATTTTGTATAAAACGATCCGCCGCCGACTCCGAAATTAATAATGCTCGAGCCCTTTCGAAAGTGAATTGTGACCTGGAATCGCAGCGTCGACAATTTAAATAAAAAAAAAATAATGAAAACGCGCGATGAGATACGATACTTCTCCTCGTCGAGCTACGAAACAAACTATTGAATTTTCCATATCGCAATCATTGACTGAACACTTCAGTGTCCGGAACGAACGAGCCTGTCCCTTTCAAAAATGAATCGTGACCCAGTGCGCTACTTGTATTTTGCGTGATTGGCAATCAAAACAAAAAGGAAGGTAAAGAATGCACAATTAAAAAAAAAAAAAAAAAAAACGATTCTGATTCGTGTCAAGATACCGAATGACGTTTTTCGTCCATGCTTTCCGGTCCTCTGTAAAACGCTTCGATGCTTTCCAACCGAATAAAGCCGCCCTTCCCGAAATTGATTGACAAATTGACTTTCAAAAAATCCGGCACCGCGTACAAGAGGGATTTTTTTTTAAACGGCTATCCGAAAAGCTGCGATTCGTTGAATTCGCGCCCGGCGAGGACGGTGTCCTTTGGACTCCCGGGAACGTTTCCCCGATGTTTGCGTTATTCCTTTTTGTAGTTTCGCGTTTGCCCGTTTCATTGTTGTTAGAAAATCGTGGACTTAGTTTATACGTGACCATGCATCGCTGCGCCGGGAATACACCGTAGGGTTTTTGGAACGTTCCAAGCGTGCATTCTCGAGGATGCAGCCCGGAGTCCTTGCGTGTAGACCCCGTGCAGAGTCAGTTGTAGACTGTCTCTGTGCACGGTACGCTGAACACGCGTGCTCTCGTGTCGTCGAGTTGCTTTCTGCAGTATTTTATTCAAATGCTGTTATCAGATATTCCCGCGAATTATTTAACCAACCGAATTTTCCAGCAAAGCTAAAGCGTTAAACAATTAATTGAAAAGATAAGTTAAAAGATTCATGTTTTAATATATTAGCAAACCATTTGTATTAGAGATATTATCTTTTAAAGTCACAAGACTTGGGAACGATTTTTTTTATAAAATTCCTGTTCCCTTTTCGGGTTCGATCTTGATGGGTTCGCGAAGTACACGGTCCGCCCGATAATGGAGAATCGAAAGAGAGCAGAGGCGACACGGAGACAGAATATCGATCTCCCTTATTTATCCGCTTTAAGTCCCCGTGCATTTTCCGCGATCGATTTCGTCACGTCGCGCCGCGAGCCGGATATTAAACCGCCGCGCTTGTCCTCGCGTAATATAAATTTCACCAACGACTCTTTCGTCCCCCCCCTGCTGACGAGACCCCTTGGCTTTCAGATAGCGTACGCCCACACCACCATCACGCATCTACCGTGGGATTTAAACATAGACAATATATTCCGTCATATTGATATTTTCATCGGCAGGTGCCACGACATGATTGAGACCTGTCAGGCGATGATCGATTTTGCCAGGTAATCAACCAGCCTCTTCACATCCCCGCGTGTTCCCCGCGAAATTAAAGAAGCGGCCAGAACCGTCACGAGACATTTTTTTTCCTATTAAATTTCGTAAACGCTTCGCGCTTCGTCTTTTAGACGTAGGTAACAAAACTGGAGGATGAAATTGGGTACGAATAATTATGATTGGTGTACGCAGAATGGACGAAACGGTGGACGATGTGAGACCAATGTTCAGTGGGACGAAGGGGGATGAGTACGAGAGGGGGTGCCAGAAGATCGAGAGACTGTTTCACGAGGCGTTGCAAAAGATCGAGCAGATCTCTCACAAGATCTTCGACGTACACCAGGGTACGTGGCACGAGGACATATTCGCCTTCCGTTCGGAGTTAAAGGATCTTGAGGTCATGATCGAGAACCTGGTAACGTCTGCGTTCGTGGGGATGCACAACGTCCAGGAGGGGATCGAGAACCTCCAAGGATTCTACAATTATATGAACCGCGAGAAGCTGAAGCATCTATTCGACGTGAAGACAAACGAGGTAGAAAAGTAGATTTTAAACGCTCGTATACCTGGAACAATACAATATTGTTAAATTCGATTAGAATCATCGAGCTCGGAATAACTCGAAGCGTAGAGAGATTATTTATTTAGGGAAAGAACATTAGGAACAAGGAGGATAATGAACCTTACGAATACCGTACAAAACGCGTTAAGATTGATTGCAGCATTATTTCAAGTTACAAGCTACAAGCTCGTTACTGCGAGCATAAACGTTATATCTCGTAAACTATAAATTGTCCCAACAACCCACTTATGTCATCTAAACGAGCATTAAACGGAGGTACAATTGAGGCAGTTTTTCATAAAAATCGGTAGGAGTATATTTTTCCTTTAACGATTAGTACGAACCCTTTGTTGGGGATAAATGGGAAGGATGGATATAAATTTTGCAAAATACACCGTGAAAATATTTTTTACTATCCATGCAAATCTCGTTAAAATATTGTTAACCGTTCGAAAATTATTAACATATTTCTATCTTCTCTGGATAGCAATTTTAATCCCTTGTAGGCTCGAGGGAAAATTTACAAGAATAGACAACGACTAAATAAACTTCCAAACTTGCAAAATTCAAATCGAGTACGTATGGAGATTAGGTTTATACAAATTCTTGGGTCCCTTTCCATTCATAAGAAAAATAATGTATGCACTAAAAACTTTTCAGGGGTCGAACATTCGATGAAAAAAATAAATGACTAGCAAATTGAAAAGAGTAATTTTAACTGTATAAAACGGAAGTACTTCGAGCTCGATATCGTGCTACGTAATTGTTAAGATTAATAACAGACCGTTTCCACGTAATGTCGGCGAACTTTTCGTCCAGACTCTATAATTCCTGAGAGGCAGAGGAGATGGAAAAGAACGTTTCCGTTTCTCAGATATGGAAACTGTTCGGCGACGATATCCAGCGAACGAAGCAGGAGGTCCTGGACGAAAGGGAGGAATATCCTTCGATGACGCCGTATTATGCAGGCAGGGCGTTGAACCTTCGGCTGAAAGGTGCTCGTCTGCAATCAACAAGGGAGATGCTGGAGGAGGCCGCGTGGATGCCCTACTGCGGCCTCAGCGTGGAGCTCTACGAGCAGCACGATATTCTGATGAAATCGATCGAGGATTTGGTGGCGGATCTACACAACGAATGGATATACGAGGCCGGCGAGAATCCACGGGTTCGCCTCGATCGTTTTCTGATGCGGCACAGCGACGCGAAGCCCGACTCGCTCGAGTGCAACATCGACCCGGATATTTTAACGTTATGCCGCGAATCTGCTTATTGGATCAATCTGAACTTCGCCATACCGGTCCACGTGCAGATCGTATACGACAGATGGGAGTCACTGTGCTACGTCTACGAGAGCGTCGTGGCTGTAGTCATCGGCTACAACAAAGTTATCGATGGTCAGAACTAGAATTAGAAACAAACTAGAATTACTATTAACAGAAATCTTGCGGTCGAAACCAGAAACTTCTTTAATTCAGGAAGAGGAAAACGATTTTTGCGACAGGAGTTGTTATTTTGGTTTCGATGGAGGTTTGGAGAAAAGGGGTAACGAAGGAAAGGGCTTCGTGAAGTTTTATTTTATAACGAATAGTTAACGATCGAACATCCGTAATATTTCCTGTTCCGGTCCCCGAGAACGTTCGACTTGTTTCTCCGATTTCGTCTTTTTATCGAGCATTTCGATCACGAAATTCGCAACACATCCCGCCATTAATTTCCCCCGGACGGGGGAAATTCACAAAATTCGTTCTGCCGAACTTCGACGGAAGTTCGACCCCCGCAGGAAATTCCATTAAACGTACATTTTCTGATACATCGGGTTCACCGAATGCGCCGAGTTGCAAAGTAATAATTAGCGCTGGCGACGTAACTTTCCATCAAAGTCTCGCATTCTGCGAGACCTCTCACCACCGCCGATCGAACGCAACGTTCGAGCGATCGATTCGCGGGTGAAACGGAAACAGTTGGCCGTCGAAAGCAATCTGTCGGGCGGACTCTTGCTTTCCACCCACGATCCCACCCCCATCTGAACCCCCCCTCCAAACCCAAACCTTTTTTCGCTAATATAAATCCGGTCGACTTCGGCACGTGTTCCGCGGGCGTCGAACGAGTTCGTGCAAATATTTCGAAGTTTCGAGCGTTGCAACCGCCCCCCCCCCCCCCCCCCGTGAGAACTTCGTGTTTGTATATTGACTGCTCGAGATTGCGAAATAGTTGTTCGAGCACAGTCCTACGAAAATACCTCGAGCGTCTTCTTCCCTGCTTTTAACGCGGCGTCTTACAACCGATGAGAGGGGCGGCAACAATTATGAAATATTCAGACGGGATGAAGTCTCGATGCGGAACCAGACACTGTGGAATCTCCATTCTACCGTCTATTCGGCGAACAACGCCTCCACGCAATTAATTCTTCTCTAAACAATCCCTCTAACGAGTTTTACACTATTTTTCTATGCAAGTATGTCGCCATTTTTTGGAGAAATTAATCCTATATCAATCTTTAAACTCTCTTCTTTTCTTTTGGTGTATACACAAGGGAAGTTGCTTAACACTTTGACTGTCACGTCACTCATACGTGACAGGATTTATCACTATGATACTAGAAAAATTAATTCTCAAGTTAAGATGTTGAAGGAAATAAATTTGGGTAGAATTTGTGAATTTTAACAAGGTTACAGAAATAAGTACTGAAACAAATTTTACAATGGTCTAAAATTATTATCATATTTAACGGGGTAGACATTGTCTGAGACGTGTTTAGACGATCGCCACTTTTTTGAACGAGTTTACCAGAATCGACAAATTTCTCGTTCGCTCTGGAATTCTCTCCCAAAGCTGTCTGTTTGCAATCCAGCGGTCCCGATTCGGCCGCAAGTAACGAGACGCTACTGTATGCACATACGTTAGCGTTACAAAGTTACCGTTTGAACGCGCTCGCGAATAACTACGGGGTGTTATAACTCCGCAACGTAGATTTCATTCGGGGGGGCGGTTTCAATCGGAATCAACATCGAGTCCCGCGACGCGAAAGACAAGATCATTTTATTTTTCAGCGTTGTCAAACTCGGAACGCGAGCTGTTCCACGAACTAATTCGCCAGCTAGACAGGAAGATCAATCCCGGCTTAGCCAGGCTGACATGGAACTCGGAATACGTGGACGCATACATCGAGGATTGCTTTAACCAAACGGCAAATGTACGCTTTCGCCTCTCTCTCTCTCTCTCTCTCGTTCTCTTTCCGTCTTTCTCCCGTTCGCCCCACTATCGCCATTACCGAGTCGGGCGAGACGCCTATATGCGAGCTAAAATTTATGCAGCGAGTCCGGTTCTGTCCTGGCGAAATTAAATTTTGACCCAGCCAAGTGGGATCCGTCCGCAGCCTTTGTTTGTTTAATTAAGCAAGAAGCGAGCGTGCCGCCGTTACGGAATAACAATAGCGGATATCCGGAGCCGCATTTGCGGCCATTCGTTACCCTGTTCAAATCGACGGAATTCGGACGGAGCCAAGGGCGATACGCCCCCGCCCGCTCGTACCGCCTCTCCACCCCTGCTGCAATTATTATCGCTAATTAGTATACGTTACCGGCGTTAACGAGCAATTTGATTCAATGATAAACATATTTTATTCCCAAGTTGATTCTCGATTGCAGCTACAAGAATTCATCGACGTTTACAAAGACTCGAACTTCGAGATCATGAAGATCACCGAGAACATCTGCGACACGCCGATGATCAAGATCCGACCGAACTACACGTACACGCTGAGGGAGCTGGAACAGGAATTGCTGAGGGTGAGGTGAGAACAGGGCTGAATAATACTTTCGAAAATCGGTGAAACCCTTCTCTGTTTCAGGAACGCGACCTTCGAGGACATATTGAGCAAATACAAGACGATCGTTCAGCACGTCCTGGTCGTCTACGATGGATTCAAGGAGGTCATCGCAGAAGTACGTTCTTCGTGCAATTTTGATATTTATTATCACGTGTAAACTCTTCTTTATCTTGTTACTTATATGTTTGGCCAAATTTTTACTCTTTCTTCGAATATCGCGTGATAATTTCAATTTTCCCTCTGTGTTTCATGAGTTTACAAGTTTTCTCACCCTCACGGTAAACGTGATATTGTAACAACGTTTACGATAAACACAATGTTGACCCTACCAGCATGTTTATGCTATTAAACACTTTTATAGAAAACGGATAAAACCAGGAGATTAAACCGGGCACGGAGGCGAGATTAAATTTCAATACTCCGTACAGTGTTCCGTCGTCAGCGAATACAGAAATAGCTATTTCTATTTTATGTATTAATTTTCGCCCCTATCCCTCTCAAAATTAATCCTTCCCCCATGAATCACACTCACTGGGTTAATGTTATATTTATAATTCGCTTAAAATAACGACACGTTAAACTGAAATTTCGTCTGCTAATCGATACGCTTCCAAAGGCCAGTACACAAATACTCCGATGCATTTCGTTGCAATAATAGACGAGTTTCACGGAAAAGAGTACAGCGTCGTTTCGTCAGTGCAATCTCATTCGCTTGGCGTTGTCTAGTTCGTTTCCTCCTCCCATCGGCAACAAACGCAAGCACTATCCGGGTGCAGAATTCTCGCGAAATCTCCCGGTGTTATTCCCGCGGGCTCCACGGAGCAATTTTCGTACGCCAGAACACCGGAAACGTAGTCCAGGCCGATCCGCGTTACGATACGTCGCTGCGTGACGTGACTGCCGCCAGGAGCACGTGTCCCCGGTACCGTTAATGCGGAAGTTCGCCAAGAATCGCGACCCTCGACCCGGTGTAAACGTTCCCCAGGTCACGGAGGATCGACGAACTTCCTCGATCCTTGGAGATTCCGGCCTCGAAACTGCTAACTGACCGCGAAATCGACAGTGTCTGCAAGAATGGAAGAACTACCTGATCAGGATCGACGTGGTGATCGCGGAGTCCCTCAGGCTGTGTCTCGGAGGATCCTTGGAGGCCATGTACACGGCCCTCCACGGGGATGGAACCACCCCTCCATCGCCTTTCATTCTAATGCACGCTGACCTCGTCGATAATAAGGTGCGTTTCATATTTCTAAAAATCGATTGACTTCGAGGAGAGAAATTATATCTCCAGATAACTTTCACACCGAACCTGATGGACATTTCGTCGGTGATCTCGGTGGTCTTCGACAACCTGCTGGAGCCAGTACAACAGGTTCATCCACTGGTGAACAGGTTCAAGTTCTACGAGCCGATCCAAAAGTTCTGGATGAGCTTCGAGAAGAACGCAGAGCTCCTCGACCTGCAACAAAAGCTCAACGACGGTTATATTCTTATACGCTTCCCGAATCCGTTCGTTCTCAAATAACAATGATATTTTTAACATTCCAGAGGTCAGTTTCTGCTTTGTTCAGATACAAAATTATCTGAAGAGCTGGGAACCGTTCCAGGAAGTGTGGGAGGTGAACAGGGACATGTACATTCAGAGGTGACTCTGAGATTACCGAAGAACCTCATCGTTGATGATCGATGGATCGTTTATAAACTGCTTCAGATATGAGAAGCTGAGGCCCACGGCTGAGTCTTACGATGGCGACATCGCCAAGTACAGTTTGATAGCCAACAACGTCCAGATGCAGGAAACTGTGATGACTGTACACTTCCTCGACGTGAACGCTGATAGGTTGAAGGGCGCGATCATCGAAGAGTGCTCGCTCTGGCAACAAAAATTAATTGCACTGCTGCAACGGCAAACTGAGAACATGGTGAACCACGTTTATCACTACATCGCTGAGAATTCGAAAAAGTTAGTATATTATTCTTTATATTACTTCCAATCGTATCGATTCGAAAATAAAATCCATTCCAATCGCGAGTCTCGTTATATTCGCTTGAAGCAAAAAAATCTTTATCAACGAAAGTTCACAGAGTTGCTCAACGTCGAAAAAAGCTATAAAGGTGAGTTTAACGAAATCCGTCGAACTTTCGTTTCTCTTTTACCGTTCCGTCTCAAAGTTAATTTCAAAAGAAGCGCACCGAATCGAATATTTCTAGTTTGGAAACTAATCTGGAAATGTATCATTATACACTTTCTGATGCACCGAAAATGTTCAAGTATTTCTCGGATTTACTGGCAGCCTCAGACCCGCCTCGGGTAATAATCAGGGTTTTAGGTGGGGTTTAGATGCTCCTCAAATAGCAATCAAGTAGATTCGAGGAGCAATTGGTCCCTCCACGACCATTTATCAGAGAACCACTCATCCAAATAGTCCTCACCCTCTGCCTGAAGTGAGACAAAGCACAAATTGAATTCTGTTTCAATTGCAAATTAATTACTAATCCGGATAATATCTACTCTTTTGCCGAAGTCGAATTCCATGTAAAGCTCGTCAGCTTTGGTATTTAAGAGAAAGAGAGAGAGCTGTACAGAGGACAACACGCATCAGCGTTTCAATAGTTCACCATGACTCTTTTATTTCTCAGAGACTTAAAATTCTTCGACTTCTTAGTCGTTCGTCTACGTCCATAGACTCGATCCGAAAGCTCCAGCCCGTCCAGCGAGTCGTCGTAAATTTTTTCGTCGAGTATTCCCGAGTTTAGCGGCGAGTGGCAAACGTAAATTTATTCGTTCGCAGAATATCGAGGGAACCGACGGACCTGATCAGTATGCAATACTCAATGCAGTTGTACGAGAGACTCACCGCCGAGATTCCGAAAGAGGAGGAGGAATTCCCGAAGATCCACGAGCAACACCAGACCCTGGGTAAACCTTTAAACGTTCCTCCGTTTTCGTCGAAAACCGAGGGGATCGATACCCCACGCGAGAGAAAATACCAGGTCACTTCTCCGAGAGACGTTTAATTGTTGTTCTTCTCACCCTCCCCCTCCCTATCCTCGATTCCGTTGCAGAGAAGTACGAGGTGACTCTGACGTTCGACTTCAGAAGGAAATTGAACCACGTAAAGCCTTCGTGGGCCGCATACTTAGAATTGCTTGCTAAATGCGAAGTCATGCTGGCGGAGAAGAAGGCAAGCCTTTATGTCTTTCGTTTGTTCGTTAAGAGCAAACTTTATCTATCTGAAAATAAAATATTTAACAGAATTTGGTTAATTGTTGATTCCAGGATGAGTTCAAGGGAATTTTGTTGCAAGATGCTCTGATGTTCAAAGACGAAGTCACGGCCCTGGTGGGTAAATTCGCCGACGTTGGTCCCTTCACGTCCGATTGGACGGTGAAAGGTAAAAATGGTACCCGTTACGGTACAGTTCTGTGTATTAATTATTCAACGACGCAGACGCCTTCAGCTGGATAGACCTACTTCGAAGAGAGATCCACACTCTGAAGAGCAGGGAGAGAAAACTGAAGTCGCAGCTGTTGACGTTTGGCATCAACCATCCGGACAACGTCGAGCTGATACAGCTGGAAAAGGTAAACGAGACGCCGCTAGTTCCCGAACTTGTGCACGAGTACTCGTTTGCAGGATCTGACGGCCATCGAGCTGGTGTGGCAAATCACCGACGAGTGGTGCGAGGCTTGGGACAGATACAGGACCGACAACTTTTGGGACATCAATATGGAGGAAATGGAGGATACTGCGAACGTCCTGTTCAGGAAGTTGACCCGCCTCAGCAGAGAGCTTAGGGAGAAGAATTGGGAGATCCTCGAGTATTCAAGGTGATCATTGATCACAGTCCCTAAAAAGAGTATTGCTTGATTCTTGAAAACCGAGACAGAGATCCTGAACCTCTATCAAGCGGAGGACATCGACCAAGTTGACAAGTTTCCTGATATTCAGAAATACTCCAGCTCCTTTTCCAGGAGATTCTTCCAATCTTGACTCGACAATTACAGAAGCGACGGAAACTGTTGCAGGATGCAAGTGGACAAGTTCAGACGCACTCTTCCGTTGATCACCGACCTGAAGAACCCGGCGATGAGGCCTCGACACTGGTCCAAGCTCAAAGAAACTATCGGCCGGGACTTCGACGAGACGTCAGAGACATTCACCCTGGAGCTAATTGCCGAGATGCAGCTGCAGAATTTCGCAGAACAGATCGGCGAGATTTCGAACGCAGCCACGATGGAACTGGCCATCGAACTTGTTAGTAAACGGTGCACCGATATCGGTGAATTAGTTTGTGCAATTGTTTGTGGAATGGGTATGGCTAACATCGGAGAGTTCGAGGAGAACTTAGGGTCCACTAAGGCAATCCTTGGGGCGTCCTCGAACAAAAAGCTTGCCAGATCGTGTTTACAGGTGTCTAACACAATTTCTGCTTCATTTTTTATTGTCGTGAATCCTAGGGTCTGAAACAAATTCGCGAGGTTTGGAAAACCATGCCAATAGACATGGTGCCTTACAAAGACAGAGGTATGTACAAGCTGGTGTCCACAGAGGACATAATGCAAGTGCTGGACGAGCAGCAGGTCCAACTTTCAGCGATGAAAACAACCAGGTTCTGTAGATGTATCCTAAAACTGATCTGCTTTATGGTTCGATGATCTACGGTTCAACTGTTGCGATACAGGTTCGTCGAACCGTTCGCTGATGAGGTCGATTATTGGGAACGAACGCTGTCTGCCGTGGGCGAGATCCTCGAGATGACTCTGGTGATTCAACGGGGTTACATCTACATGGACAATATATTCACCACGGAAGACATCAGGAAGCAGCTGCCTAAGGAAACTCACAACTACGACAAGCTGACGAATCAGTGGACCGAAATCACGTCGCGGATGGCGTCGCGAGCTTTGGCGCTGCCTGCCACGCACGATCCGCGTACGTGTCTTTGAGAAAATAAACAGACCGGAAGCTACTTAACCCTTCGCCTGGAGAAACTGCTAAACCATACGGGAAAACTATCAGAACTATCGAATATAACTTAATATAGTCGAATAAACTTGAGACACCATGATAATTAACATTTTGACTGCCACGACATCCGTATATGGGCGACAGAACTTTTAACGGTGGAATTGGAACAATTAATTCTCAAGTTGAAACGTTAAAGAAAATAAATTTGTACAGGGTTCATAAATTTTAGCGAAATTACGAAAGCAAGTGCTACGACAAGTTTGAAGTTGTGTAGTTTATAATTGCCTAAAATGAAAGCGTTGGTCTCGTAAACGATTTTACGGTTTTAGACCGGCAGCCGACGTGTTAATAAGGATTATTTTATCGTGGTTCTCACTTAACGAATTTAAGGATTTGATGGGTGCAGCATCTTTCGCGACACTCTAATGCCTCGAAAAATGGTCGGGACGTAAAATACGCGCATATGCATCGTAATACGCGCGGGGGGGATAGACGCTTGTAATATCCATGCAATTCTGTCGGGAACGAGAAGGAAAAGGGAGAAGAAAATGTAGATAGCTTCGTTGTTGGCTGGTTGGAGGGAAAAGATAAAAGAACCCGGCTCGTCGACACGACGGTCGCGCTGTAAAATAATGTAAATCCGGTCTACCGGAAGAATTGCATTTTTTCTTCGCTCCGTACCCATCCCTGACGCTTTCCTCCAGCGGGGCTGCTCGAAGTTCTGAATAAAATCAACGATAGCCTGGAGTTGATGCAACGAGCCCTCGAACAGTACCTCGAAACCAAACGAAACGTCTTCCCGAGGTTCTACTTCATCTCCAACGACGATCTGCTGGAGATCCTCGGGAACGCGAAGAAACCGGAAATGATACAACCTCACGTCAAGAAACTGTTCGAAAATATCAAGTCCCTGGCTTTTGGTAAAGTACGTCTATCGATCGATCGATAAAAATTTATTCCTATTAATTTTAATCGTAAACTGAAACTCTTTGCAATCTTCCAGTCTCTTGCTGGGAAACAATTGGCCTACGGAATGGCTTCCAGCGAGGGGGAGACCGTCGACTTCACGCAACCGGTTGTCGTGGAGAATCAAGTCGAAAAATGGCTCTGTGACATTGGCAAGTCCAATAACAAAATTAAATAGAGATATAATCGTTACTCTAGGTCGTTGTAAGGGGGCAGTTAAAGAAGTATATTTCTTTTTTGTTCAAGTACCTATGGAACTTTATTAGGTAACCGTTTAGTTGTCTTAAATTGAAATTAACTACCAATGACGTACACGACGACCCCCCCATTAAACAATTCGGAATTAAATCGAATAACTTCATAGAATTAAACGCTCCGCGCTCTGGCCGTCAGCTCCAGCGCTAAGTAAATTTAGAATTCATCGGGACTAAAATTTAGCGAGAAATTTCGTCCGACAGACACAGACGGTGAAGTTCGTAGGGGGGGGAAAAAAAAGGAAGCTAAAGACTTCCAGACCTTTGCCCCGCCTCGACCCCTCCCGATCCCTCAAACGCTCATTCGTTGCATCCCCCGTCGAAAATCCGATTTCACCCCGTGCAACCTGTCCCAGCAGGCGTATCCCACCGCCGGGGGGGAAAAAAAGGGTTAACGCGTTTCGTTCTCGTCCTTTCATCCCCTATTTTTAAAGAACCTCCTTCCGGGTCCAGCGACAAATGTAGAGTGGAACTACCGGAGGGGCTAAGTGCCGAGTAATAGTTTCCTAATCGCGAAAAAGAAACATTATTTAATTCCCTGTCGCTGCTACCACGCGTTAATATTTTAAAGTAACAAAGTTTCAAAATTTAAACGTGTTGCACGTTACATGATATTTGCAAATTTTATACTTTTCGAACGAGGACACTTCCTCCTTCTTTGAAAAAAATATGCTTGGAGGGAACCCAAGATTGCTTCTTCACGAGGAAACTTCATGACACATTGCTCTTTCCCAAAGTTGTCTACAATGACTCGTCTCACCTAATTATTGAACAATCCCCCACAGATTCTGGTTTCCTTCACACCTCGAAAGTAATTTCCCTTGCAATTTCTTATTAAATCACGAGAAAATGTCATACGTTTTAAACAAATTCCTCTCTCCGAGACTATTGTCGCTCCAACTCGATTTTGGCGTCTGGTCCCCCGGATATTTCAGCTATATGTTTTTGCAACGCGATTTGTGAGGGGCGGGAGAGGCGGGGTGAACGGTTGACCAGGAAATGGCAGTGGAAAAAAATTGCCGTACCGTGTCGCAATTGCAGAAACCGCGATGAGGACGAGCCTGCGCGACATGTTGAGGCAGTGTCGGTTGGCGCTGCGAAAAATGACCGCGAGACGCGACAGGTGGGTGAAAGAGTGGCCGAGCCAGCCAGGAATTACGTCCACTCAGATCCAGTGGACGGCCGACTGCACCCGCGCCCTGCTGCACTGCAGGTGAGCGCCGCCCCCGCTGTATGCGAAAATTTAGCGACGTTAGTTACAGCAACGAGATAGGGTTGAGGGCCGAAGACGAGGGTTCGCCCGGAAGGGGGTTGAAACGAGCGAGGGAGAACTGAATCCACTCCAGAGGACCCCCAAAGGCTGTTCGCTAGCGATGCCTAGCGATGGGATCAACCACCTCACAAACTACAACCATTGATCCATTCTATGGTCAACGATAAAAATTTACTACTTTCGAATAGACACAAATATATTTTGTTCGGACAGCTTGGTACAACTGATGACATAATGGGGGTTCTTCGAGAGTCGGGATTAGGTTCGGTGACAGTCTAGAGAATTACTATACAAAGTGTTTGTATCGTTGCTGGTAATGGTAACACTAATTGAAAGGAAACTGTAATTTAACCCTTAAGTGGACTCTCGATCTCAAAGTTACTTTACTTAATGGTGATTTTTACCAATCTGGTGAATGGAAATCAACTAAACTTTAAAGCACTCAAAAAATAATGAACTAATGGAGGATTACTTGATACACTTGATAGGGTTGATGTAACTGTCAACACAGCGGATTGCAATAAAAATACGAGTACTGTGCATTCTCGAGAACTTGGCTAGTGGGACGGTATTTCTCTTGCTCCACTCATCGTCACGTCAGCCAATAGGGCCCGTGGGCTCGTCAATCGCTAAACTATAATAGGGGGGCGTCAATCAGACCCGCATTCCTTTCGGTTGGCAACTTCTCGCGGAGGATGCAGTATGTCATTGGATTGATCCCATCGCTAGTAGACAGCCCGAGAGGGAAGAACGGAGCGAAGACGCGCGTAGCAGGGTCTGGTTGGATGCTGGGAGAAAGTGGGAGTCAGGGGGTAGGGGGAGATCGCGGATAGAGGGACACGGTAACTCTAATAAGGGGAATTTTGCATATTCTGCCTCTCGTGCTGCGATCCAGCCACACCGCCCAGGGTATGCGCCCCCGTCCTCCCTCGTTTGCATATACTAGCCGTACTGCGAATAATTTAACCCACACCCGTCTATATCCCTGGTACCTAGCCGGGAGAAAATCCCTCCGTCCCGGGACCCTGTTCTAACGTTCTCGTAACGGGAGAGTTGAAGGGGTACACCGTTGTGCACCCTGCGCTCGCCACAAGCGTCTCTCGGTTACCACCAAAGGGGGAGGGGGTGGGTTCCAGCGCGAGCAACCGAGGGAAAAGAAATAAAAGGATATAGAGGTGTCGGACAAAGAGGCTGATTATGCCGTCGAGGGAGAATGGCCGTGTGCGCACCGGTGGTAAAAATTTCTACGCCCCGAGCTTCAGCCGCGGAACGAGCGGGCTAAATGTCCCGAGCCCAACCCGGAGAGGGCGGATGTTTGAGAACGTTGGCCACTTTTTGCGGAGGAATTAGAGGATTAGAAGTGCTGGCAATTAGAGGCTTTTTCGGTGGAGATCTGGTGTAACGTACAGGGTAATTGAAAGTTGGGAAAGGGGACGCGGCGTTGGGACCTTCGTTATCCGAACTCCGGGCGAGCGGATTTTTTTTAACGGAGCCACGATAATCTTTTTAACGTTACTTCTCGCGCGGGACCAAATGGTCGAAGCGCTCTTCGCAAGGCGATGTAGGATAATCTTTTCGACGTTGTTTTCGTAGAGGGTGTCGCTGTATGCTTCGAACGTATTTTAGCACTCGGTCGTGTAAACTGTATAGTTTGGTACTTCAAAAGCGAAAATAATTAAAATGATTCGATTGCTTGTTCGTCAAAGTCTGTTGGACTCGAGGAAACCGATGAAGAAGCTCCGGAAGCGACAGAACCAGGCGCTGAGCAAGTACTCCGAGGCGATCAGGGGCGAGCTGAGCCACCTGGATCGGCTGAAGTTCAAAGCCATCGTGGTGATCGAGATACACGCGAGGGACGTTATCGAGAAGATGTACAGAGCGAGTAAGCGAACCGAGCGTTTATCCGATTTTCAACCTAGTCAGCTTATCCCGGTCGTTGTAATTTTTCCGTCCACGACCCTAACTCCCGAGCACCGAGGCCCTTTTCTTTGTCCATTCGCGGTCCGATCTCGCCAGCGAGTACAGCTGCCGGCAATAAATTATGGGTTTTATGGGATTTGGCCAGACATTTGCCTTGTTATGACGTTACAACGACGAGCAAACGCGGTTCCACGGTTAAGGGCGAGGGAGGGGGAGAGGGATCGTGGGTGTGCAGCGATCCCGCGGGATCCCTCGTAAATTCATCTCCCCCGTATTGGGTCGAAAATAGATGAACGACCGGACAGATAGGGGCTGGACGGCGTGTATTATCCCTGTAACCCTGGAAACAATTTGCCGCGGACGGGGGACAAACATTGCTAAGTGAACAGGTACAATATTTGCCGATCGTTGCTGTAACATATTTGGCAAATGCTCGCGTCACCGGAGCTCCCGATTTATCGGGAACGAAAATCTGTCGCCTGTTAACGCGATCGATTTGGATTAAACTAATACAGAAAGGGGTGGAAGGTGTATTCGATGCCCCATCGCGTGAAGAACAATTCTGCGACACGCGTGTTAAGCTACTGAATCCATCTTGATATTTCTGTTTTATTTCTCTTCAATTTCTGACAAGACTGAATATCGTTGAGAAATTGTAGGAGACCTAGATGTAGAAAACTGAAGCAACTATACCAAATTAACCGTCGTTTCAGATTGCAAAGACGTGTCTGCTTTCGAGTGGCTATCGCAGCTACGATTTTACTGGGACAAAGACATCGACGACTGTATCGTCTGGCAAACTAACACACATTTCGTCTATGGTTACGAGTACCTTGGGAATACCGGACGTTTGGTGATAACGCCGCTCACGGATCGGTAAGCGATCGACCTATTTTTCTTTAAAACGTTGGACGAAGATAAATAACACTTGCTTCGACCAAAGATAAGCGATATAAATAATATTCCTCGACCATTTGGAACTGTACTATTTTGGTATCGAAGAGCGTTCCAAAAGAAAAGGGTAACTATTTTACATTAAGAAAGTGAAGACAACCAGAAAAATGTCCAGATGTAGGGTAAAAACTAAACAAAAAACGAAGGATAAATATTTTTGGTAGGGGGCTTCGTTTTAGAGAAAGTTGATTTTTAAAACTTCTGGGGCGTGTAACTCGACGAACGTGTCTGACTATTATGTGTTATTTCTACTTGCAGAAAACATCTGAAAGCATTCTATTTAATTAGAACCACTCAAGACAGATAATACCATATCTCAGTATTGCATACAGGAATGGGAATGATTTATACTATAATAATTTTCTAACCTGATTTTCTCGAAAACGGAGAATCATATTAAAAATTTCTATTCCACATTTTCGACGTATTTTTGCACAAGGAATCAACCTACATCCGATTGAACTACCTATCTCTATCCATACTGTATATACAAGCCCTCGAATCGTCCCAAATCGTATTGGTGCCCCAAAAGTAACCCAGTCCACTTTTTCTCAAAAACGAAGGATCGTACTAAAAATTTCTATCCTACACTTTCGACGTATTTTTGTACAAGGAATCAAACTACACTCGATAGTGCCACCTGTCTTCACAATACCTGCACGTACAGCCCCTGAAACCGCCACCTACAGAGTTGACAATGCGAAACGGGGTCACGCGTGAAAGCGATTCCCATTAGAAACGCGCGTACCGTTCGGGGGCGAGTTACATGCAAGTCGATAGGAGGTAATTAGGTCAGTGGTCGCGACGATTGCCAACACCGCGCGAGATTACAATTACAACCGATCACACCCTCTCTCGCCAGCCTGTGTCCCGTTCCGTTACGCCCACCGTCGAAATATTAACTTCGTTACGGCTAATGGTATAAAGCATACGCGAAACCTGCTGCAATTCGACGCTAAATTGGCTCCAAGTTCGCCGCGTCCCGGAATCGTATACCGTTCGCGCGGAACCACGGCCACCCTTTGCTCGACAAAGCGTCATAACGAGCCGGGGATCGAGGGTCGCCGAAATCAACGGTGGCTGCAATCAACGCTCGTTGACAATTGACTGGATCCTCGTCGCCGAGAGGAACCTTGAATCTTAAAAAATCCCAAACGCAACTTCGACAGGTTTTGTGGCTGGTAAACGCAATCTGAGCTAATCGATGTGGATTCGACCGGGTGTCCGGGACGCTCGAAACTTTGCGGACGCAACTTCGTCTTCGTCGTAAGAGGGGGAGGAAGAAGCGCGCGATGACAAATTTTAGGGGTCCCCGAGGGGGACGTAATTAACGTTAATCAACAGTCCTGGAACTCGAGCCGCGGCGGAAGATGAGATCTTCGGGGAGACACTGATCCGACTTCGTCGATTACTGCCACGAACCTCCTAGGACCGAATTTCAACACTCGATCGGGAAAGTGATACTCGTGGAGGAGGACTTGGGGTGTCCTTTAGAATTTCAGAACCGTGAGTCTTAAGAATGATGAAGCACGGGCACGCTTGTCTCTGGCCCGCCTGAACTGAATAACCCCGTTCTTACGGGCAATCGAGAGGATAAAGCGAACTTAAAATATGAATTGAATACCGTAAAGTCGGTCTGATATACGATTCTCATAGCTGTAATATGACTCGTTTGAGCTGAAAAATCACCCAAAAAGACCTTTGTACAATTCTATGGAGTCGTAAAACCTTGACCTGGCTTTGCAAACGCAATTTTCACGGAGCTAAACCAGAGAGTGTACAAGGTTGCTGGCGACACACACCGTGCACATCGTTTCGGACACGATACAATCTCGTGGCCGATTTTGAGAGCAGTTTGCTCGACGAAACATCAAAGGAAGCTGACAGGAGGGGGGTGCAGAGGATACCAAACGGTATCTACGACGATACTTAACCGGTGGTATCGATTTAATCGCGATAAAAGGCTGCCACCGGCGCCCCTCTAATTTATGGACAGGGGCCCGGCCGTCTCGATACATTTGTTCCAGGTCGGGAGTTTGTCTTGCGAGAAGAAGAACGCGACGACCCCTTCCACCATTCTTTCCCGCGCGCCAAGGGAGTCTCAATTCCACGTAGTGCGTCACACCCTTCCCATCCCCGTCGACGACGCGCCCCGTTGGAAACGGATTAAACGCCGAATCGTGGCGTGTCTGAGGCCACGGAAGATTAGGGGGGAGCGAGCTTTCTTACTGGAACAGGACGATCGATCGGTCTGGGAATCGAAGCTTCCGGAATTACGCAGTTGTCCCGTGTTTTTCCCGCCGGAACTGCATTCCGGAACGGCGGTCTGGTGAAACAGGGACGACCAAGGATCGCGTTTATCCGTACGATCGAGAATCGATGCTCGGGATCAGAGTTTCTCAACATTTTATGGATCGTCTCCCCCTACTGGATTTTATTTATCCAACGATCGAGTCGTTCTACTTCGAAAACTTGATTGAACAAAAAAATGTTTCGAACAGGGAGTGAAACGATTTGATGCAAAATTTGAATTTTGGAACGCAAAATTATTTCCCTCGTATTATATATATTCTACTAAAATATTTTACAGCCACGCGGAAGGCATTAATTTCTTCCGGGCACTTGGTATAATTTCCCCCCCGTTTCGCATAATTATTCTTTCCGTTCTCCACAATTACGTTCATAGATCATTATTTACTGAAGGGGATTGAAATCACGTTGTGAATAAACGTCGAGCGTGCAGGGGCTGTAACGAGTTTTCATAATCTTTTACAAGCGAGCAATTATTCCGATTGTCGTTTTAACAATTCTACGTTAATGTTATGTGGATTATTATTTTTTGAAGGGGAAACGTTCTTAATAAATATCAAACTAGCAGGGACTTTAATGAATTTTAAATCGACATTTTAACCTTTAGCGTCTACTTGGTGACGTATTGGTCACTGATGGTAATTCTTTGGTGACAGATGTTACATTACCCTGACCACCGCTCTCCACTTGTATCGAGGAGGTAGTCCGAAGGGACCAGCGGGCACAGGGAAAACGGAAACCGTGAAAGATCTTGGAAAAGCCTTGGGATTCAACGTGATCGTGCAGAACTGCTCCGAGGGACTCGATTACAAAAGCATGGGGCGGATGTTCTCCGGCCTTGCTCAAACCGGCGCGTGGGGCTGCTTCGACGAATTTAATCGGTAACTTCACGATTCGGATCACCCATGCATCAAAAACTCTCGATGGACTCTAAAATTCAATGACCAAAAGCGAACATTTTACTGTATTCACACATGTACTGTGCACAGCTGATAAGACGACAAGTGAATGGAATGCAGATACGATTCTTTCGAGCAATGCACGGTACATTCTTCACAAAAATCGAATTCCTATAAACCCACTTTTAATTCACTTACAGACCCCACAGATACTCAAAATGTATATACGACATTTATAGTGATTTTTATAGTGACAACTTTAATTCATTGACCAAGTTTGAGTACCACTTTATCAACGTGACTTGAAATAATTTTCTTTACTATAGATAAAATAGTATTCATCCAGCGGAGGGTTAATATTTCATACCAGGGATCCTCTTTCCTTCCATTTTTTTTTTTTTATCCCGCTCCCCTGGCCTTCTTACGCCCTCCTTTTAATGACCCAACGAATCGCGGGAAGATACTTTGTTAATAAGTCGATGAAAGCTACTTTCCCGGGATTACACGAAGAACAGGGTCCGTTTACTTGTTTCCCCCTCCCAACGACAGCATAAATATCGAGGTGTTATCGGTGGTGGCGCAACAGATACTGTCGATACTCACCGCCCTCTCGCAGAGGCTGAACAGATTCGTATTCGAGGGCTGTGAAATACGGCTGGTGCACACCTGCGGTATCTTCATCACGATGAATCCCGGGTACGCGGGCCGCACCGAACTTCCCGATAATCTGAAATCCATGTTCAGGCCAATCTCGATGATGGTGCCGGACAGCAGCATGATCGCCGAGATCAATTTGTTCGGGGAGGGATTCGAGAACACGCGTGTCCTCGCTAGGAAGGTTATTATTACGGTGTCTCGGGAAATATTGCACGCTTAAAAGCCTTCATTCATCCACGACCAAACATGGAGATGGAGAAAACTCTCATCCATTGGATTCGCTAAGTTATATCACGATTTTTAGTGGGGAAACAGTAGTTTGTTTTCATTTTTGAGTTGGGAGTTCAAATCTAATGAATCGAGCAATATTTTCTGGGACACCCGAATACGAACGATACGGATCGTTAAAAATCGACACAAATTGATTCGATGCGCAGGTTTTCACGCTGTACAGTTTGGCCCAGCAACAACTCAGCAAACAATATCATTATGACTTCGGTCTGAGGGGTATAGTGACGCTGACCAGGTACGCTGGCAGGAAGAAGAGACTCTATCCGAATTTGCCCGACGAGGAGGTAAAATTGAAAGAGTCAAAGCCGTTTTAAGGCTTTGGGGGCTTTCAAAAGACTCGCGATAGCGGCCGTGGGTAGCAATCAGGATAATTGTTCCTTTGGGAACGCGGCTGTAATGCCCGGCGAAATTCCATTAAGATTATTTCATCATTTTCGCGAAACGCAAAGAGGAACTGCGAAACTGAAATGACGCAGAATGTTTCAATCCGTCTTACAATCACGGATCCACGAATTTCTAACCACTGTTACAATAACAGTAATATGTCTTCAGCATACAGAAACTAATTTACGCGTATTCTACTTTAAATACGTTAAATATTATATTTTAATTGTACGAGTATAAAGAATATAGTAGTGAGTTTTCTAGTTACCTTTGATCAGATACAAGTACAAGAAGAATTTAGCAAACGATGGTCCAAAATATGAAAATAAGAGAAGAACGAGTAACATTTTTCGTTCGATAATTGACTGAATACGATTTGGCTGGCGCGTCTGACCATTAACCTGTTTTTCTACTTGCGCCAAAGTCGAAGTCGTACTCTATTGCACGCATACCTCACAAATTCCCAAATTTTCTCGAAAACTCATTCTTTTCTTTTACATATCTTTATTCCCACCCCAACCTGTTTATCGCGATCGATATTTGCGGTAACAAAAGTATAAACTAGTCAATTGAAATTAGCGGACAAGTCTTTTAAATGTTAAATATCGAATGAATATATTGACGAAGCATGACTTTGTTTTAAGTGCACATCGTGTGCATCGTCCCGTTTATTTTCTTCGCCAGTTTCCACTTCGTCACTATCGATTCTTTCGAGGCAGCTACGACTAACCGATCGTGTTTATTTGCTCGCGAGCCGATGTTAGACTACGGAAAAGATTATGGTCCCATCAAACGCAGGTTATCATCCTCGCTATGAAGGATATGAACATCGCCAAACTCACCTCGGACGACTTGCCGCTGTTCCTCGGCATCACCAGCGATCTATTCCCGGACGTGGAGGTGCCTACGGTGGATTACGAGGAAATTATCAGTTATATAACCAAGGAGGCGATCAAATTGAAGCTTCAGGTAATCCTCCGAGTAAACGGGCCTACGATACGATCCGTCCAACCCGAGACGTCTTGATTTTTAAAGAAAATGGACAACATTTTGGAACCTTTCGTCGAGAAAACTATATTTTTATTGAAGTGAAGATATGAATTTTTCTCACGGTGATTGGAGCCCTCTCGAGGGTACATTTTTCTAATTTTTCTTCCGAGAATATTTTCTCAAACTTTCCTGATTACTTTCCCCTAACTAGATCCTAGGTTCTCTATGAAAGTAAATTATTTATAAATATTTATAACAGTGGATCGCGCGCAGGATGTCCCAGGATCGTTAAATAGGGGGAAGACGCCTTTCCTCTACATTTTTTTAAGCAGAATCTGATCAAAGGAAATTTTGTTCTACCGTTCGTAGAATCAAAGGCTTCTTTACTATCCGGTAACCCGAGGTCTCAGAAATTAGGGCTTAACAAATTATCTCCATGAAGCAATTTCTCTTAACGACCAATATCAAGATGATCGAATTAACTCTATGTAGATCGCTGTAAATCAGCTCTTTATAGCCAGTAAAATTATCGTGAGGTCCTAATAGCGCGGATAAAATCATTCGAACCGGAAGTACCACTTGGAGCAATTCGTTTCAGCTGCCAACGATGTTAAAATAGAACTCGAGTCTCTAATGAAATTTTGTATCAGACACGTCTTCTAAATTCCGCGATTCTTCGATGAAATTCTTTCAAAGTCTCGATCGAAGCCCGTAACCGTCGAATCGCGGAAATTTCGCTTCGATTTCAATTTCGGTCCTCCCAGAGGCTGCCATTAGCATCGCAATCTAGCCCCTGCGTGGAACTTCCGTCGTCAGTTTGATGGACTAACATTGTTTACAGCCTATTCCCTTGATACTGACGAAAGTTATCGAGCTGTACGAGACGATGAGTTCGAGACACTCCACCATGATAGTGGGCGAGTCGAATACGGCGAAAACGGTCACGTGGCGGATCCTGCAGAACACTATGACGAGCATGAAGAACGACAAGAAACCGGGCTTCAACGTCGTCTATGTTTATCCGATTAACCCAAAAGCGTTGGGCCTGGGCGAGCTTTACGGCGAGTACAATCTTTCCACCGGCGAATGGCACGACGGCGTCATATCCTCGATCATGCGGAAAACCTGTTCCGGTATCGTCTCTCTTACCCGTTTTGTTTTTCGTACGAATCGTCGCGCCAAAACCCGTTACGGCCAAAGTCCACGGAATCTTGTTACTTTTGACAGACGATACCCCTGCCGAAAAATGGATCCTCTTTGACGGCCCCGTAGACGCTGATTGGATCGAGAACATGAACAGCGTAATGGACGATAACAAGGTGCGTTCTATGTTTACTGTACGCGCGCTGAGGAAGAAACTGGCCGACGATCAAATATCCCAACGTTTATTTAACGAATATTCGAACATTATTCGAGCAACGCTGATAATTATGCAAACGAAACTCCGAAATTTATAATTTGTCAACTCCTGTCCCGGACAATTACTTTTAGGTATTTTAGAGAAATTATTATTTAACTGTAATTCGAATAAAAGTTTTCAGTTCCTCGGAGATTCGTAAATCCCCGATTTTCGAGCATCCAATCGTCTCCAGGCCAGCAATTCTCCCCGGCTACGTTAATTTTCAAAATCCTTCGACCCATAATTCGTCGATCCTCGAATTCCATCGATTCCCGTTTCTCTACGACCCCCGAGGCTTCCTCGTCCTCGTAAATCGTTCGAGAATAAATCCTCCCGCAGGTTTTAACGCTAATAAACAACGACCGTATCACGATGCCCGATCAAGTGTCCCTCCTCTTCGAGGTTCAGGACCTCGCCGTGGCCTCTCCAGCGACGGTATCGCGAGCAGGTATGGTGTACAACGATTACAAAGACCTGGGCTGGACGCCGTACGTGGACTCCTGGTTGCAAAAGTATCAGGCAAAACCGACATTCATGGAGGAGGTAAACAATAGAAGCAACGTAAAAATTACTTTATCAACTACGGAGGAAACATAACGTCATGCAAAATTTAAATTAAAATATAATGACACGCCTGCTAAACGATCATTTTAATTAACATAGGACGTGATTAAAAATTGTTATTTTTAGATGAACTACCTGTTCGGGGAGTACGTGAACGATACTTTGGAGTTCAAACGCAACAGATGCGAAGAACTCGTCCCTGTGCCCGAGCTGAACGCCGTCCAATCGTTGTGCAAGCTTCTGGAAGTATTGGCCACCCCCGAAAATGGGGTGGAATTCACGGGAGACAAGGACGCGTTCGCCGTCATCTGTAAAATGTGGTTTTTTTTCTGGTAAGGGCATAGATCACTCTAAAACACAATCAACGTCGCCCTTAACCCCTTGACGCACGATTTAATTCAAAATAATCGTTCGAATCTATACTATTTAATTTTATTTAAATTTAGTCGTACAAGGAATGGCTGAAGAAGAGAATAGATTTGTTTTATGAATACTTTGTGAATGTAAAAATGTATTGATTTTAATATATAAGGCTTGATGACGAGTGTAGCTTCATGATTATGAGACTTATGGCGAATCAGGGGTTAATTGTACCGTCGAATCGAAGTTCCAAACCGAAAATTGCTGAAATAGTTACGTATTAGGGATGGTAATTGCTTTTGCTCGTTTTCCAGCATGATATGGTCGCTGTGTGGGTCGGTGAACGAGGAGGGTCGTTTCAGGGTGGACAATTATATGCGAGAAATCGAGAGCTCTTACCCGTTGCGCGACACCGTGTACGAGTACTTCGTGGATCCCCGTATTCGCTCGTTCGTCTCGTGGGAGGAGAGGCTGTCCCAGTCGTGGAAAATTCAGCCAGGGTACGTTGGAAAATTTAAATCCACGAGAACGTAACGAGTAATTATTTTCATTTTTACTCGCGACTTTTTTTTCCTTCGATACGTCGATGGAACAAAGACATTTTAATAGTGAATTTAATACTTCGTAGGACACCGTTCTACAAAATAATAGTGCCGACCGTGGACACCGTTCGATACAAGTTCATCATCGGTTCTCTGTTGAGAAACGAATTCCCTGTGCTGCTCGTGGGCCCCGTGGGCACCGGGAAAACGTCGATGTTCCATTCGGTGCTGGGCTCCCTGGACGAGGCTAAGTACAGTGTTCTGTCGCTGAACATGTCCGCGCAGACGACCTCGAAAAACGTGCAGGTGAATTGAAAATATTCTAACAAGATCGATCGGTCGCGACACGTGGAAAATCTAGGTCGCATCAGAGTTTCTTTGGAAGACTGACGAGATGCACGGTCGTTCTTTTTTTGTTATTTTCCGAATTTAAAACACGCGAGCTTCGTTGCAGCACAAATGGGTAAATTTTTAAAAATATTTATGCAAATTTCTCGGTTGAGAGTCACCGATCGGAGTGAAAACTGCCCGGTCTTTAGTGGTCAGGGGTAAAAAATTCGGTTATCAAGCGAGGGAATACTGCAGGCGAATTAAAGCCAAATTTCTCTCGGCCACCTGTACGTTTTAGGACACAATTGAAAGCAGACTCGAGAAACGGACGAAAGGGATCTACATTCCCGTGGGTAGTAAAACCATGATCGCCTTTATGGACGACTTTAATATGCCCATGAAGGAGACGTACGGATCCCAGCCACCGTTGGAACTAATTAGACAGATGATAGGATACGGATTCTGGTATTATTCTCTATTAATTGTTGGAAAATTCCCGTGCACCTATTTAACAAGGTCCATAACATTCGTTTGTACAATCGAGTTTCTATAATTTGCAAAGAAATCCTCCATATTCTGTCAACGATTGAATATTTTAATCTGTAATTCCTCCGAAGAGACGATTGGTAACTAAACGAACGTTTCGCGAAGGTACGATCGTCAGAAGCAGATAAAGAAATACATACAAAGAGTGCACCTAATGGCGGCGATGGGTCCACCGGGGGGTGGTCGAAACGTAATCACGGACAGACTTCTCACCAAATTCAACGTCATCAACATGACGTTCCCCGTTGAGAAGCAGATCGTGAGAATATACGGGACGATGTTGAACCAACACTTGGCCGAATTTCACGCGGAAGTCAAAGGATTATGTGAGCGAGGATACAAATTTTCAGTGAAAAAATTTCCAACCAAAAAGCTAATAAAACGCGATGACTTTTGAACAGCTAATGAAGTGACACTGTCCACCATTAGTCTCTACAATCACGTGATCGGCACGATGCTACCGACTCCGACGAAGATACACTATTTGTTCAATTTACGAGACATATCTAAGGTAATGAATGTGTCACTTATCTTGTGCAGATCGTTGACACTTTTATTTGGCAGGTCTTCCAAGGTCTGCTGCGTAGCCACGTAGATTACCAGTACTCCAGCCCCACGTTCCTTCGTCTATGGGTGCACGAGACGTTTCGCGTCTTCTGCGACCGACTGATCGACGAGAAGTGAGCACTCGGAAACCTCTGATAGAGAAACAAAAACGATGTAAATATTTCCCGCAGGGACAGACAGTGGTTTATTGACGAGCTCGGCGAACAGCTTGGGAAACACTTCGAGCTGACCTTCCACAACATTTGCCCCGAGAAGAGGTGCCCCGTATTCGGTAAACTATGCCTAACGGATAAACAAAAAATCTCGATTCATTCGCAATAAACGTCACAGGGTCAACAAAGATACAAACCCAGATTCGAGCTAAACTCTACGTTCAATCTACACCTCGAAGTAGATTTAATATTTACGTTAGATTTAATATAACGTTATACTATGTCCTACGTGCACCTAATGTAGTCTAGGTCGTAGACATAGTTTAGGCATCGACCTATATTCAAGATAAATTCAGTATGTAGACTTAGTAGACTTAGTTCAAACTTCAATTTAGATTCAAACTAGACGACCAACGTCATGTTTGTAACTACACTTCGATATGTCCAAACTAGACTAAACTTAATTTAGACTCAATATAAACCTAAGTAGAACCTGCTTTAGGTATTCAAGCTGATGGTCCAATTTAGATAAAAAACGTTGATCTAGTTTGGGAATAGAACTTAACCAATATCAAAATTAGACCTAATATTTGATGTAGATCCAATTTATGTACCAATCTGGAATCAAGCTAGACTTGGTTTACATCCAGTTTAGATCTAATATGGACCTGAATACATGCATACCCAATTTAGATGGCAACTGAGATCTGACGTGGATCTCTTGCACAACCGCCTCAAAATATCATATTTACAGGTAGTTTCATGAACGCGTGGGACATCTACGAAGACCTAACCGACATTGCTGCAGTCAGGACCTACATAGAGGCACAAATGGACGAGTACAACGCCTCCACAGGTGTTGTTCGGCTTGATCTCATCCTTTTTCGGGACGCGATCGAGCACATATGTCGCATCGTTCGCGTGATATCCCAGGTTAGCGATCCGTGCTCTACAAGCTGCTATTGACAAACTGTTCCCCACATTCGGTATCCCGTTTCCTCGCGTTTATTCATATCGTTTGGACAGCCCCGCGGCAACATGCTTCTGATAGGAGTCGGCGGTAGCGGGAGGCAATCGTTGTCGCGAATCGCCAGTTACATGTGCGAGTTGACCACCTTCCAAATCGCGGTCACGAAGCAGTACCGATTGCCAGAGTTCCGGGAGGACCTTAAGATCCTGTACAAGAAGACCGGCGTGGAGAACAAACCGACCACGTTCCTCTTCAACGACACCCAGGTGGTCGAGGAGCAGTTTTTGGAGGTCGTTAACAATATACTCAGCACGGGAGAAGTGGCCAATTTGTATAAGAGCGACGAGATGGAGGAAGTGAGTCGTAAGAATCGTCGCGGGCAAACTGGTGGATACTCTTGAATGAAAAACGAATACTCCTTTAACATTGAATCTACCTACACCTAGTAATTCTAATTTTTGGACGTGAATAATCCAACGAATTCCTAACGCTAACGTTTGCTTCCAATCTAAAGAAGAGCTTGGCTCGTTGCTCGAATCACCGGAAAAAATCTTATATTTCCGGTACTATTTAGCAGAGCCGCGGCTCGCGGTATCCAAGCGGAAATCTCCGGGCGCGCGTATCGCTCGCGTAAAGACAACGCTTCGCCGTCCAATCATGGGAAGGAAATTTTCAACTACCGGGGGTTTTCTCTCGTGATTCGACTTTTCCCGTAACACGGCCGTTCCTAGGCTCCCCATCCATTTTCTCCATACTCGCATCTAATCCACTCGCATATATTGGATCGCGCCGCGGAAGTATTTTCCGATACGCGGGGCCCGGCACGGTCGAAGCCTGGAACCGGTTACGGCCGTTTGTACGTCTCACCTCCGAAACCCCGGCAGATTAGAAAGCAGTTGATGAAGGAGGCGACGCGGTCTGGACGCGTACCAACAACAGAGTCGATCTATTCGCTGTTGATCGAGAGGGCGCGCGCCAATATGCATCTGATCCTGTGCATGAGCCCGATCGGGGACGCCTTCAGGAACAGATTACGCCAGTACCCGGCCCTGATCAACTGCACGACCATCGATTGGTTCCTGGAATGGCCGAGGGAAGCACTCCTCGAAGTTGGCAACAAGTTCCTCATGAATCTCAATCTGACGCTCACTATCACCGGCGAAAATAAAGTGGTTGGTCTTCGGCACGCCTTCTACCCCTTTCCGCGCAATCGATTCCGGTTCGATTCGATTCCCAGGATCGGCGGAACGCTCGCCCGCGGTCCCGGGTCGGACGGAGACAGAGAGACAGATAGGGAAGCCCGTCCTCTCCATTCCGTGGAATCCGATTATTTTCCTCTCCACGGGTCGCCTAGCGCGGATGATACGACCGTCTAGCGCATTTCCTTCCGGAAACGCAATCGTTCGAGTGTTCCCCGCGACCAGCCGCTTAATATTTTTGAATTTGTCTTCCCCGTGCCTGGGAGACTTGGCCAGAGACCCGAAGAAGAATCGCTACGGCGCTCACTTCCTTCGAGACTCTGTCTCTTGGCCCCGTTCTAACCCACCCAGTGATTCTTTACGACGCTATTCCGACCCGGGCAGCGCAAATTTTCGACTCTCCTCGCGCAGCAACTTTTACACGAGATATCGGATCAATCTCGAATTTTATTCGCCCGAAATTTTCACGAGATATCCTTTCGATTACCGAGCGAGTCGAGCTCGCCGATTGCAACACTTTTGGCACACCACCACGTATTATTATTAACAACTCCTCTGTTACCAGAGTAAATCGTATAGCAAAATTCGCGATGTATCTTCGTACCTGTATTAATCTGCACGGAAAATTTCAGTTTGATATAATCGATACTTTTTCTAAAATAAAAATGTTGAATATAATAGTCCATCATAAGACTGCCAATTTGTATCTCCTTTACAAATTAATTTTAAAGAAAATAATGGACCTACCGATTTCAAATTTTCCACATATATTTGTGCTTGAATTAAGTGTACGTATATATTTTTTCATGCACCAATAGCTACTTAATCTCGAGTTGTTACACAAATATCTTCACCTCTACAAATCTTAACATCGTATTATTAGTTCCCTTTTCGAATATTGAGATATTTGGATGTTATTTATTTATAAAGTCGGCAAACCTCGACCCTGCCTCGAATTCCACGATATCAGGAATATTTAGACCCGTTTCAACGACAGTATGCTAAATTGATTTTCGCGCGGTTGAAAAGTAAATTTTGTGCTCTTTTTTCCAATTTGATGGTGAAAATCGTTCGCAGGAGCCCCGACAATCGGCGACAGCCGCCCCCCTGCCGCCCCTTCAGGACCGAATGCGGGACGGAATAGCGGGGACGTTTTCTCTGATTCACGAGACGGTGTCACAGTTTTCGCGCAGAATGGCCGCTGAGATGAAGCGGTACAATTACGTGACGCCAGTGAATTTCCTTGAACTGGTTGCCGGCTATAAAACGTGAGTCCATACGTTAGAATTACCATCGAGACTCTTTGCGCCGTAAGGATCGGGAATTTTTCAAAAGAGCAAGAGTCAGTAACCCTAAATCAAAGCTTATGCATTACGTATTTGTCCATAATGGTACTTTCACAGTGAAGTAATTCCGCGATATGATCTTTCGGTTATTCATCGCTTCAGAAATGGCTACTACCCTGCGCTTACGCTATTCTCGAACCATACATCGTGCATTCAGAGCTGCGAATACATTAAAAATAAACAATGCTAAGTGAAAAATGAAATTCTTCCATTGGACATTGGATTGAATTTTTCTAAGGAATATGTGCCCCTAAATTCGATTTTATTTAAACGTGTCGTGGTGGCCGAAAATAAATCATATCAAATAATATCTCGTACGATGCAAAAGGGTTGACGAACCGCGGCGCAAAATCAAACCAATACTGTTTTACGATATAATTATAGCGCGAGACAAATACGCTGTACGTTGACCTTTTGCCACGTTTGAAACGCGAGTATGCTGCTTTATTTGCCAATTCCAATTATTTACTTTCAAGTTTCCCACGCGAATGCCCTCGAGTTCTCCGCGCCGTTTGGTCTTTCGCCGCATGTAACGGGTGTACCGGCTAGCTTTATCGCCTGAAATATTTCCTCCGCTCCCGGAACTTCCAGGAAGCGTACACAGCCAAAGTTTGGTGCTTGAAAAACTCGCAGGCAATTGAACTCGACCGATAAAAAAGATGACAGTCCGTTTAACACGTTGATTGCCACGTCGTTCGTTCCTAACCGGTCGTTTTAGTTAGTCGTTTAAGGGTAAATTCACCGAACGAAATTAATAATATACTAGAAAAATAATAGACTAGATTTATTGAAAATAAAATTGTTCGCTGATCACTGATTCCGGATTCGACACATTTATTTTCACGTTAAACTATTTTATACAGCTAAGTGGTAAAATTAAAAAAATGTGAAACCACTTGCATTAATTTAATAATATTTTCTTATCAAAAGCAATTTTAATTAAAGAAATAATTTCATTCTATAATAGGGATGTCCACCAATTTTTTTCTCTGTAAAGAGCGTTTTAAAATAGGACAGAGCAATGAAATAAAATGAACCAGAACAAAGTTTGATGGAACACGCTGTATAATGAGGCAAAGAACACGTCGATTCGAGGAGCCGTCACGGACGTCGCTTTGATTTCAGGATGCTGGCGGAGAAAAGGCAGGATCTGGCGGACCAGGCGAACAAACTTCGCAGTGGACTTTCCAAGATCGACGACACCCGGGTTAAAGTCAACGAAATGGCCGCGGAGCTCGAAGTCACGCAGGAGCAGGTCCATAAATCTACCAGGGAATGCGAAGAGTTCCTTGTAACGATAGGTCCGTGACACCCCCCGACGCTGATGTATTATCATTAGTTGCAATTAGATCGATCCGCTCAAGTTTCCGCGAACTGGACCCCGGTCCCATAATCATACCGCGTGTCGCGAATTTTACGATCGTCGGGAATTACAGCCACGGACGTCTGAGATAGAGCTGCTCCGGAGATGCTTCCGGTGGCAAAAGTTTGCCGATCGATCGACTCGAGACGGGGAAAAACCACGCAGAGAAACTATTTTGACAGAAATAATATTTCCTAAATTGTACGTGAGAGGACTGACTAGCAAAATATCACAAAAATTGCAAAGATCGTTCGTTATCCGAGCTAATATAAAAACAGTTTCCATACATTTTATTCGGGGTTCATTCGATTTAAAAAAATAAGATATTTTGACTCGTTTGCGTGAAATTCTCTATTGTTTTTTTGTAAATGGGATATTTCTGAGGGGGTAAAAAGTAACGGGAGACGTTTCACAGTGAATCAGAGTCGCGACGCCGACGAGACGCAGAAAACTGTGGCGGCGAGGTCGCTACGGATCGCGGAGGAACAAAAGGAGTGCAAGAAACTCGAGGAGCTAGCTCGCGCTGACCTCGCAACTGTCGAACCAGCTCTGAACGAGGCCATGAAGGTACCTTACCCGACATTAATTCTCATCGTTCCATTGGTAATACCGTTCCAGTTCGTTTGGTTTTAATGATTAAGCACCGGGACCACTTTGCCGGGTTCCTAGAGCCAGACGATCCGTTCGGAATCGTACGTAAAATAGTGGGAACTCGTTTCTGACTCGCGTAAAACTTCTTTAAGTTCGAGCGGCGTTCCTTTTACGTTTAAATTTTATGCAGGGCGTCGGCGGGGAAACTTCCCCGGTCAAACTTTGACAGCCCGTTCCGCGTGCTACGGCAGGGGGGGGGGGGGTACAAGAAGAAAACGTTGTATAAATTTGCTTCCGTTATTTCGTTAAAAAGTTGTAATAAAAACCTGATACCGACGTTGAATTCGTCGGGAACGACGAATTTCCCAGCGATTTTATCGCGTCTCGGCAAATACAATATCTCCTCGAACCAGTTCCGCTTTCAACTTTCTTTTTTCCCTTTAAACTTCCACGGACAGGGAAACTTGGGAAGTGTAATAACTGGTCGAAGAATTATGTCCCAATCAGCGTGAATCGTTCCGAGTGAAGAGTGAGACCGGGAAAAAATAAATAAGCTGAATATTAATGGCGTAATTGTTTTGACGAAGTACTTCTGAAAGAGCAATTCCCTTGGTTAGAAACGTTTCTCTACACACAATACTATATACATGCATTTTTCTCGAAACTATCTTGTCTGAATTGACTTCCATGATATCCCAAGATCAACTTGACCGATTTTGTTCGAATTTGGCTATTTCTTTTTTAGCCTGTTGAAGTTAAGAACAAGAAAAAAATCGATATTTCAACTCCAAAATGCTGCCATTTTGTTCTGCCCTTTTTTTAGTATCAACTATAGAAATAGACAAACAGAACGGCAGGAATCATGGGAGCCATTAGAACACTTTACAAGACTCTCTACTACCATTAATTTTGACTATTTCTCGTTGTAAAAATTTGTGAATACTACTGAAAGAGCAATAAATATATACACGAAACGCCGATGCAAGAACTTGCACAGTTTCTTTATAAAAAAATGGCCAACGTCCTATTCGTGTCACTATCACCTGTACTGTAGCTTATGGGGGATCCCTGATCCTACAAAAGGATAGATTATATTCGAATAACAGAACCTTCAAATAAAAGAAATTTCACGATGTGGATTGTTCCCAGGCCCTGGACGCGCTGAGCAAGAAGGACATATCCGAGATAAGATCCTTCACGCGACCTCCGCCGAAAGTGGAGATGGTAATGGAGGCGGTGATGATCCTGAAGACCTCGGAGCCGAGCTGGGCGGAGTCGAAGCGTCAACTCGCCGACGTGAACTTTCTCAACTCGGTACCAAGCGTATTCCGGCTTCGTTCTTCGCGCGAACCGACGGACTTTGTAACCGTTACGCTCGATTTCAGCTACGGGACTTTGACAAAGACCACATATCCGATAGAACGCTGAGAGCCATCTCCAGGTACACGTCCAATCCCGAATTCGAGGCGGAAAAAGTCGGCCAGGTATCGATCGCCGCCAAGTCGCTCTGCATATGGGTCATAGCCATGGAGAAATACGGGAAACTTTTCAGGTAAACCCCTAGCCACGATAAATGAGCCCACAGCCTCGATGCGTACTCACAATATGGATAACCGAGCCCTTCGTTCGGCTCGAAAAACCTGGAAAGAACAAATTACGATTTTAGAGACGTCGAGTTCTTGATAAATTATAGACTCGAATAGTATTATACTTTGGTACTCAGAGTCAAGATCGGGTCGCTGGAATACCCTGCCTCGATGGCAGATCGTCGAGAGGGCTGGTGAATTCTACGTGCTTTCAATATACTTTAAAGCCATCGAGATCGTTGAGTAGTTAGTAACGCGCTTAATTACCGAAAGCAATTCGTATTCGAGGAATCGGGAACTCTTAACGCTACGTCGATTCGTAGGATCGTTGCCCCGAAGAGGGAAAAGCTGAACGCGGCGCTGGCCTCGCTCAAGCAGAAGGAAGACGCGCTGGCGGAGGCGATGCAACAGTTACAAAAATTGCACGAGAAGCTGGCGAAACTGCAGGAGATGTACGACGCGAAGATGATGGAGAAAGAGGATCTGATTAAACTGGTAACCGACGCGACGGGCCACTGCCTCGCTTCTTGCGATCGAATTTTTAACAGATAAACAAAGATTCTAGTTCGAACAGTAATAATACTAAATTCCCAATCTATATGATGTCGTTGCAAGTATCCCTAACGCGGATTCGCGCAAGAAGCGAGGCTGAACGTTCGAGGAGCGAAACGTTGGACTGTTGGCGGAGGATCGCGAACAGAACCGTCGGCCAACGGTGCACAATTCTATTTACACAAACTCGCGTTTCAACTGCCGCGGAAAGTTTCGTTTGCGCGCTGTTTATAGACGAAATATCGCCGCTGTGAAATCGCGAGCTGCCCGGTATTTACACGGGCCGCCATGCAACGCGAATTTTCGGACTTCTTTTGGTCCAATGGACGCGAAAACGTCAGCCACCCGTTTCTAGCGCTATTTGCGTTATGCGACCGATCCCCCCCGTGCTTTCCCGACAATTCTGTTTGATTTACCGTTCACGCGGACGAAGAATCGCGCGCCGGGACCTGCTGTTTTGATCGTCGATCAAATTATTGCGTCGTGTTCGCTTCTGATCGGTGTTTTGAAACTATGCTCTTCGAAACAGTGTCCATGATACCACAAAATTAAGGTTTGGTTTGGATTAAAGCTAGTCTTATGTGTAGCTTCAATTGGAGAACTTCTTTGTGCATTTCTGCACATTTTATTATTATTATTCATTAATTATAAGAGTCTTACACGTCTTCTTGTACCGAATAAACAAGATGGCCGCCATCATGGACCTGTTTCAAAAACATTAATATTTGAGAGAGCTTAGTATCGCCTATTTAAACTTCTTTTACTTAAAAAAAATGTTAGAATATTATTCGAACACGTATAAATAAATCTTGCGAATTTGACTGGAAAAGATGTCACAGGTTCGTTGTAAAAAATTCTAAATTCGCTGGATTACCCTTCTAAAGGTTAAACGGAGATCGTGCTCGATTAAATTCCGACTCGTACCCCCAAAAACACGCGTGCTCGATTAAATTTCGACCATTCCGTCTCCGATTCTGCTAACGGTCCGTGTTTTCAGGCGGAGCTACTGAAGCTGAAACTGGACCGCGCCGCGATGCTGGTCGACGGTCTTTCCGGCGAACGAATTCGATGGGAGAACACGGTCGCATCGCTGGCCACGTTCTTCGACTGGCTGCCAGGCGATTGCCTAATATCCACCGCCTTTGTCTCCTATTTGGGTCCATTTGTGTCCAATTACAGAGAGGAGCTGATAACCATCTGGATGAATGAGGTGAACCGATCCTATCGGTCCTCTAATAATCGTAATTCGCAAATATCGTTCCCCCTCCCCCTCCCCATAATTCGATTGGCGAATTTATCCATAATTTATCTATCAACGATCAATGAGAGGTGTTCTTCCCTCTGAAAATCGAGCAAACGTTCCTGGGGACGCCGAGTTCCGCGAGTATCGGGTTAACCTCGTTTTCTAATTTCTGACGCGCTCGAAATAAAATCCCAGGTGGCGGAGAAAGAAATTCCGACGTCGCCGAACCTGAACGTGAAGGAATTCCTGGTCGATCCGGCGGTGATCAGGGATTGGAACATCCAGGGCTTGCCGTCCGACGACTTCAGCACCGAGAACGGAATCATCGTGACGAGGGGGGCCAGATGGCCGCTGGTGATCGATCCGCAGTGTCAAGCAGTCAAGTGGATCAAGAATATGGAGGCCAAGAACGTACGTATCACCGACCGGAAGGGTATAAGAAACGAAACGAGATCTGGTAACAGCAACCGGGAAATTGGGGAGTCTAAAGCTCGTATTCGTGGCGAACAGAAAAGTTTTACATTCGAGATTCAACTTTTTTTGTCAGTCGAATTCATCCTCTTGTCTTGCAAATCTACGATAAAAGAGTAAAAGTTTTTATCATTTTAATGGTGTACAAAGTAAACGAATAAAAAATTAATTTCAAAATATGGTGTGTGGTAGTCATGACCTGTAATCTTGTTTAACAATCGCAATTCCAGTCGTTGAGAGTGATCGATTTCGGGCAAGCAGACTTCATGAGGGTCCTGGAGCACGCCCTGCAGTTCGGTAAACCGGTGCTGCTGGAGAACATCGGCGAGGTGGTCGATCCCGCGTTGAACCCCATCCTCGAGAAGGCGTTCGTGAAACTGGGTATATCGGAATTGTCGAGAAATTGAACGGTGTTTCGTAGTCGGGGGGGCGAGCAATTTGCCGGGGCATTAAATGAGTATTAAATCGTGACGCTGGGGTCCCCGCACGTTCAGGTAACCAGGTGATGATCAAGTTCAACGAAAAGATGATCACTTACAACAATGCGTTCCGGTTGTTCATCACGACGAAACTACCGAACCCCCATTACGCCCCGGAGATATCCACTAAAACGACGTTATGCAACTTCGCCATTAAGGAACAGGGTAACTAATTGTCTTGTGCTACGCGTCGGGTGGCGAGGGACGGTGGACGACGGTCCCGGTGAATCGAACGGCGGCAAAAGAGGGAGGAGGGGGCGAAATAGATTGAGAAATAGAGAAAGAGGGTCGAACGGGGAGGACGGAGGGAAGGGTGACTGCGACGCTTATTATCCTGTGCGCAGGACTGGAGGACCAACTCTTGGGAATCGTGGTCAGAAAAGAGAAGCCACAGCTCGAAGAGCAGAAGGACCATCTGGTACTCACGATCTCCACCAATAAACGAACTCTCAAGGAATTGGAGGACAAAATTCTCTAGTAAGACCCTTTGTGCCCCTTGGTATATTTACGTCGGTAATACGAGAAACAACCCCCCCCCCCCTAAATATCTCCGTTCGTTATCGTCGATGCTTCTCTATCTTCGTATCCTGGTACTTTAATATCCAAATAGATCACTGCTTCGCATTTCAGCGCGTATAGGTAATAGCAATAGGGTATGTTTGTCTCAGTCTGCTGAACACGGCCGGTGAGAGCCTACTGGACGACCTGGACTTGCTGAGCGCCCTGCAATCGTCGAAGGCTACGTCCACCTCGATCGAGGAGTCCTTGGTGGTGTCTGTGGAAACGGAGAAGAAGATAGATCTCGCCAGGGAGGAGTACAGGCCGTGCGCCCAACGCGCCGCGATCCTCTTCTTCGTCCTGAACGACATGAGCCTCATCGATCCGATGTACCAGTTTTCCCTGGACGCGTACATCACCTTGTTTATGCTGTCGATCGAGAAGAGCCCGAAAAGTTTGAAACTCTCCGAGAGGATCGAGAGCCTGAACGAGTACCACACTTACGCCCTGTACAAGTACAAATCGCCGACTCTGATTTCTCTTTTTGAAGGATGGTGCATTTCTTAAGCGAAACGTGTCTCGTAGAAACACTTGTCGGGGTCTGTTCGAGCACCACAAGCTATTGTTCTCCTTCAACATGTGCATCAAGATATTGGACGTGCAGGGTAAAGTCATGCCCGGCGAGTACGCTTTCTTGCTACGCGGCGGAATCGTTCTCGATCGCGAGAGCCAACCGGACAAGCCGGTGGCCTGGCTGCCGGACGAAACTTGGGACAATATCACGGAACTGGACAAATTGCCCGGATTCCACGGATTCATATCCTCGTTCGAGCAATTCCCGCGGGATTGGCATAATTGGTGCGAGATTAGTATCTTGGAATAGTCCCTCCAGCGACTTGTTTACCAACAGTACCGCTAAACTGTAACGTCGATACTTGCATCGGGTGTCGCGACAGCGAAATACTTGCGTAGATCGATGCGTTGGCATTTTCGTTCTTCGTTTAGATTATTCGATAGTAAATTGATGTACGATCGTTAGGTATATTCACACGGAGCCAGAAACTGTACCGCTGGTGGCCGAATGGGACGCGAACTGCAACGTGTTCCAAAAAATGCTGGTAATACGCAGCTGCCGTCCGGACAGAATTTCCTTCTGCATCACGCACTTCATCGTGCTGAATCTCGGTCAAAAATTCGTGGAGCCCCCGGTACTCGACCTGAAAGCCGTCCTCGACGATTCCGTCGCGCAGACCCCACTCATATTTGTTCTCTCGCCTGGCGTGGATCCTACGAGCACTTTGACGCAATTAGTCAACAGCCAGGAAATGACAAATCATTTTATGACTCTCTCCCTCGGCCAAGGACAATCGCCCATCGCGACCAGGTTGGTCGCGATTTAACACCGAACCTACCACGAATTTATAACGTACAATGTTATTTTAGCGTCATTTAACTTCACGACTTTTCTTACAGCAGACGTACAATGAATTTCTCAAACCTCACTTCTACTCTTATTCTATTCTATTATAGTTTTTTGTAAAAAACCAGACAAAATTCTGGGCATTTCATCCTCCATCCAATGACTCTATCAACTACTATAATTTATGCTGCCTTCTATGTTTATTTTACAATTTATTTTGACAATATATACCCAAAGAAGTTTCAGTAATTCCTATTGATTATTGTGCCCCTCTGTATGTCGAGTGAGATTATTATAAATTTAAGCTACCTTGCATTCCAGATCTGTGTGTTTGAGATTAGTTTATAAAGTCTAGTATTTTTGTTCTTTGTATTCCAATGAAAACTATTGCCTGCTTAATTTTGTGGACACGTTAGGTAAAAAGCAAGCTACGAGGCTTTAACGATAGTTACAAAATAGTATATATTTTCCAGAATGATAGAAGTCGGTGCCAAGGAGGGAGCGTGGGTGTTCCTCGCGAATTGCCACTTGTCGCTGAGCTGGATGCCGAAGCTGGATAAAATCGTGGAGACGTTAGGTTCCAGCCGCACTATACACCCCCAATTCAGGTAGCGCGATATCTGTTCGAATGCAAACGCCCCCAGGTCAGGTCGATAATGAAAGGGTTCCGGGTAATTACAGATTGTGGCTTAGCTCGAGCCCGACTCCCGAATTCCCTATATCGATCCTTCAGGCGGGGATAAAGATGACCACGGAACCGCCGAAAGGTCTGAAAGCAAACATGAAGCGTCTTTACGGTTTAATAACCGAGAGCCAATTCGAGCTGTGCCAAGCGAAGGACAAGTACAAGAAGCTTCTGTTCGCTCTGGTATTCTTCCACTCCATTCTCCTGGAACGTAAAAAGTTCCAGCAATTGGGTTGGAACGTCATCTACAGCTTCAACGACTCCGACTTCGTGGTAATTTTTCCGGGAACTATAGTGATTGGGAGGAACGAAAGGGCTGACATTCCAAAATCTATAGTTTCAATCTAAACTATCTCGACGTAAACTTTTCCCTGTTACCGAATCCTACGTTTTCGGTGAAGCCGTATTTCTTTTTGCATTTAACTTTGCTCGCTAAATCGAATGAAAAATCTCTCGATTTCATACGCGACGACAGGTGTCCGAGAACCTGCTGCAGGTCTACCTAGACGAATATCCGATCACCCCGTGGGAATCCTTGAAATATCTGATAGCAGGTGTTTGCTACGGCGGTCACGTGACCGACGACTGGGACCGCCGGTTGCTGATGACGTACGTCCAACAATATTTCAACGAAGAGGCCCTGACCGTTCCCCATTATCGTTTATCATCGTTGCCTACCTATTACATACCGCGTGACGGCTCCTTGGAGTCCTATCGCGATTTCATCGCCGTGTTGCCTCACATCGACAAACCGGAAGCGTTTGGCCAACACCCAAACGCGGACATCACTTGTCTGATCATGGAGACGAGGAACATGTTCGAAACCCTGATGGGCCTTCAGGTTCAGACGGTCACCAGCGAGGAGGCCAGCAAAGAGGACAAGGTACTACCGGTTCGCGATGCTCGTCGACTTAAGAACGTACAAACTGTCCCCGCGTTTCGAAGGTTACCAAGTTGACGGCTGACATACTGTCGAGGATCCCCGGCAACATCGATTACGAGACGACGCAAGTGCTGATTGGCCCGAAGAAGTCGCCGTTGGACGTGGTGTTGCTCCAGGAAATCCAACGTTACAACGTGCTGCTGCAAAAAACACGCGACAGCTTGGTGGAACTGCAGCAAGCCATTAAGGGCTTGATCCTGATGTCGCCGGACTTGGAGGAGATCTTTACGTGCGTCTACGAAGGACGCGTCCCGTCGGTCTGGCTGACCGCATACCCGTCCCTGAAGCTGCTCGGGGCTTGGACCAGGGATTTGGTCAGCCGGGTGGAACACTTCAATGAATGGGCCGAAACTACTCATCCGCCGTTGCTGTTCTGGCTGGCCGCGTATACATTCCCCACCGGTTTCCTCACCGCAGTATTGCAGACGTCAGCGAGGCTCTGGAACGTCTCTATCGATTCTCTGTCTTGGGAGTTCACCGTTCTTACCTTCGACGAATCGACCATCATCGAACAGCCCGCGGTAACTTTGAACTTGACACGGTAGATTTAAGTTCAGCTAAGATTGCCACATATTAAACAATTACTAATTTAAATTGACGGAGGGCTACAATAATCCACTCGAGGGTTAAAATCGTTGGAACGAGATTGGCTTAGGCCCGTTTCCTCCGTGAACAGGTTACTCTAGACTACGATATCAACTTCCAAGGCTCGGCTGCCAAACTCGAAACCGCGGATGAAGGTTGATAAAACTCTCAGGTTTCGTTTCCACGCTTTAATGTCAATACGAATCGAGCCTGACGCGTTCGGCGGTTCGACAAACAACCGGGATCGATCCAATTACCCGTCGTTCACCCTTTAATGAGCGCGGAAAAATAGGGGGGGATAAAGAATTCAGCATCGCGATATCGCTAGGAAATAGCGTCTAGCTCGCGACCTTCCTAACCCGTGTGTACATTCCATTACAGGACGGCGTGTACATACGCTCCGTCTTTCTGGAAGGCGCTGGCTGGGACAAGAAGAACAGCGTCCTCGTCGAGCCAGCCCCCATGCAACTTGTTTGCGACATGCCGGTGATTCACTTCCGACCCACGGAGCAACTCAAAAAGAGAACAAAAGGTAACAGGGGAAAAATGAGGCTACACGCGTGTAGGGGAAGGGGGAGGGGGTACGCAACGCGGGAGGGACAGAGGAAAAAATTGCCAACCGACACGTCAAAGGGGCGCATTTTAATTCGCTCGCGCAGGACTCTACAACAGCCCCTGCTATTATTATCCGCAAAGGAGCGGGGATCAAGGACGGCCCTCTTTCGTTGTGGCGGTGGACCTGAACGCCGGCCCGGAAGGATCTGAGTTTTGGGTGAAAAGGGGCACCGCTCTGCTGCTGAGTCTGGCGACTTAGACTAATTGCGTCGTCCGTTACCCCGAGTTTGGTAACGCGACGGCTTTTCGCTTGCTTCCGTTCTCCCGTGTTCTCAGCGTTAAGTTTGTAAAAGTTATTACGATATGTACAATAGTTACGGTAAAAAAAAATGCTTCGTTCTAACATCTAGATGGTATTTGGAATTTTGATAGAGACGCGTGTAACAAGCTCGCGAGGCACGGAACTAACAACCAATCTGGCACGGCCGCCTCGGAGGAAGAAGACGCTGGATCCGCCGCTTTGATCATCGACGCTTGCCGCTTCTGATCTTTGATGCCTTTCAGGCTGTCCGCGACCGTCTCGTTGATCTCGGAAGAGTATCGTACCCACTCGTCGAGCGGTATGCCAGGAGGCGGTTCCAAGCCAGACAGTCTGTCCTTAGTCTGGAACAGGACCTCCATCGCGTTCCCGTTCTTAAGATTATCCGCCAATTCCATCACCGTGGCGTTCAGTCGCGTCTGGAAGCCGATCCAGTCGTTCTTAGTATTATTCTTGCTATTGCTCTCCGCGATCTGATCCCTCAGCGACGCGATTTCGTTCCTCAGCTCGGCGAACGACCGGTTAAACAGCCCGTGAATCTCGTCGAAGTCCGTCTTCTCCGTGGCGTTCGTGGCGCTCAACAGGCTCATCAGGATGTCGTTGATTTGTTTTTTGAAAGACACCCACTCGTCCGGGGGGATGACAGGGTTGGGCTTCAAAAACTTGGTGTAATCGAATTTGGCGGGTTCTTTCTTGAACGCAGCCTGGAGACTCGGTGAATTTTGGTTCGGTGTCGCCCATTCGGCCTTCGTGTCGGCGATGTCGTTCTTCAGTTTCGCGAAATCGTTCGCGACGGAGTCCCTGAACGCGGCCCAGGCTACAGGATCTATGGTCGTTGGCTTTTTGCTTCGAACGTCCTCGATCACTCGCGTCAGGGAATCGTTGATCTGGCCGCGAAACTCCAGCCAGTCTTTGGTCAAGTTGGAGAGCTCGGCGTTGTTCTCGGGAACGGCGGACAACGTGGCAAGCTCCAACGGCGACGAGGTGTTCCTGAACGCTGAGAACGTCTTCGTGATTTCGTCTCTGTAAGTCGCCCACGCTGGATCGCCCGGCGGAGGCATTTTGTCCTTTATTTCCTTCACTGCCTTGGCAAGGTCAGGATCAGACCCTCCAGTTGCCAGTTCCGTTGGAACGGTGGGCTTCTGGCTGTCTATTTTATCTCGAAGAGCAGCGTATCTATCCTTTATGTCTTTACCGAACGTTGCCCAAGCTGGATCGCCTGGCGGCGGCATGTTCTTCCCTATGTCTATGATGGTGTCGTCCAAGGATGTCGTGATGTTGTCTTTGAAATTCTTCCAGTCGAAGGTTGCTGGAATTATTGAGTCCTTGGCGCTCAGCAACAATTTCGGAGCAGCTTCTGCCTTCATAGATTTGATCTGACTCTTCAGATCGGCGAATTGATCGATAACATTCTGCTTGAAAGCGATCCACTTCGCAGTTGCGGCTGGACCATCACCCATGGTCCCTATGGAGTCGTTCAGAGTCTTCACCAGGTCGCTCTTAAAACTGATCCAGTCCTGGTACATGTTCGCTGGACCCGCTGATCGCAATACGAAGCTATCATTGTGCTTGGATGACGTCTCCTTTGGCACAGGACTTTCAGCGGGTTTTGGCGGGTGCATGTCGGACAGTTGGTTCCTGAGATCGGAGAATGAGCTATTTATGTAATTCTTAAACGCTAGCCAGTCGGTGTCCATCGTGGCCGACGATCTTGTGTTGTTTATGTACGTCACGACGTCTCGAATCGTGCTGTTTATGGTGTTCTTAAACTCGGTCCAGTTGACTGGCGCGAACGTAGCTTTCAGTAGAGGACTGGACGGTTTGGTCTCCCTCCAGGGTTCTAATGACAACGCTGGTATATCCTCGCAGGTCATCATGGGATTGTTGGGGCCTATGGTGCGCATCACTTGGACCTGCGTTTGCGTGACCCCATCGGAACAGTCGCAGATCAACCTCGCCAGTGACGTTTTACGTAATTCTCGCAGCTGATCTATAATGGAGGAAAAGCGTTAATGCGTTATTTATGTGGGCATAATAATTCTAAAAGCACTGTGGAAAATCTACACACTGTGGACACTCTCTACTACAACTTTTGGTATGAAATTCTTCCTACCTTCGGTGAACGAGTGAGGCCGACCAGGTATCTCGTACCAGAAACGGTCCCCCTTTTGCAAACGTACAAACTGATCGGTGATCAGGCAACTGAAGGTGGGCCCAACTATACCGTCAGCCTTGGGTAGCTCTGCCAGCGCGCCGGTGTACAAATCAATGTCATGAACGGACTCGTACAGCGTCGATACGTCTCGAAGGGTCTGCGGGTCCAGGTGTCCCTCCAGGTCGACGAAAGTCTCGGGCCTCCCCAGTCCGCAATGTTCCCGCCATCTTGTGTACCCGGGCAGCCCGTGGTCCCGTCCTCGCTGAATGTTCAACGACACCAGGTCCAATCCGCAGGGGACCGTGGCGTTCGCCATCGGGTCCTCGAACAGGTGATTGGTCAACTGCGAAGTGACGTGCGTGGACGTCATTTGGATGACGTTCTCCGTGGCCGAGGTCACGGAGCTCTTCACGCCGCCTTCGGAATACAGACTGTACGGATTGAACAGCATTCTATGGAGCTCCACGTAAGAGGAGCTGCCCTGCAGCTGGTCCGTCACCTTCATCAGTCCAGGCAACAGAGTGTGAGCAAAACGGAAAGCAGCTGCCGCGAAGCTGTTGGCTATTGTCGGATCCACGTTCGGTTCGTCCGGATTCTCCGTCCACTGTCTGTACCCGGACACCAGGGGCCTCATCTCGCGCTGGCTGGTCTCCTGCTCGCCCAGTACGATCGGTATGAATTCCTGATAGGTGATGTGCTGCAGCTGAGCGACGACTATGCGACGAGACTCCTCGTAGAGCGTCTCGTCGTCCCAAGCTGGATTGATCTTAGCCAACCGCTCGACGATCCTATTGTGCTGACGCGCCCAGAGGAGGTGCATCGTCGTCAAGTGCAAGTTCTCGTTCGCCCTGGCGTCCCCGGCGGCGAAGCAGTACCGGCCTCTCAGCCTTTCGCTCTCCCGGTTGCAGCCGTCGTTCGGGTTTGTGCTTCGCGGTAATAGCGTTCGATTGTCCGGGGTCCTTTGCATTCTCAAACGACCGCCCGCCAACTCGCGCAGGTCGCGTGCCGTCGTTACGTCCGATCCGTAAATCGCCGAGCCGTCGATAAACGCTGTCACCTGGAAGAGTTGAGATCATCAACCGTTGCTAAAATTAAATCGTCGTCTTTTGGATAGCGACAATTACATAGTCTTTTAACCTATGCCACTATGATCTGAAGGTTACGAGAGTTATATCTGCATTCCCTAGCTGCTCAATAACGAGGAGTATAGACCCAGAGTTGGGCACAGGTATTAAGCATGTCTACTAGAAGTTGGCAAGTGAGACAGCAGAGGAGAATACTTGACTTTCACTATTGTGACGCTACTACTGCTTGTGCAAAAAGAATGGAAGTGTCGGTCGAGCGCTTGCGAGAGAGACAAGAGCATAGCCCTCTGGTGGTGACTGCGGAAGGTGTCGTACAAACGCTAAACCAGAGTGGAGGGATCTAGCCACCAATCAGACCCGCACACCTTTCACCAGCCAACTTCTCGCGAACGCGCAATAATTCGATGGACGATTAATGCAAAATCGTAAAAAGAGGAGAAACGTATTTTTCAGCGTTCTACCGTTTTACGCGTTCCGATTTCCAACGGTTAAATTACCCGTTCGATTCTCTGTTCCCATTGTGCGATCGCCGTTAGCGCGATAACGAATGCGTCGTTATCATCGAAACGCTTCCCCGTCGTCGCGACGATAATGAGCTTAATTAATCGGTTGCGCTGCACGGATCGCGCGTTACGTGCATGGCATTTTAAATCATCGCGATAGCAGTTTCATCCGGCGCGTCGGAGCCTCGTTTAATGCGATTGTTCGGCGCGGGCTCGATTATAGGAAAAATCGCGCGTAATGGCAATCGAGGTTTCCAAGTGTCAACCGTGTCTTTGTCGGAGACTTTGAAAGAGTCTGTGGGGGGTCCTGTCGATGGGAGATGGAAAAGGAAAGGAGAGGGGAGCGTTTGGTCCCTCTAAGACACCCTAGCAGACCCTGCCTTCTAGAAGAATTTTTCTGTATACTGATGGAAGATCGATCGAGCGCCTGCGAGAGAAACAGTCCCTCTGGTGGCGAGTACGAGACAATTACCTGATTCAACTGCTGTCTGGGCCCGAGCTTGCACTGAGGCGCAGCAGCGGATCTGACGAACTCCATGCAGGTCCTACCGGCGACGTCGAAGACGGGGTCACCGGCGGCCACGGGGACCGGAAAGCACTCGGGATGGCCGACGGAGGGTGGGCAGCAGGAGATGGAACTACCGTTGATGCCCTGGCTGATCGCAGTGGCGGTGATGTCGTGGTCCAGAAATTGCCCGAACACGGCCAGCATCACGGTGAAATGGGGATTGCTGCTCGGCGACGGCTTGTGGACCTTCAAACTGACTTCCCTGGCGGAGGGTAGCTCCGCCCCCGACAGTGCCTTGCGTGGTGTTTCGACGCCATCTGCGTAACTGGGCGGCAGGACCCTTCTGAACGGCGTCATCGTTGCTCCCCACTGCATGGGCCTGTTGCAGCTCCCGTCGAAGCTTCTGTACTTGCTCTGGGCGCAGTTCTGAGTAATCAGCTGCTTGCACGCGCCGAGCGGCACCCAGCCACCGTCGAAGAAGCTCCCAACGGCCGATGGAGCCGCCAGGATGGTCCTAGAGTTCTCGATCCGCTTGGTCGCGGCCAGCTCCGCCACCGCCGCCAGTGCAAGCGTCCTGACGCTCAGACAGGTGCTCACCGCGTAACGATGCCTCGACGCTGGCGACGGGGAGGGCAATGGGGACGCCAATGCGGTCTCGTCAGCGAACAGACGGTCGTTCATCGCCTGGCGACCGGCTTCCAACCCCTCTTTGTACTCGTCCTCGCTGAGCGTTGGCACGGGGGAGCTCTTGTCCGTGACGAGGATCGAATTGGAGCTGGGCAGGATCGCCGTGTTGCTGAACAACGTGTACGATCCGGATCCTGGAGCGAAACCTAGCCGTAGGGGACTGGTCAGGTTCGGGGACACCTGGAGCGCTGGCTCTGTGAAATTTGGCGCCGTGTCTATGATATCGTGGGTGACCGAGTAGCTAACTGCGACTACGAGGGCCATGGTGAAGAGCGCTCTGGAACAGACGGTGTAGGATAGGGTTAGACGGTTGTGAATCAGCTACGTTTATACACTCAGGCAGTGGCGTTGCTATCCTTCGCTTCAAATGCGACCAGAAACTAGCAGAAAAGTAATTGTTGAAATGCGTGGTCACCTTTGCAACAAACAACTTTCGTTTGAAATACTTTCTTGCACAGTGTATAGTTTGTAAGAGTTAAATCACTCGCTCTGTATAAACATGGATCACCGAATGTAAATTTAAGGAATCTACGAGCTTCGAAATTGTAGCGACTCGTAAATAACTGAATTAAATTTTACGTATTGATTGAAATATATTAATTTCAGGTATTAGTAGCAATTGTTACAGTAAGATAAAAAATTGGAGCAATCGAGGAACACTAAAAAATTGGCACACTTGAGGCTAGCAATTCGATCACCTTCTTTTCACGTTACCAAGAAAGTAATTAATTTTTATTCCCCTATATTAATTAAAAAGAATTGGGGAATAAAATTAAATATAATTTGAATGAAAATCGAATATTTAGTATGTGCGTAATAAAAGTTTCAAGTCGATCGAGTAATCAGCTCATGAATCTATAAGATAATTGATATTAAATGAAACTCTAAATCTGAGTTATAGAGAAATAGGTGACCAAGATTTAAAGAAAACTAAGTTTCAATTGAAATAAATTTAGAGTGACCTCAAGAAGGATTCAATTGCAGGAAGATAGATTTATTAGCAAATTTCTTAAGAGTATCACGAACGTTTAGATTTATAGAATCTCTCTGTAACCGGTGGAACTGTCGTAACGTTGAGCAACCATACTGTCGCCGTACAATTACGCATGTAATCAAGGTCGACGTCACGTAATCAGCCTACGCGCAAAACATCGCATTCTGCACGGCTTTATGCGCCACGTAAACGAATTACACGATGTTTTACCCCTGCAAATACAATAACGACACACTGTTGTTCTTAATACCCATCAAACGGCGGCAGAGAAAACCCTGAAACGAACGGAACGTTTAAACTGCCTGCTCTGGTTGCACGATACAGGATGTTCCAGGCAACTGGGTCGTCTTACAACGATTGTAAAAAAACATGAAATGTGATTAGAAATAATACAAATAATAGTTTCCATTATTTATTGAAAATAAAAACTTATTTTAGATTTTACGCAGTTGCTTCGATTTCCATTTTAATTATCGCATAGCTGAAGATGGCTTGATCGACCAGTTAGGCGCATTATTCGATAACGGTAAATCTGTACGCGAATATCCTATACTTTTACAGCGTGCGGGTCCGCTTCGGACAACGACCAACCATAACCGCAGGACAGAAACCGCGACGGAACTCGTTATTGCACCGATACGCGTTGCCCTAAACACGATACCTTCGATCGATCCGAAAGACCGTTTCTTTAACTCGGAAATAACTCACCTTTGCGTCATCGAGTAGCTTGAAAATAGAAATCAATATAGGTATCGAGGAAGCACATCTCTTCAAGAAGATTTACAAAGGATGATAAGATGATATGACCTTTCGATACTCTTTAAGCCTGTTTGAAATGCAAATGAAAGCAAAAGGACAGTTTATTTAAGGGCATTAAACACGGAGGACTCCCTTAATAAAAACTTCTTTTAACACATTTTTAAAAAATTTCTTAAGACGTGTTACCCCCTTTTCTAACGTACGACACATATTCACTTGTTAAATGTTATAAACGTTTGGATGCTCGAGCGGGACTGTCGGACAAGCTGTTTGTTGATAAAAAATAAAATATCTGGCGAGGGTGTACGTAAACTGAACGTAAGTCGCGCGACCGGAGGAAGTCACGCGCGCGTGATAACGGCGGTGAGAACGTCCGCGGTGCGATATCAAACCGGAAGCTAGCGAAATGCTCTGAAACGAAGGCGATAGGAGTTGAAACTCACGTCGCGACGGTGTACGCGAGGCATCGTACCCGTAACCTCTGCCTCCTCTGATGGGAATAAAAAGGATGCCCTTCGTGGACGTAATACGCCCTGGTGGGCTTGTCGCTGGTCAACGACGTCGTCTCCGTGGAAGACATTCTTCTTCCTAGCGCGCGTTCGTGCCGCGACCGGACTGAAACGATCGACGAGCTGGCCGGTGCTCGAGGTGAGCGATGAATTTACGTAAGTATCCGCTTACGGTGGGGAATGGATACACGACGATTTTTCCAGCTACGCACGATGGAAATCTTCTAGCATTATACAGGGTATACCCTGGACAAACGATCGAACACTGACAGAACAATAGAATAGAACAGAAACAATATCGAAAATGGCTAAGAAATTACAGATTTCGCAATATTTTTCTCGATTTCCCGAGAATTTTCAAGATCACTTAGAGTCAATCCTCCTGAATTCATGGATGATACGTGGTGCAAACTTAGATTTAAATTAGCTTCCTCCGTAAGAAAATTTTGGAAATGAAGGAACCAATTTTTAGTTTATTTTATCAGTGACCAGAATATTCAAATGGAAGATTGATTAGAAGTGACTATTTTTATCACAATTTTTAAACGAACGTTAAACTGCTTTGCTCTTAATTTAGTATAACATTTTTGTTTTTTTTCTTTTTATTCGGAGAACAGACTATCACGGTTTGATTATTCAACTCGAGACACCCTGTATGTGAAACCAGAACGTCTTCTATTATAGGATACGTGTTCGCGAAGACGTTCCACGCAAGGATTCTCGAATACCTGTGGTAAAAAGAAGGGATCGATTCTTTTTATCAAGCTTTGATCTAACCTTTCTGTAAAAATTAAGTTATTTTGTCTTTTCTTACTGGTATAAAGATACTCGGCTCTGGAAATTGAAGATTCGTAAGTCCCGGATTTTTCTTGTCTCTAAAATAGTCGCTACTTTCGATGACAGTGTGTCAATAGTTACTTTTCACCCCGATCGCTCAAATTTTCATCGAGAAGAAAATATGAGAATCAATATTGTTTACGATCTTCGTCGAATGATTCTATCAGCATTATTTATGGATGTTGTTTGTTTTAAAAGACTCCTTTCTCTTGCATCGTGCCTGGAACGCAGTACACCTCGTGTAATTATATAAACGCGCTTAATTCCAGACAGAAATTTTTAATGCACTCGAGGTGAGCTGTCGACACACGGGTGTTAAACGGATTAGAGCATCTTGGAAAAAAGTAGTCGCAGTAAACATTATTTAATCGCCAACTTTAACACGTTAATGTGCAATATCAGACAATAGATCTTTTAAAGCAAATTTATATCCACCGCTCGGGGGTAGATCTTGAAACACACCCCTATATAAATTGAAATTCTAATGATTCAACAATTATCGACGAAATAATAGAACTTTTTACCAACGAACGTGCAATTAAATTTCACGAGAATTTTTAGCAAAATGGAGGACTTCAATTTGAATAATTGAATTACTTCGCTGTGGGCCCTTTCTCCGGGAAGCTTTTCAATTATCCCCCGAAGAAAATCAGTGAACTCACATTAATGTGCCACAGATGCAGCACTGAAATTGCCTGATCCTCGACTTTCTGGTCCTCATGAGGCCCGCGAATTCCACGTAATCCGGCGTGTCCATGGGCCTCGTGAGCGAGGTCCTCTCCGTGACGCGCCTGCCTCCGTACATGATACGCGTTCGAACGACGAAACCTCACTGAACTGCAAAAGAAAACGGGAGCAAACGATCGCCAAACTATATCGACGGTCGGCGAACAACTTGACTAGATTGTCCCCAACGCCGGAGACATCGACGCTGGCCCAGACGCGGGGCCAGTCTCGAGCTGAATGTCGAGTTTCTCTGTATTCGATTAATCGAACGCTTCGACGATTCATTGGGCGAATATAATTCAAATACCATTCGAATACTGAATAAATTAATTTCTACAACTCGAAATTTGCTTCTCTCTTAGATTCGTATTGGTATCGTCTCGTCTACGTTTTCAGTGGTATTATTTGTCTTTTATTATGCCTTTTTAAATATTCAAATTTTATTCTTAACGTTCGAATATTAAATTGTTCGAGTAGTTCCAAGGTTCACAATGGCGGGAACCGAGCCGAATCGAAACTTCCGGTCCCGTGCGTGCTCAACACCAGTAGCCACCCTTTGTGTCGGTGGTTACAAAAGACAAACGAATTACAAAAAGAAGTTGCCTGTTTTATACAACGTAGTATTATGTTTTTATTACGCAGAGGCACAGGACGCGTCGACAGATTATTGCATTTATTGTTTACGATGAACTCAACATTTCCAAATTTTAAAATAGTGACAATCCTACGAAACGTTTTTACATCGATTCAAGATGTCTCGTGATTGCTCGAATCTCGTAAAGCCTCGAAGTACCTTGACGAGTCACCATCGCAATTTCAGTCACCGTCACCCACACAGTAGCAAACCGTCGACTGGTTCGCGTTATATAAGAAGAATCGAGGATCGATGATCGGGAATGAAACACGAGTCCGGCTTTCCTGGCGTTTTTATTCTGCGGTACCAACGGGGACGGGATCGAGAAGCTTTGGACGATTACAAAAGATCATCGACAGTTCTGAGACGGATAGACACTTCGCCGCCCCAACGCACAAAGAGCGTCGATCGAATCGGAGCAACGAACTCGATACGTCGACGACAAGCGACACGAGAACTCGATACACCGATAACAGTTTTTCCGATATTCGCGAATTAATCGTACTTAATTAGCCTGTATTTACGATCGATACGACTCGCGATGTTATATTTAATCGGACGTACTTAAAGATCCGGTAAATGCTTAAAAATTAAATAATTCTCCTACGGCAGTTTTACGTATTTCTAACGTATTGAAATGGAACACTTTCAAAAACTTGAACATCAGAAACGAAAACACGGACGACTTACCTCGATATTTATACCTTGATAGTTTTTTCATAAACTCGTTTATCAAGCATCGTTAACAACAGGTTTCTCAAACGGTAGACATTTATTTCTACACATTTTTAAGCAACGCGTACCGTTTTGAAAAGAAATATTAATTCGTATGATTTGATTAATATTTATAATACAACTTTTCAAACAGAATGTCTGTACAAAGTTACTTAGCGAAAATTGTTCACGCCACTGTGTAAAAAGCAACGACGAGCACCGATCGCGATCGTTCCGTCGCTGGCCGCGGAGACGAGTTACAGGTTCCGTCGCGAAAACGTCACTGTCCGGGCACGGGGTCGACGTTCAGCTGGTCTTACGTTGGCCGTTTTCATCTTGTAATGTAGATGCGTAACGTAATACGCGCGGCAAGATCGGGACGGGGCTTCCTCCCCTTGCCGGGCTTCGCAGCCGCGTAAATAGCCTGAATTCGTCCCCAAGATCCTCAGCTTTGCTGAAACAATAGACTCGTGCAACGAGTTCGCGTAATTTGTCACTGTGCCCGGTATCGATATTAAATCCTCGATAACCGCTTCTAGGTCTCCAACAGGTGTGAACATTTTATTCGAACAACGAACTCTCGATAATATTGCAAACCTTAGCGATCGTACGTTAATCTCATTACGAATTAAAAATGCGTTATCCTATTGCTTCCTCCGCCGATGTTATCGTAAAATTGTGTAATCGATGGGGCATTCGTACCGGCTGGAGGAGGCTTAGGCTTAGGTTGGAGGGTTTGATCTATGTCATCTTATGGAAATGAGTCTGGGTTGGTGTCACCTCAAGCCACATTCCCACCCATGCGACTCGCTTAAAAGGTGTCGAATTTCAATGGCAGCGTAAACCAAAGAGACGTCCAACAACTATTCTAGCCTCGTTCGGTAGTAAATATTTCTTTCTACGTTCTCATCCCAGTTTCTTCACTCCGTACAGCAGAAGATGTATCTTCTGGGGGCTCGAAGCTCCAGCCACTGTTCCTGATTCGGGACGTACATCTCCGCTGGCATGCGCTCCAACCCTGGCGATTCTGGCGAGCCGCGCTCGTTCGTCCTCCTGGCTGAACAGATAAATTAAAAGAAGAATTAATTCTTACGTATCTGCGTACTTTCTTCTCAGCCGCCCCTACTGCTGTCCCGTACTCAATCGTTTGCGCATAGAGATTGCTTCGCCAGGATGTCGCAGCAGCAACCGTCCCACGCCCTCGCAGCGTCGCAGAACTTCGTTTTTCAGAAGATGGTCCCGCACTTCCTGCGAAATTATCGGGCAACTCGTGACCCACTTCGACACGTACGCGAAGTCCGTGAGCAACTGTAGCGCGCCGTACTCGCTGTAAATATTATTGTTATCATTGTACGGACAACGAAACCACGATATATCAAACCCAAACTATTCTTACTATTTTTCTTTTATATCCCGTAAATAAATAAATTATACGAAGAGAATACAAATAATGATAATAAGCATAGGACTTCGATGGCCGCCATTTTCTATTTGGCGCTGACTTAAATAATGTTCCGTTTCTTTGAGCGATTTACCTGAATTTAAATCGATGCAGATATATGTAGTCGAGCCACGCTTCGCACATAATTCTGAGGATCATGTTCGACGTCTCGTGATCCTCGATGACTTCCAGCACCGGGAGCAGCACCTTTTCTACGAAACGCGCGCTATTAACGAATCGAACAATTGGTTTTACAAAATAACAATGCCATGATAATCCAAAATAACCTACCAAAATAAATTTCCACGTAGAGGCTAGCGGCAGTCGGGGCGACGTCGCTTCCCTTTCTCCAGTAACTCGACTTTGGAAAACACATATGAAGATTCGCCAGACTGACCACGCGACAGATTTTCGCGAGAATCTCTATGCACTCCTTGGAACACTTCTGTACAAAGAATACGAGGAAGAGTTTTAATTAAAAACGCATCGAATATTCAGAGATCCCAAAGTCTGCTACGTACCTGCAGTAAATCTACGTTAGCGTTTACTTCGGACACAATTTTCGCCCTCATTTTCGCGCAGACGTACACTTGAACGCTGACGGAGTCCGTTGACAATGTATTCGTGTGATCGGCCAGCTGAAAAGATAAAGATAAATGTTTTTAATTATGCTATTAAATTAGGAATAATATTCTTGCTGGACGAACGCGCTGCACCTTTAAATAGGAGAGCTCCTCGAGACAGTTGGCGATGTCGCCCTTGACCAGGAGGAAGAACACGTCCAACTCCCACGTGTGGGCTATGATTTTAGCCTCCTGCAAGATCCACAGCCTCACCGTGTGCACCGAGTGATCCAATCGATGGAGAACTACAATTTGTTCCGACAGCGGCAACTCCATCAACGGTGCACCGATCACCCATTCGCCCCCTGCCTCGCACTCGTTGCTCAGCCTAACGAGCAGCTGGAACAACTCGGTGAATTTCTGACCAGTGTCGCTACCCTGGAAATTGAACCTAATTTTTGTTTACATTCTGACGAACGGGGAATATTCAGGTGTTCTGCAATCACGAACGATATTGTACTAGACTGAAGTTTGTACACCCTATGATACAACAGTGTGCGCCTAGTACACCCTGTAAGGAGAGAGAGAGAGAGAGAGAGAGAGACTCTTCTACGCGTGCTAACTTCACCAATTTTTGTGGTCGAGTACAAAATGAAACGTCTGATCCGTATCGCGAAGATCAGAAGAGACAATAATTTAATTCGAGTGTTCTCGAAATAGTGTCGCGTCAACGCAATATCGGTTTACATCGAGAAATTTCGGTCCAAGAGGGTACAAGAAAAATACGATTGTCGTCTCGACAGCAGCTTCTTCTTATCTTATAACTGACCTCCGTGGACAAGGCTCTCGACTGGCACTGGAACGCCGACGTATAAGCAAGTCTGAAGAGCTGGTCCCAGGCAGTGATCGTAGCATGATAGCCGAGAGCGTCGCAGAGATTTTGCAGAGCCGGTCTCACGGTCGGTGGCACTGAAATTTTAACAAACGGACCGTCCACCGTGACCGTTTATACCCGACAGAACCTAGGGCACGAGTCTGCTGAATTTTTACTCGAATGATAAATAAAAAGTTACAAATTTTTTTATGTCAAGAACGACACAAACGATATGTGTGTTATTCAAACGCGACAACGACGAACAACTGTTCTTTAAAATAAATAACTAATAATTTCGTCATCTTAAATGTTCTATTCAGTTTTACCGAATGATAAGTAATTATATTTCTTTTTCTGGCTGAAGTTTCAAACTTACCGCGATTCTTCTGAACGAACTGACTTAGCCAGTCCTTGAGATGCTGAGCCCCGTGACTGTGATGAGTGGCGAGCGCTTCCGGGGACCACCAAAGGATCACGTGATCCAAAATGCCGGATAACGAGCCCCAGACGACCTCTTGGTAGTAAATCTTCACCTTCTTTATCGCGCTGCTTCTCAATTTCGTTTCACCTGACGCGAACGTGTATTATATACTTTTACGACTTTATCAGAAATTATTTAATTTATTTTTATTTAAAGATCAATTATTACTGGCATTCGTTTAATTTCTGCCATCGCAAGTTTATCAGGCATTCTTCTCCTGTAGTATAAGAGTTTCTTTTTAAAAGAAGAGTTCTTTTTTAATTACATCTTGAGTAATATAGACTGCAGTAGAGTACAACCTTATTAAAAGAGTCCATCGACACTTTAGGGCAGTTAGTCCTCAAAACTTATTGAAGATCATAACACAAGCCCACCCTCAATACCTCAACAATCTGTAATGTTACCCCTGGCATAGTTGTGGGATCCTGTTGATGAGAGATGAAAAGGGAAAGAAATGGACTCGTCAGGAAAACATCTTAACAAACCCTGCCTTAGATGCCGGGATATTGGGTAGTCGGTCGAGGAGCGTGTATATATAGAAACGGGAGGTTTGTCGAGCGCTTGCGAGAGGAACGGTCCCTCTGGTGGCAAGTACAGGAGGCAATGGACCCCACATAGTCAACCAAACTCTGAGAAAGTATAAAGTAATTTTCTAACTGTCCTTAAAATATTCAAAATTGCGTCCTTTCCCCTTCAAGAATATTTCTTTTAAATGTTCCTCGAAGAAGAATCGCGATAACGGTTATTATTATTTATTATTTTTGTTAGATCGCTGAATTGATCGCCACCTTTAACGGTCCTCAGCGCATCGTTGCCAAAGAGTCGCGGCGAAACGTCCTGGACGACGCTCAGCAGCCTGAGGACTTGCTCGTTCTGAGTGTTGACCAGAGTCTGGATGCTTTCGACGTTCGACATCTCCATCTCGGCCCTCGACGAGGCGCTCTCGACTGGCGGCGTTAAGTGTCTCGTGAGGGCTCTACGAATCAATTCTTTCGTGAGACGCGGGTTCGCCGCGAGACAAGAACAATACCGTCAAGAACAGAATTCGGTTTAGAAAAAAAAAAAGAAAAACAAGAAAAATCAACGCGGGCTTAAAGCGTTCGTTGGCGTTGCGGATAGGGCTAACCGGTAAATCTCGACGCTGGAATTTTCCGAAGCCTCGCCGTCGCCAGCCTCATCTGACGCTGGATCGACTCTCTCGCGTGGCTCGTAATTCGCCAGAAGACAATCGATAAGCTCGTGACAGGACTCTTCCGCCCGGTTTTTCGCCAGTATCTGGAATCCAGAGTCGGGGAAATTTTTATTCGCCGCTAACGAATAAAATTAAATGAAATTAAATTACAAACGAATCCAAAAAAAAATTGTATTCGTTATTCGTGAACAAAGTTTGCCTGACTCTCCTGGTATCGTTGGGAATCATCGTCTATTATTTTCTTTCTCAAACTTCATTTTCATTTGATATTCGAATACTCAAATATTTGAAATTTATTCCTAGCATTTGCATAGTTATAAGATATTCAAATAGTACCGGCCCTTGCGTTTTACTCGTTCTTCGTTTCCTTCGTTCCGAAAATGTCCGCCAAGAAAGCCACGTGACTCTATTCCGCTGGAAGTCTAGCGACAAGATATTGCGACAATTAAAATTCTAAACATGTAGATTCGGCGTTGAGCGGAACTGTCTCATTTTAATCTACAAATGGACGCATCTTGGAGAGTACGTTGAATTGAAAAGTTATGACTTTCGCGACGAAGCTTCGCGAGCCTTCTGCGCGTGTCTTTTAAGAAGCTCCGTCGTTACAAAAATATAGACTCCGTTTAAGAAAACACAAACCCCTATCTTCATCAGTTAATAGAAGGTAAAAAAAGAAAGAAAAAAAAAATCATCACGACGGCTCGGGAATCGAACACGGGTTCACGACGTAGAAGCTTCAGTACGTCACCAATGGACCAAAATGGCACTTCGTAATCGACTGAAATGAAAGTGTATTCAAAGTAACAATCTTCGATCATGAATATTTAAAAAATTATTAAGTATTTACCCTTAGGAGGCAAAGTTTCATTATAATCGATGACTTGAAGGATTTGCATTCTCCCTGTCAATCCCGTCGCTATTAGCAGCAACTAGAAAGCGAAATTCAGTCTCCTTTGGATATCTACCTGCAATATCCGTGTAACAGACATCTTCTTCAGCGGTTCCAACATGTACGGGCTGTCGTTGTGAAACACGTTCGTTGATGAATCCGAGACGTCGATGTCCATGTCCAAAATATCGTTATAATTATTCACCAATCTACATTCAATGGTCGAACAGAAATGAAAGGCTATGTTTCGGTAGCGGGTCGGATATACTTACCTGAAGATGATCCTGATCAGCTCCTCGTTCTTGCAGTCGACAATCTCGGTGATCAGATTGCGCGTAAACTTGGCGAGCACGTTCAGCTTCCGTTTCAACGCCGTCAGAAAATGGCGCATTTTGTACTTGTATATCGGATGCGCACTGAGGGTAACCGTGCATACCGATTTGTGCTCTTTCGTCACTTCCTCCAAATCGTTCGCTACACCTTGGTACGCCTACATTCGTGAATACAATCAACGTACAAAATTCTCATCGATCTGGCGGGAAAATATTGTAGCAAATAGCAACAGTTCAAGTTATCCTTGTTTAACCCTTTGTTGCATAGTGTTGTACACGTACAACGTCTGTCAACTTAACGCTTAAATCATTGACACGCTGTATAATCTTTGTTAGCGTCAACGTCTTTTTGAAAATGTCCGGGATTCCCAAATATCGATATTCTTGGAAGCAACACTTTGTGTTATTAATACAAATATTCCTGTGTAATAAGATACATATTTTAAGGAACACGATGCTAAACATCGTTGATGATTTTACATTTTTGAAAACATTACCGTAATCGACAAAACGAATAACGAATCTTGGGAATCCCGAAATTCCCGCCATTCTGTTACTAGTAAAAGGAAGCATGCTGTTCCAACGAATAAAATCTCCAACGTATCTATGGCAGCGCCACGCGAAACGGGCTAACTATGACGATCGAATACTCGCGGATGATAATGAGAAACTAAACCGCCCCTCGAACGTGGCCGTGGGAAGTTAGTTTCGCACCTCCAGATCACAAGCCTGTGCGTCTGTAATGTTCTGGATGATTAAGGCTATGCGTTCCACGAGGTTGCCCATTCTCTCGTTAAGCGTCGAGGACTCGACGAACCATTTCACCAGGTCGCCACCAGGAAGCGGCAGCCACTTGCTGATATTTGCTCTGTAATTAGTATCCATGTGGCGGCGGACCTCCAAGCTTCTGGTCACGATCGAATCGAATTTCACTCGATCATCGTATTTACCGCCAACCTTTTATTTTCTGGCAATGCTCGAGTCCACTTCTATAAAAATACGCAACCTTGCACGCGAGAATTTCGCTACTGAATCACGAATTTAATAAAACTCAACCGTGCATTACTCTTACATTACTAATAAATTACTCTTCATAATCTTCGCCGTCTACGCATTCTCTTTACTTATCGTACCACGTTCTTCCTAACGTTGACCTAATCTCTCATTCTTCCTACAATACATCGTACCTAGGAAATTCATTCTATAAGGAAAGCTTTGGAACGAATTAACCACTCGAGTTGAAAACTTACTGTACTTTGTTCAATAAGATCGACATTCGTTTGTGCCCGTCAAGTTCTGAAACAGCTGTATCGCAAAGATACCGTTCGTCGATTCGTGAAATCTTTGACCGTAAAATTTTCGAAACGTGTGTTAAACTGGATTGTCAATCGGACAACACTCGCGAGAATAACATTTGTCGATGAAAAAGTAAACTGTTACAATTCGAGTGGCGTTGCTACGGAGACGCCTAACGCATGGCTGTTTATTTATCATACTCCCGTGCAACGCAAACTCGTAATACGTCATGGCAGTTACGTAATTTTCCCAATCATGAAAAATTCTAATAAAATGACTGCAGGCGTACCAATGCATCATCTGCAATTACTTTCATGCCTTATCAAGTTTGTCAGACCTGGCAAATATTTTCTTTAGTGATTCACACTTCATTCGTATCGACAGAGTGTCGCGAGTTTTCGAGTACAAATGTTGTCATAGTTAATTCTAAAATCTGTTGACTTCTTACGAGATAGGGAATTTTTACTGATAATATATAATTATTAATATTCAATTATTTTTTTATTAACTTTGTGCAGTCATATATTCGATCGTTTTAGTATAATTTAAGAAACTACACAACTAATCTTGTGTAGTTATGATGTACAAATATCGTTGAGAGGTGAAGGTTTCATGCCCTGATATAAGACCGAATCAGTGTAGATAAATATATTTTGATACAGTAATTGACATTGAGAAACATATTTAACGGCTATAAAATAAGAAACGAAAAATGGGTAAACATTTGTTTTAACAATTAAAGAAAACATTTTCCTATGTTTATTCTCTTTCAATAAAATTTTCCATTCTTATAGGCAACTCATACAGTGAGAAAAGTGAAAAAAAGAAAGCAAAACAGACTATTCTACCACGGCCATTTATGTCACAAGATGATTTTTTCAGAAGGTGGATCATATGGAAAAAACAATTCATAGAGTTTAGCAAGAGTGACTGTGGAGATAATCTATTGAATATAATGGGCCCGGTTGGACTAAATATTTATGCCACATTTAAGTTTGATTCTGCAAATGAGAGAAAGAATGTGGATGTATTACTTAAAAAGTTTGAGGAGTATTATATGTTTTCAGGAAAAAAATGGGAGCCTCATGAAAATATTTACAAATACATAAATGACTTGCAGGTAGGTATAACAAACTTGATATTTCATTGCACAAAATTGATTCACTTAATCTTATTTTCCAGTACATATTGATGGGAAAATGTATTGAAAATAGAGAAGAATTAATAAAACGGAAAATTTTAACAGAAATTGACAAACGTCAATTTACCAATGCTGCCAGTACGGTATTGCCAACATTCACATTTCCATCTTGCTTTAAGAATTTGACACTGATAGAAATCGCATTTATTTGGACATTGTACAATAGTAATTCTGCAAATAGTTGCAGCAAATGTGGCCATATACATATTTCTAACAACTATTGTCCAGCACAAGGAAAACAATGTTCAAAGTGTAATCAATGGAATCATTATACTAGAAGGTGCCCATTGCTGTTTATTATGAATTGTTTATATTGTGGAGGTGCTCATTTAAAAAGACAATGTCCTGCTTTTAATGAAACTTGTACCAAGTGCCAAAAATCAGGCCATTTTTCATGGAAATGTCAAGGCTTTCAAATTAAATGTCGCTATTGCGGTTTAAAGCACACCAGAAATAGATCACTATGTCCGGCACAAAATACTATTTGTAACTACTGCAAATCTGTGGGACATTTTCCCACATTCTGCAAGAACAGATCTCACTCCCAAAAATATTGATACATCATGGAAGTACTGTATTAAACTGGATTTTATAATGGTTTTATATTATATTATTATTGCACATTAAAGCATTAGATAATATATGTCCTTAGTTAAGGATGATAAAACATTCTTTGCCTAATTTTATTACACTAGTCCCCTAAAATGGTTCGGACCTATAAAGAAACGTGTGCAAAAGATGGGCTTGATATGATAATGGGAAAGGGAGCCACAGCAGGATCCTAAAATTTTGTATAAAAAATCTCATAATCGCAATCATATATACTGTATTACTTATATTTTAATTGTTAAATTACAAGCAATATTCATTATTTGACACATTCACATAAAAAGTTTATCGTGTATTTGAAACAATATATATTTTATAAAGTTGTCTCATTGACTAAACGTTTCTTTTCCTCTTTCATTTTATCCCACTGTGATCGCAACATATTGTTTTGTCCTTGAGTACGGTAATATCTACGTAAAATAAAGGTAAGCAAACACTTAATTCGACATACATGTTAAATAATAATAACATATTATTTACCGCCGATATTCTGAACGTGCAGTTGCAATTAATGGGATCATTAATTTCCATGTGCCACTGACATCGTTTATTGGTACTAAGTGACTAGTTTCTAGTACAACTACTGAGTTTTCAATCCTTAAACTTCCATATACTTTAAACACGGTATACTTTTCCTGACAAAATAATGCAATATAAAACCGAATAGTAATATTAAATCGAATGAACGTTGCACTGAATCATAACGTTTACACTTTTACATTCGTCGTTTTTAAAAATTAAACTATTGAACTACATTTTGTTCATACAAATGTATAAAGGACCAGTAATACTTAAGAAACGTTTCTTACCCATATCGCACAATATGTATTATCTGGATTTTTAGTATATAAATCCGTGATACTTAAGTTTTTGAAACTGACAGGAAATTCTGAATTATTTCCCGGCGTTAAAGATAAAAGGGCAGCATAGAATTCAGTTTTCGGAACGAGTTCTCCCAAAGTTTGTATCGTTTTAATACCATTTTCCTCGTAATCCTCGAAAGAAAGGTGTATAGGAATATCCTCTACTAATATAGGAACATGCGGAATATCACTATACAACAGATTATTACGTGTTCCTACCGATACTTTCCAATTGTCAACCTGATGCACTCCACTCATTTTATATATCCTGCATTCAAAATTGAAATACAAAAATACTTATCCACTTCCATCGTTTTGTTACTAACCTAACACCGTCATAGTGTCCTAATAAATACTTCTCCCTCCATTGAATAAATCAACGAAAAATTATTTAAGACTAGAACTACCGAATGATCAAAATAACCTACTCGTAATTTCTAATAAAAATTGTAAAAAATTTACTCGGCTAGATTTTTGAAAATTTATCGTAGTTTTTTTTAAGAGAATGAATAAACATTTATTTCCATTACACTATACATTTCTTCAAGTATCTATTGTTTTAATTTCTTTGGTACTGGCACAAATACGCCATAGTTGCTGGTAGTTCTAGCGTTAAAGCAACAAAAATTTTGGCAATACTTGAAAGTTTACAAAGTTGCTTTTTTACTCTAGAAATACATTTTTCCCCCATTAAAACTTGTTCGTATGCTTTCAAGCACAAAGCAAAGAGAATCAACCGTTCAATTTGCTGAATTGGGATTTCAACTTAAATCCGTTTATAAAATTGTGTTACTAAAATCGCCAACAAATTTTTTTTACTTATTAGCTTTATACCCCAAATTGATAATCGGCTAGGAAATAAATTCGAACCAATTTTAAATACGATGCAATTTTATGAACAACGTAGTTTAAATGCTGAGTCACCCTCATTTGTTATATCAAAACGAGATTCCTAAGTGATACGCACTTAAAAGGATATAGTATGTATCAGTAAGCTTTTACGTGTTAAATCGTTTCATTTCAAATATACGTACGTATACCTTTGCGTTTTATCAAAACAAATGATAAGATCATATCGAGTACATATTATATATAAGTAATAACTTCTTTAGTTCATTGTTAATTGTACAACACTATTTAGTGGAATTGTTAAGCACGGGAAACAAATTTCACGTACGATAATGAATACGGGTAATACGTGTGGTTTTTTCTTTAGATATATATGTACAGATTTTACGGAATATATTATGTTGGCAATGTATTAAAGGTGAAAATGCAACAAATGAAATCAAACCACCAGCACCATTGAATGCAGATGGGGACCTAGGTAAAAATTGGTGTAACTGGAAGAGTGATTTCATAAAATTTATGAAAGTAGAAGATCCCACAGAATCTTACAAAGACAGATGGGGAACTTTTCTTTTGATGTTTATTGGCCCTATAGGACAAAATGCTTACAAAGAAATGTCTTGTGACAGAACATTTGATAAAGAGAATTTTGATGCTTTACTTAAAAAATTAGATTTGCATTTCATTTTTAGGACTACAGAAAAACTATGCAAAGGAAACATCAGCGAATATGTTAACAATTTGATGGTACAATATTAAAAATTCATAAAACTGTTGCTATAAAAGATTCATTTACAAGTAGTATTATATCAATTGAAAAATAATACAAATTTATAATGTTGTAGGAAATTGCAAAATTGAGTAATTACAGCGATGTGCAAAGTATTGTTAAAGAAAAAATTATCAGTGACATTATAGAGCAAAAATCTGATGAAGATTTTCAAAAGTTTTTACAATCATTGAATTTGAGCGAAATTATTTCTGAATGGATGTCAATACAGAATTTCACAACTCAAACAAACAACAAGAATAATCATGAACAAAATGTTATTGCCAAAAAACGTCTTGTGAACAATTTAATTGAATGTGTCAGATGTGGAACACAACATACACGCAATCAATGCCCAGCGCATGGAAAACAATGTAATAACTGTAAGAAATATAATCATCTTACAGAGAAGTGCAAATCTATGACATACATTAAACAATGTCTCAAGTGTGGAACTGGACATAAACCAATTGAATGTCCTGCTTTTGGTTATGTGTGCACTAAATGCGGTAAAAGTAATCATTATTCATGGAAGTGTCAAGTTCCTATGGTAAGGAATTGCTCTAGATGCGGTACGGATCATGTTATGTCTTTGTGTCCTGCGCAAGGGAAAGTGTGTCCCCGATGTGAAAAGCCTAATCATTTAGAAACTAAATGTAAAAAAAAATAAATATAAATAAAACCAACGTTTATTATCTCAATACATTAAAGTCATAAAGACATATTGTATTATTACACTATAACAAGAATAAAGACGGTGATAACAATTTGTACAGAAAAGTAAGTGTTTTTTTTTTAATAGATGTCTGCAAACCAAAGTTCACATTTCATGTTAAATTCACTAAGTGAGGGAAAAACCATAAAGTCCCACTCTCCCTTCACCTCGCGTATACGATTATACGCGACAAAAAACTATCTCTTTTATTATTGCAAACTGAGATATTATTTTCGCAGTAAAAGATATATCATCTTCTTGAAAGTAATTTATCTTTGTCATAGTAAGGATAACTTATTGAAAGTAAAACATATTGCAAATCAAGCCACTACATAATTGAAATATCGTAAAGCTTCCAACAGTTCTTATTTCGTAATATTCACCATCTAGATAACACACCAGAACTATCTTGATCTGCTTGATCATCAAACTGGACATTTCCCGTATTTCAAAATATTCAATTGATCTATTAAATATATTTTATTTCTAAATAATTGAATAAGAGCACAAATATAGCATGATCAGTGGCGGATATTTTTGACCATATTCGAGAGTTTTGTTAATATTTTCATAAAAGATATAAATAAATAATTTCGTTTTGATGACATTTGTTCTGGAGATTTCCAAGAATATATATATGTATATTCGTGGTAATTCACTACTAACACCTGATGGATACGAGTCGACACTGTTGCGTGACCACGCGAACGTAGCCCCAGAAATATAATAATCGATAGGTAAATTAGGAGCGAAATTCAAAAGCGGATGGTTATGCGTGATTGAGAGAATATTGTTAAGGATGCGCGATGCTGGTGGCACGCGTGGGAAAGATCTTGGGTAGAGCTCGAAAACAGGAAGAGGACACCAATTAGCAGACCCCGAAACGAATCGCGAGTTTCTTGTAAGTCACGTAACCTCTTGAAAAGGCCTTGTCCTTTTGTTAGTCTTAGGAGCGTCGATCGACTCCAGAAATGTTGGCAACGCTAAGGAAGTCATAAATTTCCTTCAAGGGTTGTTCTCTCGATCCTCGGAGCAGAGCCTATTTTCTCTTCCCACGTAGGCACCCCGCTGTGTAACGGAAAAGCGCGACTCCACCGAGTTCCCACCACCACCCGAAGACGGAGGGAAAGTTAGACGCCGATTCGCGGGGGCGTGCGTGCATCGGAAGGACGGCCTACCGCTTGGATCTGATGCGTCCTTCACCCTGATTGGACTACGAGGATCTATGGGAGGACTAGGAGGATTTGGCCAACGACTTCGGCGAGGACCTCGGAGGTGACTTCGAAACGCTACGATTTTTCTTATGTCATTGCGTCTCTAACCGGCCTTCGGACCAGTAGAATAAAGTACGAAGTTACCTAACGAAAGAGTTCTCTTGTCTAGTTTTATTAAATTCCCACACTCCGACAAGCAGAGCGGTTCTGCGCTCCACGGGCACCAACCCGCGTTCTTATCTCAAATTCCCCGCTAAAATACGCGACAACACAAGATGAGGCAAAAACCCCAAATAAATGAAGACGTTTTCAATACGAGAATACCGAAGTGATTCTCGATACGTAACATTGCGAAAATTTGTATTGACCTTTGTAATAAGAAATTGAAATCAAAAATACATGCTGTTTAAAAATTATGAAATGTTTTCTGTATTTACAAATAATAAAAATTGAATAAATGTGATACTACTTCTTCACATTGTACGTCTAAGTTGATTTAACTAACCCTTTCTATATGAACACGAAATATTTACTTTTTCTAATTCGCTGGATAAAATGTTTTATCCACTTTCTAAATGAAAGGTAATTCCTAATACATCTTGTACTTGGTCGAAAAATTTTACCTGCCCTATAGAATAAGGGATCCTAAAATTGGTAACATTGTACCGAAAGGACACTTGAATTGGGGATTCCAACATCAAAGTTCTGATAGAAGTGTTACCCTCTATATATAACAATTCTGTGGCATACGTTACGGTCAAAATTTGTCCAATCATGTCTCAGCATACATACGTATATATATATATATATACTACGTAAAGAATGAGTGGGGAATACCCAATATACGCAGTAGTACTTAGCCATGGAGTGTTATTAAAAGCGAAAAGTTAAACAGTCTGTTATCAACGATAGTCTTGAAGAGTCTTCGATACTTCTCGTTCCAAGTATGTATATATATATATATTAATTGAATTCATATAACGTGAAAAATGAATAATTTGCTGCTTAAATAAAACCAATATACAATATTCAAAAATTTTCATAAAAGCGCATATTTAATCATACATTACGTCTCACAAAAAAGTTACAATGGAAGATAAACTGTCAGAAAATGTTCTTCGCCATTAATAGTACCATCGAGAATTTCTAACAAATTAAAAAAGTCTGAAGATTTTACATACGAAAAAACAATCACTTATTATCTTTGTATATGTTTCGCACGGTAATCAAATGCGATAAGTGGAAGAAGATAAATTCTTTTCATTGCTGTTGCAGTAAACCGTTGTAAAAATGGAACCATATGTACGACCTCCCGAGCCTTTGTCTGCAAATGGTGATATGGCTGAAAATTGGCAAAGATGGAAAAAAGATTTTCTTACATATTTGAAAGTCAGTGATTACGAAAAAAAATCGAAAGACGTACAAGCTTATCTTTTAAGACAACACATAGGAGAAGTTGGCCAAAGTAAGATTAGCAAAATGCTTAAGAAGAATTCAAATGACTTGGATAATATTGATACACTATTAAAGATGCTTGATAATGTCTTTAATGGTCCTAAAAATGATGTTGTAGAACGATATAACTTTTTTACCACATCTTGGACAAAAAATGTATCAATTGAGGCTCATATTAATTACTTAAAGGTAAGTCATTTTTGAGAATTTATATATATATTTTTCTTAAATTAATGTATTATTATGTCATTTATTTTCTTTATTTAGAAAAAGGCAACAACTTGTAATTTTGGAACTATGGCAAACAGTTTAATCAGAGACAAAATAATTGCCAATATTAAAGATAAAAATCTTCTGAAAAAGTTATTCGAAACAAAGAATCTTGATTTATTAAAATTGGTGTCAATTTATAATGAACATATAAAGGCTGTACAAGAAAAAAAAGAATCTTCTACAAAAGACATTGCCAATGTTGAAAATGTCAAAGGTGTTGTAAATAGTAATGATATTAATGCAAAAGTGATTACAAAAAATCAGCCACCATCAAATACAGAAAATAAAAGAAATTGTTCAAAATGTAATCAGAAGCATGCTATTAAATCTTGCCCTGCTTGGGGATGGAGATGTGCAAAGTGTGGGGATCGTAATCATTTCCCTGTTTGTTGTACAAATGTTACTGCACATAATTTACAGAAAGAAACAAATAAGAATAATGTAAATTTTTTTACTTTTTTACATGAAAAATATTAACATTGTCCTTTTGTTTTATGTTTTCTACAATTAACATTTTGTTTTCATTAATTCCAGATAACTCCACATAATCAACACAATCCAAATTCGTTTCCACAAAGACAACAAGTGGTTGTAAGATAATTATAAAAGATATAAATATATTATATTATTTTAATTAGTGTCTCAACTATTTACATAAACTTTTGTTACTTTTTTCATAATAGCATCCTCTCATGCAAAATAACAATATGAGAGTACCTTCACCATATCAGTACAACAATGGACCAAACATGGTATTGTATTCTGTGATTCTATTCTTAAAAATAGGTTAATACAATTAATTAAAAAGATGCTTTATTTCAGATTCCTAGTGCTTCATCATTTCCTCATACTAACTCAGTATATCCAAATTTCAATACTGTAATGAATGCCGGTCAAACGCCAGTGGTATGATTAGAAATTATATTCTCAAATTAGTAAAAACTAATAGAGCGATAATATTTTTAACATTTTCTATAGGGTTTACAGCAATGGCAGTATGAAAATCCGACACCTTTGAAATCAAATGAATCCTTTCAGAAAAATGCACCAATGCAGGTAAGTGGTATCCTGTACTGTTATACAGGATGAATCATTTAATTTTATCACATTAAATCATCCATCTCTTAAATCGATTATTGTGCACAAAATGTTTTCATACAAAGGTCGCATTATATCGAGAGGGAGTATGTAATATATGTATCGCTTTTTTTTAGAGATATCAGTCATTTTCGATTATCTAAATTAAATGTCTATCTTTTTATTCCATCATTCAAAGGAGAATCAAGTTTTGTATAGGAATATATTAAAGTACATGTGCTCTATGTAAGTTAATATTTATTGAGACATTAATAAACAGCTTTAACGTTACAAACATTTCAAGGAATAGAAGGTTAGGTTATGGCGCACAATGTCGAGATCATTGTGTGCGAGTATCAACATACTCGAGAAAATGTGAGATTACATAAGTACATACGTTCCGTTACTATCGTTTCAGCAGGGTTATAATTGTTATAATAAGGAAAATGGGGTTCATAAACACCGATATGATGCAACATTTGTATAAAAACATTTTTTATATAATCGTTGATTTAAGAACTGTTTAAGATGGTACAGTTAGGTGGTTCATCATGTATAGCTAATGAATCGTAACATTTGATTAAATAAAATTCTTTATTCTTTAAACAAGCACCTTCCAAGTGCACCTACAGAAAAGCAAATAACAACAAATATAAAAACGACAACACATAATAAACCAGTTAATGGTAAAAATAAAGAACCACCAAATAATTGTGTGATATCATAGAGGTATATTATGTTGACACCAGTGGTATGGGGATGCAGTATGTATTACAGAACGTTTTCACTTCGATAAAGTGAAAGTAAAATATCGGTATTTTGAAGCAGACAATATTAAAAGTCAATTCAAATCCAAAATTGGAATCGATCAGTAATATATATTACATTTATAAGAAAAGAGTATTACATGTTATGTAAATTTGTTTTTGACGAATAAAATTATTTTTACGAAGTGTATAAGTATAGACCTAATAGCAATAAAGAAACAGAATTTATTTTTATAGAAATAATTATGTATTATGCATAACAGTAAATAAATTTTAATTATGATACAAAACGTTGTTACATTGGTCCCTAAATTAAATTAAAATGAATTACTTCTAATTAAAAAAAAGTCGAATGGCACATTAAATGTATGCTACCAATATTTTTCTTGCTGTTAATGATAAATTTCAAGAAACAAACTAAAACTACATGCTACAATTATAATATATAACTTTCTGCTCTCGACTAATTAAGAAAAAAAAAAAACTATTGAATACGTTTATTGTTTTTGTTTTAAGCAGATAATATGTTATATAACATTTCTTAAATGATACATACAACTTGCTAACAAAGTAAATAAATAAAGCACTAATCTCTTTGGTATTAGACTCGCATGATATTGCGGTCAAAAATGTCACATAATATTTTATAATCGAAAGTGCGATTGCTTCTACGTTTAGAAATTGTTTATATGCGTATATGTTTAGCATATTGAAAACATTAGTTCTATTAAGCGATGTAGTGCTTTATAACAAATTCGTGTAATTTTGTAAAATCATATTAAAAATTCTTCATTCATAATAATCTGTCATGGTATCATACAGCAATACAATAAATAAACATATAAATTTACTGATGATTCACTGTTTTTTATGCTTCAGAACTATATAAAATTATGTTTCATTGTTTCAAATAATTTAACATTTACAAGACTATAGTTAGCTTGTCAATTGTTATATAAAACAAATTCTCAATCTTACTCTACTAAATCACAATAGATTGGTAATGCTCAGGTAATAACTACGTGTCAATAACACTAGTTTGGCAAACGAAAAACAGGCTTCTAGTATAAAATCGAGCATCAAGAACAAATAGATGCTAAATATATTTTCAGTTCAAAAATAGCTTTCTGAATCTTTTGTCAGTAGCAAAACCGTAAAAAAGATTAGTAACGGTAACAGTAAAGTTTGTTCAAAAGTGTGTTACTGTTGAGAAAACAGTGTAAACGCCTAATATCAAAATCTATAAAAATACGTAGTAAAAATTGTAATATCTGCTTTTAATTAGTATATTATGCATACTTTATATTTTTGTCTCGCGACAAATAAAAAGTCTTTTATGAATGAAAGACTGTCAATGGCATTAGCTCTTTAAATACGCGCGATACGTAAGTTGATATTTGTGAATACGAGAAAATCTCAAGCCTATTTTGTAAATATACTTATAAAATATCGTTTGAAATCTTTACAATATAAATGTGCCTCCATATACAATTATTATACCTTTATCACCAGCCTGTGTGATGCATATAGTTTGTCCAGAAATTTTCTCAATTGGATGGAATAAAGGCAAACGTGTATGGTATTACCACAATTGTAGGCCAATTGATATTCGTGTACGCACATAGATATTTAGATTAATAGATATTTCCATGTCTGTATAAGAAACAAAGGTACAGAAAAGAATATGTAAATGGTAACTTTCTACCTTCGTACTGCGAAACTAAGATTTGTATAAATATATTATTACACGTAATTTTCAGTACACTGGCAAGATGAACGATCATGAAGTGATCTGTGTCAAGTTACGGACGGATCTTGACTAAAATTGTCTACATCGCCAGTAGGAAGCATAAGCTTGTTTAAGCTGTAGGGCGGTCTTTTTGGTTTTGGTGGCGGAGTAGGTGGTTTAGTTTGTACGTCAAGATCGTCTGTAGGAGTAGGAAGCTTATTTTTTGACCAGTGCCCTAGAGGTCGATTCAAATTGTTCAAACTACCTGTCCCGCAATGGACAACAGGTAATTCTTCAGGAAGATTACAATAATCAGCCTCACGTGTTTTCACGGGTAAAGGGGGCGGTGGATCATCTTCCGAAGCTGTACTGTCCGTTGTGCCAATACTGTCCCTATTTCCTTTTCCTAAACTACTAGAATCCGTACCATTGTTTACATTCCTCAAATAATGTTGAGACTGGCCTGATAAGCGATTGCTTATTCGTCTCTCTTTTTCGACCTCGGATCTCAAAGGGCGCTTTGGCGTAAGCTGCGCAACAATTTCTCATTTACTTCAATATTTTACACTACTTTATCAACGTCATGCACATTAATAGTGAGAGGATCGATCCAATGATGTGCCCATTAATATCGATATATATCGATTCAAGCTGTTTGTAATAGTTCCATTCAATGGATTCATGCGAGAGCATTAATTTTTGCCGTCAATGTATCGATAGTAACTAAACACATCATAGTCCCTCCACTACGTACTAATTACTAGAAAATAAAATTTCCAAATTACCTCCTGACGAAGTTCAAATATCGGCGTAGTAGGAAAACTGGATATTAATGGAGTAATAGGGGTCGATGTACTGTGGGAAATTTCCGTGGTAGTGTACCACTGACTTGTCGGTTGATCATTTTTTATCGAAACGGCTGAATCACTTTTCCGCGAGTTTCTTCGTTTTGAATCTTTCTTCTTATTTGTCCCTGGCGTAGGACTTCCTAATGCCTTTTGCAGGGAAGCCGTTGATAAGATATGCGAACGTATTGACGCATTCCTGTTCATCAATAATAAAATTTATTGTCTGCAATAAATGCTTAATACTAATGATAAATAGCATCAATATTCTGCTAACAATTTGCCATTTACCTATTTAGTAGAATAGCCAGTTGTTACCGCAGATGTTTAATCCAGGGACAAACATGATAACATAACAAATAATACAAAAAAGAAAATATCATGCAGTGAAGATTACAGTAGAAGAGGAAATAAAGTAAAGTAATATATACAAATATAATTGATGTGATATATATGTACATATGTGGCCCTTACAAACTTCTTGTTTTCAATTTTTTAATTCATAAAATTCAAATAACAAATAATGCTTGATTTTCGAAAATAATATTTAAACAACAAAATAAGTAAAAAGTTAATTGATACATCATTAATATGTTAGCCACAGTATGTATAAAAAATGAAATAAGGTACAAAACAATTATTTATACATGTGCATACACATGTGTACATATACAAAAAATGCTAGGTGCGAAGAAAGGATAGAATATTATGTTTATCAGGCCCAACAGCGAAATTCCTGAAATCACATACACGTTGCTCTAGTATTCACTCATAGAACAAGAACATGAGAATATAAAATTAAAGAAATATTTTTAACTTAGTATTTGGATGTATATACAATATATCTGATTTGAATGTATATACGTAATTATTTCTAAAAGATAATGGAGTGGATAGATTTTAACAGTACATACCAGGGGTCTGTACGAACGATTTTTAAATTCAATTTTGTGACGGAATCATAAAAAATCGATATTATGTAATATATTATATATTATATTGTCAACATTGGGTCATATTGTATTATATTGTCTTTTCGAAAGTATTACCAATGGATTAATTATGTTTCTCAGACGAAAATGAGCGACACTCGATTTACCCACACTCATGCCTACCACCCGAAAAGTTTGACTCTAGTCTGGATTAGGTTGAAGTCAGTCTTGTTGATACTCCGGTTGATATTATTTTTTCACCCCGAAAAGCTTAAAATATTATTATTATTCAGCTTCTATCAGAAAAAGTTTACCGACACCTGGTATATTACTGTACGATATCGATTAGTAACATAATTTTAAAATATGTTAATAATATATGTACTAAATTAGTAATAGCATATACATATTATCGACAGATAGAAAGTGCATAAATAGTCAATGGTGTATAGTTTAAATAATGACACAGAATGAGCGTGTCCTATGGTAATTAACACTGGAGCTGGTTTTACACGTCACCGTGACGTCTTTACCTTGATAAACTGATGTTCTGAGCACCAGATGAGGGTGTACTGTTGTTAAAATTGAATGATGCGAGCGACTTGAACGTTGCAACTTGGGATCTTGTAAGAGAGGATACCCTGGAGTGAGTTCCACAGCTGAACGAGATAATTACAAAGTAGCCACATAACTTTATAATAAGAGATATGGAAAATTTGTTATATAGAGTGTCTTGCCTTTTAGTAATTACACGATGAATGTGCTATAATTTCTGGGCGATTATCATGTCCACATGCATACGAGTATTCACAATATAATACAAATATTGTTTTAAAACAAATATGTTTATAAATCCCGTACCAAAGCCAACATAATTTAACGATCGTTATAACGAATTAATGAAACCGATGTTAGTACAAACAGTTGCAATTATTTTCAGCAGATAATGATTGTAGGTTATTAGCATAAATATTACTTACTCTGAATTTATTATATTTGACTCGGAAAGACGATGATTGTCGCCTCTAGACGCCTGCGGTCTTCGCATTGTGACAGTTTGGGTTATAGTTTCGATTTGTAAATCGCATGTCTGTTTTATAATAATAAACCGTTTCACATAAATTCTCTTTAACAAATAGGCGTTTTACCTATAATACCGAATGCTTTCTTAACTTACCCTCTTTCCATACTTTGTTTCTACTTGGCCTCGCATTGAGACGAAACATTGTTCCAGACGTTGATGAAACGGTGCTAATTCAGGAGGAGCCCGCGCTTTATGAACCTGTACACCGACGCCTAATAACGGGACTTGTTCAGCAATCAATCCTTCTAATTTCAGAAGATCGGAACTTTCTTCCGGATGGGAGTTTCTATATTCGGGATTGAGAAAGGCTTTCTCATAATTATCTATACCGCCCATTACTGCAGGGTCCAAAATGCCATTAAGTTTCATACTGAGTGGATTTAGTGGAAGACTATGATCAGCTTTATGAGCTACGATCAGATTTTTCAACGCGGTGTTCGTAGCTTCCATCGTTTCGATCGCGTTACGAAGAGGACTGACCAAGTACGTTTCGCTAGATGTAACCGGGAAACATCTAAGAATGCCTGGCAAAGGATGACTTGTGACTAGAACTGTTCTCTCCAGCCACAATGAAGCGAATTCATTATTGGTAACGGTAGTTGGTTCTTTTTCTTTATCACCGGAATTTATCATAGCTGAGATTAAATCTTTCTTTGGCGCTGGTCTCGAAAACCGGAAACGTTGGACATCATTTACTCGATGATACCTTAAACGTGAATATAGAAAAAGAGTACAAAGAACATTAATTGAAATCTACATCCCGCGTCCTACATCCGATGGATTTCCTTTAAATTTTGTATATTCGTAGGTTTATATGGTCGTCATCGATTCCCATTGTCAATTTTCATCACGGGTTATAAGAAATAAGCAAGAGACAGGTATAAAAGAGAATTATTTAATCTAAATAAATGTGCAAAATTTGAAGCAAATCCATGTGCCATGGAAAGAATAAAAAATTATTTTATACAGTAGCGCCCACTTAAGTGTCCGCGTTAAGAATTGGCGGGGATAACCGTGGACAATTAAGTGGGCACTACTGTACCGTTAGTCTGTACATTTACCTCAACACTGCTTCCGCTGTTATAGGTTTCCCACTAAGTCGATGCTTCTTTTCATCCATTAATGGATCTACTCTGTTAATTTGAACGTATTGATGATTGGATTCTAGTATTTCCGGAGTAGGAGGAGATAATTTATTCATCTGCTCTGCATTTGGTAATTGGTTTAACGTTCGCGAGCAAAAATCACTAAGTCGTTCGTATTCCTTTCCTCGGTATATAAATACCTATGGCAAATAATTCCTATATACTTAGTCAATTGATATGAATTTAACACAAAGTACCTTGTTCTGTAAAAAAGCAGGATGCCCTCGGCCGTAGTATGCAACCCTGAAGTATTCAGGCTCGGGTCTTAATTGTTTTACTATAGAATCATAAAATTTAGCCATTCGTATTAACAGTATAGAAAGTTGCAAATAATCAAATGTTTCCTCTTCGTATTGTGCAACCAATTCTTTACAAACTGCAAGCGCGCATTCCCACATTTTACCCTTATCGAAGTATTCGATCATATCATTGTACAATGCTTCTTTCAATTCGCGATGTGTTTGACACGATAAATACCTACGTACCAGTTACAATTTAAAATTACACTTTAAATATTATAAATTAAATTACCAACTGATATTATTACCTATGTGACCTTAAAATGGGTAGCAATGGTTGGTCACTCCATGCTAATAATTGACTGTGAAGTTTCAGAGAATATGCAGCCTCGGTATAATTGTCGCACTCTAAATGTAATTCACAGAGCTTGTTTACATATCTGTAAAACAAAAATACATAGACATAGTTTTTCAATAATCTTTAAAAATACGCAAACAAGATTAATTTTATTTAATAAAATATTAACCGTGCGCATACCTGATATACATTTCCTTCCTATTTATTTCAGAGTAAAATTCTAGCAAGTTCACGATACATAACATTCTATGTTCCTGAGATTCGGCATGAATAATATCACGATACTGCAATAGCCGTTCCATGAGTTTAGCAACTGTATCAACAAAACGTAACCCTTGTTCCCGCATAGTCGAGTGGTTTTCACAAAGATTGCCCATTACTTGAATCCAAAGTAAACGAAATTGTTCATCCCCCTTACCCCCTTCAACCTATTACAATAATATGTAAATATATTACACAATTACTTAACAGAAAAAAAATGTTAACAATATTTGGCACGTCATACTAAAATATCTAATTTCGCGATCATCTCATTTTCATATTCCGTAAAATTAGCTTTTATATGAGCAGGATCTCTTTTTGTATCGCCATATCCTTCAACAATGCGCGAACTATAATATTCACATTGCATCATATCAAAAAATATGGGTATAGTTGCTTTTCTCAATTCACTTTCTGGAATTAATGCCATTTCTAATATGGCCCCAACTAAAGCAGGAACAAACAATATCTTATGTTGCCCCAGATTAAACCACATTGATCGTATTTCAAACGCTGTTTCCCTATAATGAAACGATGATTTAATATTCCGGATAATAATGATTATCTAAAACAGTGTTTTTTTAAATAAATTACAACATAACAAATTATTTATCTACCTGCGCATATCATTGTAACGCAAAACAATACGATTGCGTTTCGATGGCGTAAATGTTTCTAATTGTAATACAGGCTGGGTCAAAAATGCAATAGCGCAGTGGAAAAAGTTGGACCACGCCTGTTGTTCAAAATCAGTGAAAAAATAATCCCTGATAGTACCCGAGAAATAACGTAGCGATTTTAAGATTATACTGCTTTGAAGCATAATCATATCGCACCAGTCTGCCGGAAATACACTCTTTGAAACTAAATCCTTGAACACTAACAATATTTCCATAAGGTAATCAAGCAAATCAAATTTAGTTCCAAAGTGATTTATATAAATCTCATAATGGTGCTGTGTCATTTGTCTGAAACATTATATATATATATTTATATATATATATATATAAAAAAAAAATTATATATCTATTTCTTTTACCTAAATATTGCTAACATAACTGAAACTAAATTCCCAACTAATGGATTTTCCCTATCCATCGATATAACAGTTTGTATGATAGTCCTCAAGGCTGTAAGCATAATTTCTTTCACATCTTGCATTGTGCTTCCTATATCTTTTCTAAACGTTAATTCCAAGATGTCAGATAAAATCTTGACACATAATTCTACCTACATGAACATAAGAGGAAAAACTGTTCTTTATCATTATTATAGATCATTTAGAAATATTAGTGATGAGAATGATACTGAATTAATTCTATTGATACTAGCCCATAAATTATAACTTGGTAATGGACAGTACCAACACATAAATATCAAACAGAATCAATATCCATTTGATATCTTTATGAAAGTATGAATGCATATTTAATACTTAAAAAGTATTAACCATTTTAATCCAGCATCAAAGTTTCGATACGTGCGTTCTAAAAGAACATTTTATACTAAACTTGTAAATTTTACCATCTGTTCGAAATATTATTTTAATAACATAGATATATATAAAATAATTTAGAGTCGATGATTGCCGCGTGCGGCGGATCAAAATGACCCGGCATTCACCGGGCAAAGGTTCATACTTATTCGAGAATCTGATATTATAACTTTATGTTGAATGGTTTTAAGAATCGTATATAATTTTATATTTCAATTGCAAATATTTGTCTGATCAATGCGTTTGTTTCATACTGATTAATATATAGTTTTTTATTTTTATATTATACGGTATTGGCAGTGATCAATTATCCTTTACAAAATGTTACAATACCAAGTACCTAAGATTTCGTTACCGTTCGACACTTCTTATTAAGATCTTCTGTATCAAAGTTCTCAAGTATCATCGACACCTAATTGTATCAGTCCCATCACTTCTAAATAACCATGTGACTACGTAATCAAAAATAGAAAGAGAAGTAGAACAACATAACAATAATCACCATTCCTGGAAATCTAACATAAAATACTTATCCTAAGTAGATCAGTACATGTCTCATATCATTAGCAATCATTGTGCCAATAATCCAAAAATTTACTCGTAAGCGACGCGCTTAAACTTGCCCACGTATGTTTCTGCAATTACCTCTTCAGAATAGCCGCGGTGCTGGTTGAGTCGATGTCGATTTTCGCCGAGCAGCCTGGCTACCTTCGCCACGCTTTTTCCAGGCGTACTTGACAGCCCCTTTATAGGCCAATAACCAAAACCAAACCAAACACAAAAAAATGAAACAGCCCTATGTTAGTTAGAATATAATGCCGATTTATGCATTATACAATTATATCTTTAATATTTGTCCATCACCTATGAAAAGTTGCATCAAAGAACTGCATGCAAGAAGGACACAGTGCCCCCAAGCAATAGAGCAGTTGTAAACACGGCAGATGCACTACATTAAATGTAAGAATTAATACAAAGATTGTCTATTTACTGTCGTTTAACGAGTCGTTTGGAATCTCATTTCAATAATTTACATTTTTATGATATCTGACCAGAACAGAATGAAAAGACAGACATATGAAGAATGATTTATATTTCATGAGCTTGTTTAAGTAAGCGAAAATTTAATATTATATCATTTCATGAGCACATGCTACATCAAACAGTGTAAAAATATAATTTTCTTCCCATGCTTATACCTTACAAAGGACGTCTTTTATTTAGTTATATTTTTTTAATTATACGATTCTATCTTTGAATATATGTATTATTTTGATTAACAAAAAAAAAAAAAGGAAAAAGAAAAGCATTTCATGTTGTCATAGAACACGATCCATATTTAAATCAATTAAATACATCATAAAAATAAAGACATCCTATTTAAAGGAAACAATACAAGATTAGCAAGATTCATAGAAAGATGGCGTGGCGGGAGGATGTCAGGCTGCACGGAAAGCACAAACAATGGTTCTAATTATAAGTTGTGTGAAAAAGTTTTAAATGCAGATGAAAAGCTCCACTCACATTTTGACTATAACAATGAATATAAAGTGACATGGAGAAACTGCAATGCCTTATGCCATACACATACCTGTTTCTAAGCCTTGTTACATCACATTGGTATTAATATGAACGAAGCTTCGATAAAAATGTATCAAGCTACTCAAAAAAAGGATTTTAAACGTTTCCTAATATTCAATACACAAGGTGATTTTTGAAAATGGAACAAACTGTATCTCTTTTACAAACGAAGATAGAAAAAAACATGAACCCTGTAACGAAGCTATTTAATGACGATATATTTTATTTCATTCTAACAGATCAAGTGCACTTATTTTGAATTTTTATATCTTTATTGAGTAAAGAGCTACTGTTTGTCCTAGTCTCTAGAATCATCCTGTATACGAAACTCTTGAAGCATGGAAAACTCGTGACAAATACTTATTGTTAAATTTAACGGAATTTTTTAAAATATCTTTTCTAATAAAGTAGTACGAATTTGTAATATATATTGGAAAAATTTAATGCAATAGTACATATATATATTACCCCAATACCTCAAGGAGCCAATGGCAATAGAATTTTGCAATTATTTTATACGAACTTTAATGAGTAACATGAACATTCCATTTTCTTCACACTTAAACTTAACAAGTCACAATGAACAATTAAATAACTTCACATGTCTTACCTCCTCTTTAGCTTCCAGTAAATCCCGAACCAAAATAGTAATCCTAGGAAGTAGAATTGCTCTACACTCTGCATTTAGAAAAAGAGGACTATGAACAATGTCGTTCACTGTCATCATTTTCTGTTTAGTCAATCTTCCTGCTGGTAAAGTAACTAATAAGTCAGTCAAAATTGTGCTCAACTGTTTGCCGCTGTATACTCGTAATAAGTGAGGTATGGTAGTTGGTAAATATTTAAGACACGCTCCTTGAACTAATAAGGTACTGTCTGTTTCGTGTCTCATAAGTTCAACAATAGATTTCAATAATTCTGTTAAGGTTTGGGAAAATTCTTCTTCATCTTGATTTAGCCTATTGAAATATAAAATATTTTAACAACAATGAAAAACATTTGGACACTTAATAATATTAACAACGAAAGACATACTCAGTGAATAAAAGACGCGATTCAACGATAAATCTCATACAATATTGTAGACTTTTCATTGTTTTAAGAAGTATATCACGTTCCTGTCCGTCATTATTAGTGGCATTATCTATACGTTTACGTAATACTGCAATCAATTTTTTGTAAGCGAGTGTCGCAGAGAAACTCTCAGAAATATATAAATCTAATACTGGTTGAAAGTGTTGATATTTTCTATCAGACACAAGGCCAATAATGTATAAAAGACACTCAAATACCATATCATCATAAAAATCACTATCTGAATTACTCATTAGTATATTAAACAAAGCATCCAAAACATCCTGAAAAAATCCTGTATGATACCTCGTTTATGAAATATTTTTATAAAATGCAAAACCATTGCGCACCTGTAAAAACTTAACAACTTCTTCACCATCAACTTTCATTAAGGCAGCTAGAGATTCCTTTAAATCTGTATTATGCGACGCCCAGTTCAATAAGCCTAACAAGTCTACATTTTGCGTTAGTTTCGTTGAACAAATATTTGTTGCTATCAAAAAACTATCTTTAGTACTTAAAGTAAGCGCTCCCATAGATGGTTTCTTTTCAACATTTAATTCAACCTGAAAAGATCAATAATCAAGTCTAGCAACACTTACAGCAGTGCCCACTTAAGCGACCGCACTTTTGCCCACTTAAATGTCCGCGGTTATCCCCACCAATTCTTAGAAGCCAAGCGGTTTCGAACATCGAGCGTGTCGAGCGTAACTTGACGCCGGTCGTTATCGATACATTGTATATATGGTTTTGGGTGCCAGCTATTGTATCTCACTCGCATTTATCCTCTTTCCTTACCTCCGTTGAATTCTGAGAAGTAACCATGCCCACTTAAACGACCGTGGACACTTAAGTGGGCACTACTATATATGTAACACGATTTTAAATTTTAATCTTAGTTTTACCAATTCACCCTTCGTTGATGGCAGTACCAAATACATAATATCAGTTTCTTCGTATTTCTTCTGATCTAATTTATAAACTAGCAATTCATGCTGTATATCTTGCAATGTCGTTCCGTTACGTTGCATCAATTTTACGTAACTTAAAGCAAAAGGTTTCTCGGTTTTATCTTTCGCTTCATTCGAACTGCGATGTTTGAACGTGAATTTTAAATGGGCTTGCTTAAATTCTTCAATAGGTATAGCAATTTTAAATGTTTCACACCACCTAGGTTTATCTTCATGGTAATAAATAACACTACGATATTCGTCAATTGGTGAAGCTCCACCACCCAGTGTTATAACACCTGGTATACGCGTGCCAAACTCGTTGCATACTTTAACCTATAAAAAAATAAATTAATAATACATGTGAATGTTTCAACAAATTTATTTCAGATGATACCAACCGTAACTTCAACATTTTTGTCCGTAGATTTCGACCCTTTATTAAATTCACCGCTAATCAATGTGAGGTATAAATCATTTCTCACATCACCTGGTAAAATAACTTCTGGGAATCCCATTTTCCTTGCAATAGCAACATTACCAAATACTAGATGAGGGTTCTCGTCTCGTACCTAAAGTACAAAATATTTATAAATATAGTGAACTAAGTTTTTAAATTACAATTTCTAAATCTCACAATTTTTAAAATTTTTACTTACTTGTTTTGGATCTCCTCTAAGCAACTTTAAACTAGCCCACAACCCTTGGCCACCAGCAAAATTGTTCCCACTGCCATTACCACTTTTCTGTATATTTGTTTCTTTTTGGGAAAGAATTCTGCGTAATGTACCATCTAAACTTTCTTTCTCACAACATCTGGAAAAAATAAAAAAAGACCAACAAAACAGATCTATAGTAGCGCCCACTTAAGTGACCACGCTACTGTATCTATTGTACCCATAAGAAATTCCTTCTGAATACATTCCTAGTTCGAATGAAAATAAAATTTTTTACTTACTGGACAAATGGAATGAAATGATGATGATCTGGATCACCTTCAAGTTTGCCAGTAATGTATAAAGTAATGTCCATTGCTGCTACACCAAACGGTCTTCTCATGTTTTCTGTGCTTTTCACTTTTTGAATAGTTTGTGCAACGCTCGTGCGTCGGTGATCAATATCTTTAGCTTCCATACTTCCTATCCTAATTACATAACAAGCTAAGTAAACTTTATCCCTGGCTAAATCTCGAGAGCCAAGATCGGTAAATAAAACGCGAAGATTATGAAGCTGATCTATGTCTCTGGCAAGCCCCTCTTTACTCCATGATACCACATAGTTCTCTGTGATTGCTTTCATTTCACGGCCGTCATATAACGTTAGCAGTAACTCTACATCTTCAGTCATTTTACATACAAAATTCCTTACACTAACGAAAAAGATATGTGAGTATACAGGTGCTTGTGGTTTTGAAAGCTTCTTTTTTGTATCATTAGCAGCTTTTCGTATTCTTTCTGCAGCTGTTTCATGATGATAATACAATTGAATTGTACTTGTTTCCTCTGGATTAAGAACATTTCCTTGATCATCTCGAACGACCATATCAATGCCCAATAATTGATTACCAGTGTCAATTCTAGCTGTTGCTAATCTTTTCATATCTTTCAATTCATCCACTGTTAATGTGCCACTTAAAATTTTGCTTCTATATTCTATTAATTCCAAAATTTGTTGCTGCATTGTAGTGAAATGTTCTGAATGTGTCTGCGCATAAAAGAAATTACATTAATTATTTTCTATTAAATTTATCTTTATGGATGGAATGATATTTATAAATGCTTTGTCATATTATACAGACCACATATAGATGCTTCCAATGGTGTCCCCATTCTCTCAAAACATTGGTGATTTCATGTATTAAACAATCTATACTTAATGACTGTTGCATAATATGTATATAAGATTTTGGAAAAATTCCACAAGCTTCTTTACAATTACTACGTCCATAGTACCTACGTCCATAGTACCAATCCCCACACTCCTGTGATATGCATACTACTTCCCTAACTGTTAATGGTAGGGCATAGGGGGTCCCATGCGTAAAATTATCAATGGCTGCACAATAATAAATAATTAAGTATTAGTTTTCTTTCAGTATTTTAACAAATTTTAATAAAAGAACAAATAATAATATTGACACTCTAGATGTATGATAGAGAGAAAAGAGATGACGAAATATTTGTTATTAATTATTGTTAATAACCAACAGGATACAGAGTATTAACCATTTTATTATATATGTGTAAAAGTAAATTATACTTCGACGCGTATATAAATAAAAAAAACTTTATTCAGGTAATAAAATAGGAATAATGGCAACGTAAGTACATGTCATGTAATTGTTATGCAAACGGTAATATCACTGACGTTATAAATCGCTCTGATACCCACAACTTAATTAAACATTTCCGAACGACGTAAATGCAGTAGTTGCATTTGACGTAGATCAAATACAATGACGGTATAACGATAGGAAAAATTATTATAAATTAATGACTGAAGTGCAAAACAAGAAATACAATTTTATCTGGCTGGGCACCTCCCAGGATGTTGGACCTTACAAAGGCCAAATTAATAATATTCTGCGTATTGTCTCTTACCAAATCCTAGATGTTCTTTAACCTGCATCCATGCCATTGTTTTTTTAATTGAAAACTTACTATAACAATATATGTACACTAATTACATTTCGATTCGCACATTTATTTGTGCGAGCAAAATACGATTCTTTATCTTGACATCTAACACAACTATAATGAGAAACACGATGCTACTGCCTCAATATCATCGTAGCGATGAGAACAGGAACCACGAACGAAGCAAAATACGCCATGAACAATGCACAATCTATAGATACCCCAACGACACGCGTGTCTGCTTAAATTAAGAACCGGGTAAAGTAAAATTTTTTGAATCGATTCATTATTTAAACATAAGATTTATGATCAGCGGCTCGTAAAACTTTATTGGGGGAAAATAGAACGAGTACAATTTTCAATGACTTCAGGTGATTTATTTATGATCGACTTATATTTAAAGGTTTAGGTGAAGCAAACACCTAAAGAACGGTGGGAAACAGTTCACGTTTGCACTTTGTATTACATTTTATAACAGATAAGATACTTTGATCATTTTTCAACATTTAAGTTAGACAATTGGGTCAATGCGTCTAACGCGCTGTTTCTTATTTAACTGATGTTCACATTCAGTTGGTCGTTATGTACAGTAAGGTTTTTTTTAACTTCGTTATGTCGATGACATTTTTGAATTCGTTACAGCCTAAACTATAAGAGAGGTATACTGCTAATCATTTTTAACCTTAAGAACCTATTATGGGCAATTATTGACATTCATGTATACGATGACGACTACTAAATTTTTAACTCCTAAATAAATAGACTTAAGTTACGATTCCCGCATATTTCCACAGTGATTTTGGTCTTAATTTAAAGATCGGGCTATACAGAATCGAAATAAATAAAAATTGGTTGCGATCTTGAGCGTCAGAGCATGTTAGTACTTGTGTCAATTCCTCGAGTAATCTCGAGGAATACACTCGAAGAAGTTCCATTAAATGTTGTATGTACGGTGCACTAGCATATTTCGATCAAGGAATCGATCAGTTCTTGAACGAAAAAATTTCTATAAAATGGAGAGGTCGTGCAGTATCGATCCCCAGATTAAATTCCGTTGAATTTTAATTTTGGGGGCCACTTAATACATTTCTTTATTCAACACCCATTGAGAGATATCAAGACGTTATCGAGTATTTGATATAGTTTAGTAGAATAAGTTATACTAGTTCAGTTTGTGATTGAGAAATACCGGGGTACAAAAATGCCTATAACATGTAAACAACGTCAAATATCTTATTGATACAGGGTGTTTGACAACAAATGGGTTCTATTTTAGGGGGTGATTCTACAGACGAAATTATGGTACAGTCTTCGTTTTACAATTACAAATACGTCTAACGCGTATTAACTTACGACGGATGCATGACCGATTTACCATGTACAATGTACATTTACTCACACAGTTGACAGAAATGAGCTGTCGTCACAACTCATGAGAAAAAGCTCGCATCGCGTTATACATTAAACCTATCTACTTGTAAAAATCCAGGTCGTATTAAAACTAACCAGATGGAGTTTTCAAATAGAGGGGATGAATGTCGTAATTTGATCCTTAAAAATTACACACATACACATACATACCATGATTGTCCATGTGTTCGCGTATCGCAAATGTTCACAGTGTTCACAGAAGAAGTCGTGCAGTGTCTCTTGAAGACACTGTTACACTCTTCTGTGAAAATTCTGTCATGCTTTTTGGAAGTTGACGGTCTTAATCTCGTCATGGGAGACAATCTACCGTTCCGTATTATACCCAATGAAAATTGGATTCGATATTATAGTTTGTTCAGAAGAAATTAAGAGGATTGAAATTTGGAGGCTGAGCAAATTCCGAAATATGTGTTAAAATATTTAAGTATACGTGTAGTAATACGTCTTCTAAAACAGAAGACAACTTTGACTGCAAGAATTCTAAGTATGTTGGTCCTGTTAATCAGAAGGAGGAAATAATAGAACCAATAATTTTGTTGTCAAGAGTTCCTGAGTTGGTTGAATATCGGCGCTAGAAATTTTATTTCTACCAATATATGTAAGTTTTCTTCTCCCCCATTAATCCATGATTACTTCGTTCGTAAATAATATCTTTTATATAAAAGCTTCATCTACTGTAATACTTTGTAACAACTATATACACACATTTACGCGTCTTTCAAAATTACCCTATTCCAATTCGTCTACCCCACGAATTTTCCCCTAATCAAGATTTGAATCACGTTGATTTCTCCTTCCGGTCTTTTCCCTCGTGCCGTGTATTCTTCGATACAGCCTGTTAAATGTCTTACCAGAATAAATGTCCACGGTCATTATCAGTTCATCCTTACATACCACACACAGAATAAATACTAAAACAAAAAGACAAATCTTAAAAAACAAAAATGTCGTACAACGTGACGCGCGTGCTTTTTCATAAATGTTACACGGTAAATCCGTTGTGCAATCATCGCCACCGTATGCACTCTGACCTGCCTCGCGTGCATCGATGGTTCACAGATTGCCGGGCGTTAGACGTGTCTGATCCAAATTTGGAATTGTTCATAATTTTAAAACAAAACCTCAGCCGTAATTTCCTTACTCTTATCGCGGTCTGTAGAATCGTTCCTAGATGGATGCCTACTTGTAGTTAAACGCCCTGTATAAATAGAACTTTACAACCATATACGTGTACGTTACATTAATTTTTACATCTACAAGTATGATACACGTTATAAAAGCAGCAGAAACATACAATTTTTATACAATATGTAGACGAAACAAACGGAACTGAATTACAATTACATTTCGTACCTTTTGTATAGTTTAGAAAACATGCTCGATTAATTTTCGAGAATACTAGTCTGACTGATATTAATATTTTCGGAAAAACAAACGTGTTGTACCATGTCCATAAATATTGAAGCAAACAAGTGGTGTTGAATAAGAAAATGAATCTTGATCACCTTAATTATTTATGAAAAATGCGCATTGGGACTGAATATCCTATAGAATATTTGATCTCTAGATACATCCCTTCAAATTTCATCAAAATCACCGGGAGACAAACTATAACGTCTCCTGTCATTGTATTTGGCAGATCATTTTAGATCAAGATACAGTAATCTTTCGTTAAAACAGACTTGATTACGTCAATCATTTCCCCATTATTTGTGTTCATTCACCTTGAGTAATTCGGTGACCCATGCTGTCGGCGGCTATCAAACAAAAAACCGATTCGTCGCCGACGACGATCCTTAACGTCTGTTCTTTCTTTTTCGCTTTCGACGAATCCAATCCTCAACCTCAAATCGCTTTAATATGGTCGATCTAAGGAATAAATTCTCAACCATCTCGCATTAAAATGTTTCGGACGAACCGAAGCTTGAACGTTTTAACGGAAAACTACTGTAACTAGCGAATAAGTTTGACTACTGTAGGTGCAGATTCAACTGGCCGTTCAAGTTGGCTATCCCCCTGATTGCAAACGATATCGAAAATTGCCTTGTCTCTTACTGTACCGTTGCACGCCTCCATGTTTGAGAAAATGTGCTCGTGTTCGTAAAAAATGTAAAAGACAGAATGTTGAGGTTAAGCTTTTAACCACCTTGAGCGGCTAGTTGAATTTGATTCCACTATAGTCTACCTTTTGTTTTCTTTACGCTTTGTAATAAATGTTCACATTGTTAGTATTTTAGACTAAGCATTAAATATATGTTCTCGTTAAGTTAATCTGTTCTTAATCCATTTTCGATTGCCCCGCTTTTCTTACATTTTCGTCATAAATTAGAATCAAATTGCAAAAAAAGGAAAAATTGTACGTCATACGATACATAATGCAATTAAAAACATTATTGTTAAATTTCATGAAAATCGATTTGATCACATTCTAGTTATTCGGACTGCCAATATAAAAAACATGGTTTCGAGAAAAATGTATACAAACAAATAATTTTTCTATCAAAAAATCTTCACCAGAGAATTTAATATTTCTTCTGATAAATCTCCTCTTATCGTTCGTTCCATCTACGTTCATATTATCGACGATTTCTTACAAATCTACCTTTTAATTAATTTGTTTCATCATCTTTGATGCTGACTCTCAGAGAATTTTGTCTTCTCATTTTCAAAAGACCTTCTCTTATATTTAGGTGCATTTGCAGAGATAATACTTCTATATCTCCAAACTCTTACACTTTCATTGTGTTCATCCGTTTTTTCTTCATCATTTATACAAACATGCCCCACCAATTTGTTTGAATATATTTAATTCTGCATTGTCTGTAATTTCTTTGCATGGTATGGAAGCTTTAGTATTCAACATTGTGGTTTCATCAGATTTTGTCATCATCTTCAACCACAGCATTTTGTCTTCTCAAAACCCTTCTTGCTGGCATTGCGTTTGAGTTATTATTTAATACTGATCCTTGCAACGGTGTTGCAGTTTGTATTTGCGTTGTTGGCATGTTAATTGTGTTTTTATTTGTTGAATCTTTTAATTCAGAATGTTGCTTGGCATCGGATATACCTTCAGGATCAATTTTATTAATAAATTCATATGCCATTTTACGTACTCCTTAGTTCGCGTCCTTTGTTTGTCTTAATGCTATTTGCAAAATCTTTTGAATTTTTCCCATGCTCGTCAATGCTGTTTTGCAAACCTCTGCTTTTAGATCCCTAGAAGTATGAAATATGTACGTTTCTATGACCGGGCACATACCATCCATGAGATTTTGAAATTTATACAAAGCCAAAATTGCTTGTGCTCTAACTTTTGGAGATTCATCCATCAAATAATTTATCGCAGAAGCATTAATCTTCTCACAAAGAGTATCATCCATGAAAACTTGATCATCCATTAAGTTCAATAACATATTCAAGAACTAATAAATGCGATATTGTACTGTTTTATTATTCATACAGAGATTCTTTGAAAGAGAGTCCAACTATTTGACCTTTTACTGCAGATGACTTTGACATAAGTGCATGCTGTGTACGGAAGACTTTTTCATATTAAGGATATATATACACTGAATGCTTATAAACATTTATCATATCCAATCAACTATTTGACCAAGCACCTATAGGTGCTGTTCATAGTTGAAGGGTTAACAAGAAAAGGACGGTGGTTCCTCTGATTCAATATTTACGATTGTATACAAATTGACATTAAAGAACAACAAATTCTAGAGTATTTTGAACCAACGAGCGATGCTGAGTAGTAATGAACGAAATTTCAAATCAGAACACAAAGGATTTTCAAAAATTTGATAAATCGCTCTAAAAAAAAAAAGAGAAGAATTATTGACAACCTATAATAATCTACGTTGAGCAAAACATAAAATAGATCGAAATCTATTCTGGTAATTTGTTCGCACGTACCTGCTCATAATACTTTCTTAAATTTCTTATATTACTTTGACGACAAGTTCTGTTAAATCTGACAATGTAGAATATTTCGCTTACTGTTGTAGATATTTTTTGTATCATGCCTGTCGCAAATTACACTATTATCACTTTAAATATAAATCTGAATCGTGAGGCGTATAGAAACCGCCAATTTAATGCAAGACTATGGCTGTGTTGTTAGACGGGCCGGGTTTTTCGCGTATGCGCGTTGAATCAGTAAAGTGTCTTGACCCAGTAAAGACAGGTGTTGTACGGCCCCCTGTTTTACTGATTCAGAAAATTATTTAAAAGGTTTTGGAAAACGAGAGAGACCAACTCAAGTAAAGCTAATAAAACGGTTCTAGAGGTACGAATGATTACATTAAATGACTATGAGAAATGTCAATTTCATTCTAAACCATTCAAATAATATAGTAATATAGTCAACCGACTATAGGTGTCGAGTGTTAGGTGGGATACCTGAAATGGTCCACACCTCGATTTTGTAATGCTTATTGTTATGTCAAATTTAATTATGTCCTAACTAGAAAATCTCTATTTTGTAGAGAACACTTCAAAGAATCCGAATATTAAGAATACTCTGTTATATTGTGAATTTGAATGTAGTATCAGGTGATTATTTGACCAACGCATTCGTTAGGATAGACTTTGAAGCGAAAAAAATTAGATATGCACATCGCTGTTCGTGTATGTACTAAGCAGGCGCAGAAAACTCAGCTCGTCTGGCAACACGCGATATTCAGAACGTTCACTTTTCAAAAACGTTGCAACAATATGATTAGATATCCAATAAATCTAATTAAAAATTATGTTCAGATTTTTATGAAGAATACATGAACACTTGGTGATAATGATCGTGCGGCGAGAAAAGAAAGTGATCAGCTTCAGGTATCCTGGAGTTTCTAGTTTCTAGTTCATCAGCTGAGACGCTAGATGGGGATACTACACACTGTGACATAGACGCAGAATCATTATTAATAACAATTTTCAAAATAGAAGAATAATGTATCGTGGGAGTATTGTGCAAGATGCAGGGTAATAATTATCGTACATATAGAGAAATCCGGTATCACGAACACATAATAAATTGTTTATTGCACGAACATTTTTTAGTTTGATTGGCCATCCGGTCAATAACTACTATTCAATGCTATTTATGAGATATTGTTTGATTATCTATATTTTAATTTATCTCAATATATAAAATAGCTTTTCGATACAATTTATACCTTTCTTGTATTAATTTAGTATGAGAATTATATATGTCAATGATACTATTGAATATATTAAAATATTTGTAAATTGTAAGTGTTATGCTCATGGATTTTTGTTCAAATTTACCGCAAATTAGAGGAATCATGGTGAATTCTTTGAACTATTTATGATATTAATTGTAATTAACAAATTATTTAACATTTCTAAAGCAAAAAATTACAAGGTATTTCTAAATATACTATTGTTTTGAAAAAAGGACCAATCACCGTACTGTTTACCTCCTACTCGTTGCACTGTGATCTGGGTTGCTTCCCATCGTCGGACTACACTTTGAATAACGCTGTCGAACAGACCAATGGGAAGCGTTCACATGCAGCGCTATCGTCCGCTGCATCTTGAAACAACTGATTCTAACAGCGCCGGTTGAGTGAACGATCTGCGTGGAACTCCGGCGAGCGATGTGGTCCATGGTTGCGACACCGTGGGAGCCGCGCGGTGGCAACCGCATACTCTCGACATCGGCAGCGCGCAGCGAGTGAGCGAGTCGCAACGAAACGCGAGACAGAGGTGTCCGTATGTATCTCGTTTGGTGGGTCGCCGTCGGCCATTGTCTCTGACATGGAAGCCCATCAAAATGGCAGAGGCCGTGCAGATGTTTTTGTTCCTATATAAATCGAAGTACCGTCGGAAAGAAGGGCAGTGCCGCGAGGTGGTACGCGATCAGTGCGGTGTAATTGCGGTGCCGTGGCCGATACTGTGGGCGGCGCTGATCTGTTGGGTGGTGCACGTAACCGCGGCCGCCTCCTCCTCCTCGTCGTCGCTAACGACGGATACGACCTGCGACACGGAGAGTTGCGTCAACGGAGACTGTGTCAATGGCACCTGCGTGTGCCACGAGGGTTGGCAGGGCACTGCGTGCCAATTTTGCGGCGGAAAAGTCAGGTGAGCAGAAACGAAACGAGATCGCGCGGCCAAAGTGCCTTGTTTCTTCGCGGTTCTACCGTATTGCGTTCCGATCTCGTGCACGGATCTGCTGTCCAAGAAAACGACAGGGAAAGCCTGCTCGAAATTGCGCGCGTCGATACCCTCGGGGATACGGTTAACTGTACATTCGTCGAGAGCAACCGTGCATGCAACGGTATTGACGCTTTTTAGGTCGACTCTGATCGCTCGACAAAGAATTCGTCTGTCTTTCTCCCTCTTCCGGGAAGCGCGTAAATAAACGAGAGAGCGCGAACGTGCGTGCACGCGGCTTCCTCGTATTTAATTGCTCTCCCGTGCGCATCTCGTCGCGGCCTTTTAGAAGAAGGACGGGGCACGTATGGTCATTGTCCGTTCGCGTCCCGGCCCGCTCGACGAAAGGAAGATTAAGCGGGACACGCTCGCGAATCTAACGGTGATGTATTCGCCGATGACAGTGACCGCCGAGATCGGGCTGGCTGCTGCGTGTGCCACCGGCGTTCCTAGAGCCTCGACCCGGGATTAGATTTTGCGTCGATCGATCCGACGGCTTTAAACTTGACAGGGATACAGTACGGTTTCCGCCACTGTCAAGGATGATACGTCTTTTCGCGCGCGCTTAACCTCCTCAGGAATGCATTATTTCCTTCGGCGTAAACAAATTTCAAATTGATGTCAACGTCTACCGATCTTGCGGCGATATCATTGTGTTTTATCCTCAGTTCTTTTTTTATACTTAGCAGTTTTAATTCCAAGAAACAAAAATAGAATAGTCCGTAAGACCGGACAGATGAAAATACAGGAAGTATAGCCGCTACATTCTCATTTGTTATCAAGAAAAAATTTAGATAAACAATTGTTATGACAAATGAACCATAAATGCATGTGTCACTACTTTAAGTTTTCGAAAAATCTTGTAGTATCGCGAGACCTTCGAGCTCGTGAAATTGCTTATGCTAATGCAACTTTACGCGATGAAATTAGTTTGGGGTTTCGACTTTATTTTGGTGCTAGCTCGCAGTTTACGAAAGCGTGTTTCGACAAAAAATAAGACTTGCGAGGCGCGAGCTGATGCGCATGGTAACGCGATGCCACGTAACATGCTGTTTGGTGATAACGTCTTTCCGAGTAATATAAAAGTAACTGCAAGCTCATGCTTTTGAAGTTGATGTGCGTTCGCGCGCGTTAAAATGACAGCAACGCGTTTCTACCACAATCCAGCAAAATTTTGTTGGAAACTTCGAATCCCAGCACTAAGCTTATGCAATGTTATTCTTCAACCCCGTGTATGTACTCGAGAACAATATACAAGGAAAGATTGTTTTCTTATTTAGTAATTGCAACCTTGAAAAAGAGGTTTATTTTGCGAAGCCAGATACATGGAAATACAGGAAGTATACCTGAAGTGCAAGCAAGCGTGGCGTATCGGTTAAAATAGCCATTTCCACGAAACGAAATAGGCGCACGCACATGTGCACGCGTTCTGTGCCCTCCTCGCTTTTGGCGCGTCACGTAGAATTTTCAAACGTCCTTGTCGCCGTTTGACATTTTACGTCGCGCCCGATAAGACGTACACATATAGATCGTCCCGAAATAAATGACACAATACGAGAAAGATAGTTCCATTTGGTACAATGAATCGGAAATCGGAATTTTCTTGTTCCGATGCAAATTGATCGGCCGCGAACATCTTAAAATCACAGGCTTAACCCGGATTCGACGTCAGAGGCCATTTTAAATTTTCATCCCGTACTCGTGAATAATTGGCGCTGGAAATAATCGCGCCTCCGGGGTCATATTAATGCAAAGCCACCGCCACGAACAAAACAGCGAGAAGGAGAGGGTGCGTTCTTAACAGCCAGAGCACATGTGTACAGGGTGATTCACGTCGAACGCAAAAAAAACTTCCACGGTTCGTTGAGGTCATTAGCAGAAAACAACTTTCGTACGAACATAAGGAATCATTGTGCGTTCAGAAAGATTGTCGTAAAGAAACTGAATACACTGGATGCTAATATCGTGCAGAAAATATTGTTCTTGAACAGCTTCGAACATTAAAATTATAATAATATTAAATGCTTCATGTCATCGGTATAGCTTTAAGGTCAGGTTGGAAAACAACCTGTGGCTGTATCTCGTCATTGTATAAATTATTTTTATATAAAAATATATCCTAAGCGAAAGACAGACGCTGCCACTTCTCGTTGAACTAAGTATACATTTGATGAAATTCTGCATGTAAATAGAGTACATACTTCACAATACTAAACGCATATCTGTTTCTAGTTTCAGAAATTTGTGTCCAGGGAATGAAATCACCCGTCAGTTAGGAGTTGTTGGATTATTAATAATCATTTACAAAACTGAATCTAACAGTGAGAAACACTGTCCATTGTCTGTTTTGTCGTCGAGGGCCAGGCAATGGTCTCTTTCCTTCTCTAAGTGGACGCCAGATTTTCAGTTTTAACTGAGTCAAGACGTCCTTCCGAACCGTACAATAAAGTTTCACTTTTAAAGTATAAAAGAGTATACTGCTTTTTCGCCCATTTCCAATAGGAGTTGCAAATTTATTTAGTCGAATAATTTGAAAAAGACTAGAGTCAAGAAAACTATACATATTTTCTGGCCCTAGTCGTTTTCGAGTTATTCGACTAAATGGGTTTTCAATCCTCGAGCCCCCAAGTTCGAAGGATAATTTCACCCACCGAACATGCATTTCCGTAGCTTTGGAAATATATGCGTGTAATATTTTTAAGTGCTCTGGCTGTACGCAGGGTCTCGTCACAATCGATGTGTAACACTTGGGCGATGTCCCCTGCGAGTACGGTAAACGCACCAACCGTGATGGCGAAACATACGGTGCAAGGATCTTTTTAACCGCGCCCCGTGCAGCTGACTATTCGCGTACCGTTGCTCATCTGAAATGTAAACACAAACTAGCGTCGGGGTGCGACGGTCAATGAGCGATGACGCGACAATGTTGGTTCGTTAGTCATTCTGTTCCCCCTGCTGTGTTCTAGTTTGAGCCACGCTAATTATGAGGCCACGTATGCTTGGTTTTGTTTGTACGTGTTTCGCACCTGTGCAGTCGTCCGAGTGCATTATTAACCGGTCTAACGAACGATCGGGGCACTGTCGCTCGCTGCAACAATGATCTTTCCTAAATTTTCTTTATTAACACGTTCACTTCCAGTTTCTCGTATCTACGAATGTTCGTCATTTCTCCAAATTATAGCGTGGAAACTAGAATCCTCGGCGACAGGTCATTATAAATTTATACGTGGTAGGATCCATTCGGTATAATCGTCGGTCACCAGTGACCTACGTGGCTGAAACAAATAATCAAACAACAATTAAAATTTGTTGTAAATCTCGATATCTCTACGAGAGTATTACTTACGGATCGGTGGAACTTTCGTGATTAAAATGGGTCCAAACATGACCACTTTCTAACATCTTTTAATGTTACATAATTGGTATTTTATTAATAGCGATTCGAATAATATGTAATTAAAAATAATACGAACAAAGTTGTGTACTCATTTTCATCGGAAATTCGTAATGTTATACATATTATAATTTTCATTTGTAGACGGCGAGATAAATAAATAGCGACGGGGATAATTTCATTTCAGTTATCTAGAGATTATTGTAGCTGTCCATGGTCGGTTGTATTTGGACTATGGTTGTCGAGGATAATGACATTTTGTTGTATAATCGTACCGGCCCAACGGTAGTTTGTTTATTAATTACCTGTGATATGGCGCGACACCAGCGTGGCTGTTTGTCGAGCGTGATACTATTCGCGCGTCTCCGTTGTAATTTGATATTGCAACATTGGTTATAACCGAATCGATAACCGATGAACGCGTTAAGGCCGTCCTCGCGTTCACCTTATCATGGGATTAATTACCGTGATTATAGGGGTAATCACTCTTCTGCGCCAATTGGATCCATTTAATCCCGGATTAACGAGCATTCGCGAGTGCTCAATACTGTGAAAGTTATCGAATTCACAAACGCTTCGTGAATGCTGCAGAACCTCCATACTTGCACGGCAAACTCCGTTCGTTGCATTGTGCCGACGACTCTGTAAACTTTAATTTTAAAAGTCATCTATCATTTATCGAATCGTATCAAGGAATAATGTAGTTCGATGCGGGCTAGATTTTTAACACATGCACATTTTAAAAAATGTTTAAATTCTTGTGTTTTTATACCTTCTTTTTAGTCTTGAAATCGATCAAATTTTAATCAGTTTATTGATATTACATATTTATTATCGGTTAATCGAATAACGCAAGATCGAAGAAAATTTTTTTGCTCCGTGTATAATCGAACGATGATTTGACAAAGAAATTTCGAGCCATTGTCGCCACCAGACGTCTCGATGGAATAATAAACAATCATAGAACGTTACCAGTAGCCGGGTTCGTACGTGTTGCGAGTCGAAACGTTCTGGAAATCGAGCCCACGACGGGGGATTCTTTGAACGGAAACTGTAGATGTGGCAGTCCCGAAGGGCTGAAGCGGGAAACAAAGTTCTGCCCTGCGTTTCACAATAGGGAATGTCGTCTGTTGTGAAACGTATGTAACGGCCGCAAGATAACGCTAAGACACGGCCGTGAACGATAACGTACTCCCGCTGTTCCCAGAAATAATTTCGTTCTACGAAATTTCATTACCGGGCCAAAGTGCTTCGAGACACATTGGGTCTCGAAAAACCACGAAAATTCAGGACCTTCGACATCGAGACCACTTTCATCCGCATCCTTGTCTTAGACTCGTCGATGTACAGCTTGAACGGCTTAAAAATCGCCCTGGAGGGCGTGGCCTGAGTGCAATAGGACGGGAAGCACTGTCGCGCTATTCAGCTTCAAGAATGGGAACTATTTCGCTGCATATTTGGATGTTTTGCCCTGAAGAATATAAATACAGTTATTGGTGCTCGGAAGTTACAAGTGTGGCGAAATAAACAATAA